GTCGGGCTCTGACCCTCGAGCTCAGTGTACTTTTTGCCATCTCGAGTTTCTATACCAACATACTCTTCAGCATACTATTTTTAAAGACAAAAGAAAACCAAGATCCAAGAGAGAGGTAAAATGAGAAGCAAGTGCAGCAGCAGCATACCTTGATGAATCCTCTCAATCATAACCCCTCGAACCGCTTCGCCCAGCCAAGCCCAATTAATCCCCGCCATCACTACCATTGCCCCCAGTAACCCAACCTCCCACCCTTTCCCTTCTTTTAAAGGCAACTTCCATCTAAACACTTCTCCTGTCTTCCAATTTGGCCATGTAACCACCGTTCCGAGAGCCAGCAGGGCAGTAGTTCGGAAGTAAGCGGGGAACAATCTTTTCTGGAGACTGGTGAATGAAGAGATAGAGAGAGCGCCGTGAGCAATTTTCGTGACGATGAAGGATTGGTAGAGTTGTGTTCCTAGCAGGGTGGAGTAGAGAAGCAGATGAAAAGGAGGGAGGATGGTTGTTGCGAGTGTCATGTTTGGAGAGTGCTGCATCTACTGCATCGAGAAACTTCGGGGAGACTGGAAAAATTATAAGATAACTGAAGAGTGCAAGAGCTGTGTTTTATACCAGATTACTCATGAATAGGAAAATTACGCGTCCTTGATTCACACGGAGTAAATTGAGATTTGGTTGGGGCGGGAAATAGACCGGATCGGATATGGATATAGCGATGAGCATAAGCCGAATCATATACCCATACTTCGTCAAGTCGATAGCTTTAGATCCGAGCTTCATTAGTATAGGTATACTCATAGTTTTCGGAAATCCTTGTGGCACCGGCGCGATACCTCCAGCTTTCATCACAGGTCGTGGCTTAGTTTGAGGTTATGAGCGAATTTCCTAGGCGTATTGAGCGGTAGTCTGCTCTTCCTTGAAAGTTCACAGATATCGGAGAAAGGGAAATAATACCTGTTTAAGTCTTTAGCTGTAGGTATTAAGTTTCTAGTTTCAAAGATTGACAATCTCATCTGATAGGGAAGCTACTAACGTGCAGCACGAGTTTGAGTGATCTTTTATCGAGACTAATAAGCTGCAGACTGTCGTTATATCGTTATCGTTACTAATATATCTTGAGAATTGGATAAGGGAAGAGACAACACCCAAATCCAGACATTACCTGACTTACACACCGACTCTTGGGCCTATCACTTGCCAGAATCCCTAATGAACGTATAAGAAGCCGAAGAAGCCGAAGAAACCAATGCACACTCGCTCACTACTACCTTCAAACCATTATGTTTCAGCCGTGCCTTTCCCTTTTCCTTTTATTTCATTTTGCGGCGTCCACAAGTCCAACAACTTCTTCACGACATCATCACCCCTCTTCATCTCCACCTTAACTTTGATGACATCCTCTGCTTCACTCTCAGAATCCCAATCCGAATCGCTACCGTAACTCTTCTTCCCCTTCCCCTTCTTCATGCGATTGACCTTCCTCGCCCTATATCTCCTTAAGTTTCTTCTCACGGCGCCCACACTGCTATCGCTACTCCAAACACTGCTATCGCTATCACTATCGGTACCACTGCTGTCACTCACATATCTCTTCTTAGGCGGTGTGGCCGAGTTGTTTACCCTTATTGGTGGGTTTGTAACCGGAGCGCGAGCAGGAGGACCACCAACCGGGAACCCAGGACCTCTCATCAGCGAATTGTAAAGGTCCAATGGCTTGCAGTGCGGCTTTGGCGTACGTTTAGCAATCATATGCATAAACGTAGCTGATCCAGCGACGTTTCCAAGACCCTTGGGAATGAAATCAGTTATTTCACCGCCGGCGTTATACAGGCTTAGCTCCACCCAACACCATTCGAAACGAGGATCTCGCTCATGGCATTTCACATCATCCATAAGCCGCGTCACTTGCCCGCTTTGATCCTCTGTGAGGCGGAGCTTGGCTTCAATGACGTTTCCGCCGTTGCGCTGGAACTGCTGGACGCGCTGCTGGACAATGTGGCGCTCGGCGCTTTCTTGAGTGATGGCGACGCGGCCCCAGGAGCGAGGAGCACGAGGCTCAATGGGCTCGCTGAGACGGACGGTGTACTCGTTGTACGTAGTTAGGGCGATGGCTGCATCATAGTCGGTCAGTGGTGTGGTATCACTTATACGGACTGAGATGGCGCTCTGTCCTAGGGGAGCGTTTCCTGGAGGGTAGACAGTAGGCCACCCTGCACTTCTTGGCGGAGGTGGTGGCCCTCCAGGAGGACCCCGCGGAGGTGACGGATTAAACGGTACTGCTCCTGGTGGGGGCGGTGGCCCTGGGATACGTAGATCTGAAATGGTAGTCCTGCGGGGAGCAGAAGGGAGAGGTGGCGGCCTGACGGCTGCTACAATGGGAGGCGGGTGAAAAGGAGGCGGGGGAGGTGGAGGAGGCCCGTTAATACGATGTGGTGGAACAACTGCCTTTCCGTCCACAAGCCTCTCGCGTACAATTGCAAGTAGTACACGGCCATCAGGCTGTCCCAACGAATTAGCATAGTCAAAAGTCAAGTACTTGGAGAGATCCTAGGAGCTGTCTTGGGAGCCGGCATATAGGCTGCTGAAACAGCTCCCGCCCAAGAACTCCAAATGTGTATGGGAATAAGCCTACCATGGTAGTGAATGGATGCTTTTTAAGCATTTCCTTTAACAATACCCACCAAGCGTTGAGCTTTTTTTCTTCCTTGATGGTTTTGAGAACGACTACTTCTCTTTCGTGTACCTTGCCTTCGGCCCATGGATACACAACGCGATGGAGCGCAGAATGCTCAGTATGATTGAGAGTGGTGAAGTTTTGATACCATGTGTTATCGTTCAATTGAGAGAGTATGGTTTTCATGTGCGTGGCTTCGAGAGAGTGGAAAGCTGAATGGGGTACTTGACGAATGTCGTGTTTCTGAACCACAAAGGCGAGAAGGTGCGAGTTCGCGTCGCATAGTACTCTCCTCATCTCAGCAGCAAGAGATTCTTTGCTAGTGAATAGACTCCTGATTCTGAACTTGAAACTGTTTGTTTTAGAATCAAAAAGACGAGACTGATCAATAGTAGGTCTACACAGTTAGCGGACATTTCACAAAATCTATCAGGGTTTCTCACTTGACTATCTGAATCTCTTTGGCACCCTGATCCTCTAACGGCTTTACGGTAATGACCGAAGTTTGAGGCAACTTAGGTTTCTCATCGACTGGGAAAGCCGAGCTTGCTGACGGAGAAACCGTGCCTAGCAAAGTTGTTCCATTTGTAGAGCTCTGGGATTTATTGACGGAAGACTTATGGCTCTCAAAATATGAAGGGGGCTTGAGGTTCCAGACGTTAGCTTAGCTTTCCCAAAAGAAGAATACACTCACAGGCGGTGGCTGGCTTGGCGTAGGAACGGCAACAGGACGAGGGGGCGGCGGTGGCGGGCCTCCGGTAGTCTTTCTGACCACCTTCTTCTTTTTGAGTGAAACAATGCTTGCATCACTGTCGCTGTCGCTACTATTGCTCTCGCTGTCGCTGGAAGAATCAGGACGCTTCTTCTTTGGTAGAGCCTTTGTCTTAGGTACTTCGATGCCAATTAGATCTGCGGTACGAACAATACGATCATGGTAAGTAACGATGCTTTTGATATCGACATTTCCCGAGGTTCTATGTGTGTAAGCTGATATCTCTTCTCTAGAGAGCAAACTTACAGGTCTTTAGAAAGCCCACCAACAGTAACGACTTGGAATACCAAGAGAAGATGTAGTTGAAGCTCGTACATTCGCTCCATATCGTCCTCAAGGGGCCCTTCCACTAGGCTCCATTTAGTGTTCTCAACCTTCTCCAAGAACACTTTCTCATCAAGTTCCAATTTACATGGGATTACCTCAGGTGGGCCCTTGGTTGCTAACTCTTTTCTGTCCCGTTTGAATTTGGCCTTGAACTCCTTACGGGGCAAGCACGCATCATTGATAATAGGCGCAACCTTTGCAAATGTCTTAGCACACTCCCTTATAAGGAGCTGAACGTATAAAATCCCCTCGGGGCTAAACAGCTTGAGACTCTCATCATCGTCCCCCAACAGACGTGATATCTGGTTGAGACTCGCGACTGTGGCGTCGAGAATGTTCGTGGCCCCTTCAAAGCCACTTGGGACGCGTTCTGCGATCAACGCATACTGGTGAAATACACCCGCAAGCTTTCCGCCGTACCCAGCAACGTGCTTCACATCCACGTTGATACTGGGCATCTTGTGGGCGTCTATACTTTCCTTCGACGACGGGCGAAATGGTTCTCAAGTGAAAATGTCGGATGGAAGAAATTTATACATTTATAGGAAAAGATAAAATGGGGGAAAGTGGTTAAAGAGGCTTCGAGGCAACCATCAGGCAGATCCTGATGGTTGCCTCGCTTTGCCTTGCTTGCCCCGCACAAGTTCTTCAAAGTGAGGCGAGCATTGCATAAAAAGAACCAATTGAAAGACACTATATAAAGCCATTGCAAATGGTCACATAACTACCTGGCCTATGTCAGCACGTTATCGTTGGCCTTGTGCAATATTACAGGATATACCATAAAGAGGCGTGCGGGAAATAACCGGCCAGAACTCATTGGAGAGAAGGCTGCAGTCAGCATTGTAACATCCCTTGAGATCAAGAAGGCCGAGCCGCATATCAAGCTTCACATTGGCCATCACGAGATATTCGCCAGCTCAGACAGCTGATGAGCTGCAGGCGTAACAATATCTCAAGAATCGGCCAACAAGCAACACACGTAGATGAGAGCTACAGGAGTTCATGGGATCCATCGTGACAACAAGTCAACCACTTGGCATTTGACTTGCTGAGAGAATTATGGGGTTTGTCTAGTCTCGGGAGATCGGGACAATTCAAACAGGGATGACTGTTGCACCTTAAGAATCCGGGCGATGCTGTGACACAGGAAATCAGCTTTAATATATACCTGCATATTCGTGTAGGAGGGATTTGGTATCGTCAGCTGTGAGAATAATCCGATACTCATATCTCCCTGCACCACTTGGCCATGATCCCACTCAAGCCGTCAACACTCCCTGTTATCTCCTCGAGTCCCACGTCTACCTTCCACATACGTCCTCCTACTCCAATATCTCGGCCACCGCCTCCATTGATGCCTGCAGGAACCAACAAGTCGTAATCCGCCAGCCTCTCCCAAGCTCCTAGCGCAACATCTCGTCCCCAAACTTTTGCGCTTGCACCTAGTGCCGCGACCCCAGTGCTGGATGTTTGTATCTTATGCTTAGAAGTTAATGAGCTGTATTCGTCATAGGCCATTGCAAAGTTGCAAGTATCAGTATCGAGAATTATATCAAGCCGTGTGGCAGATATCAAAAGAGCTAGCTCCAGATCTGAAAGCCCCTGCAGAACATGGAGCTTTGAATCTGGTGGTGACAGCGACAGGTTGTTTGACGTAAATTCTTTTCCAGTGAGCATGAATTTACTCAAAGAGAGATTCGCAATTGGTAGAATGCATGAAGCGAGGAATGCAGGAATAGACTTTGTTCGATAGAAGTGGGATTGCATATAATGCTTGAACGAATTGTCTTTGTTGTAGAGGTCCTAGAATTATTAGCAATATCAAATGTGATATAGGCCATTTCTCTTACATCAACCATTGTATGCCAGAAAGAAAGAAATTCGTCCTGGCCACTATTATCAGTACTAACCAGTTCAGCATCTAGTTCTTCCGTATTTATAGTCAATGCTTCTTTGCAGATCTCCCAAAAAGCCGGAAGACTTCGAGGCTGCGACAAGTACACATATCGATGACTGAAGCGACTCTTTACTCTCTTCTCCAGACTTTCCACCACATCAATTCGGGTGGTGAGACCTAGAACAGCAATAGGGGCTTTCCTTGCTTGTGCTATGTCAAAAAGATTGTACAGGAGTGTTTGTCGAGCATGTGTTGTAAAGAGGTCAAATTCATCGAGGATGAATATTACGGACTTAGTGGTTTGGTCTGGTTGATTTGTCTGGGATATAGATATCTCTGAAGGATGCGACAAAAGAGCTAGCAGTGATGCTAGAGTATCAGCATGGTTGCTCTACGTAATCTGTTAGCATCAAAATATATTTAACAAGTTCACTAAATCACCTTGCCAATCGAATCATCCTCGACCTCCATCTCACGGCCCAATTGTCGCCAGATCTCCCTCAGGGCTATCTTGTCATCAGTATGGATAAATCCATTCAAGCGTACAACATGGAAGTTCTCTCTGTGTTCAGCAGATATATCTGATATGATAGACTCCACAAGCTATCAAACAGTTAGCATTCGACAATATATTGGTGGAAGGGTACTTACAGTAGTCTTTCCACAGCCTCTTCCACCAATCACTAACATCGAATTGCCTTCTCCGGCCATAATTGTCTGTTCGACAACCTGATGAACCTTTTGCATTTGTTCATCATGACCCCTTAACTTTATGCGCCGCTGGCCACTTAATCTGTTTAATATTATTCGCTGAGTGATGCGTAAATGACCTTCAAATCCCTCAATATCCGCAAGACCGCCAGGAGGTCCATTACCGGCAACCTCTCCATTGGGTCCAAGATCTGATTTTTCTTCAGTATCTGGTTCACAGTCTCTGCAGAACCAATCTCCTTCTGGAATGATTGGAACCCCGTAACACTTCTGATGGACTGCTTTGTCACATCTGTCGCAGAACAAGATCTGGTTTCCCTTTCTAGAATCGAGCTTCAAGCAAATAGAGCACGCTGCTTCCTCTTCCTCTTCCTCTTCCTCTTCGTTGGGCTCTTCTTCTGAAACGGCAACCTTGGCGTCCTGGGCCTCCTCGGCTGAATCTATGCTTGGTGCCCTCGCAGCCTTGTCTGTCGCTTTCTTACTGCTGGCCATATCTGGAAGATCCTTGAAGCCCAAATCCACCCCGGTATCTTCTCGCTCGAAAGCTACACTCTTTCTTGACTTCAGTGTCCTGGGCTTGCTAGGTGTAAGAATGGCTTTGGGTAAAGTTTTGGTTGAAGTTGTGTTTTCTGCTGGCGCCTTTCTCGGTCTTCCTCGTCCTCGTTTGGATGTACTCGGCGGAGCTTCTGATTGTGATTCAACGCCATCCCGGTTATTCTCCTCCGTACGATTGGTTTTCCGCCTCTTCAGAACCTCCACCTTTTCCGATGCCTCGTCGACTGGAGCTTCTTCATCTTCGGTAATCCTTCTCCGTGCGGCCTCTCTCGACAGTGCCTTGTCTTTCTTCAATATATCCGACTTCCTCGGGCGGCCTGGCATACGTTTCTCCCTCAAGATAGTTTTTGTTCGTTCCATCATATCTCGTCCTCTCCGGCCGATGCTTCCTGTAGCCCTTGCTCCCTCTTCTTCATCCGAGACCGTAACTTCGTATATGTCGATTCTGGCAGTAGACTTCTTCTTCGTAGATGACTTCGGGGTTGGTGATAGAACATCGCTTCTCTGCCTCCCATTCCTTCTCTGGCTTCCCGTTAGTGATCTGCCCCCATTGCTCTTTGTTTGCTCCGAGTCCTCGGCTTCTGAAACCTCGATGTCGAAAATATCTTTCCCGGTCGCCAATTCATCTTCTTCCTCGGCGTCCTGCTCATTTCCCTTGCCCGGTTTTCCTCCAAGTCCAAGGAACCCTGATATTGTTCGGCCAAAGGAAGATATAGCGCCAATAGCTGGTGGAGAGGTCTGAGTATTCAATTTTCTCTTCTTTTGCCCACCAGACAGCGGCGTTGTGACTACTGCTTTCTGCGGAGACAATTCGTCAAGGTCGTCGTCTGCGAGTTGAGCTCTGCTGCGCTTGCGTGTGGGGACTGAGGATGAGGCTGGCATTGCGAAGCCAGAAACAGATAGGGAATCTCGGATTTTGATGTTCTGGCGACCGAGATATCGCAGTTGTCAAATTGTCATGGCATTGCCAGAATCGGTGAATCGGTGGACGACGCGTCGGTCGCGTGAGGCTAAAATTGGGCACGCTCCATCCAGCCCTCCTCCTTTCAACCTCCACTCAACTCTCCACAGTTAAGGAACCTCAGAACCTCTTCCGAAATCGACACAATGGCATTATCGAAGCTTGATACTATTGAAGGGATGAAGTCTACTTACACGGAGTATTTGGTGACTGAAGTGGGTTTGCGTTTGTCTTCACTAGAAGGGCAAAGATCAGCAAGTCCCTCTTGCTTCGTATTTTCTTTCCACTCCCCTCCCCTGCCTCCTCACGAACTTGTTATTTCTGTATACTTGTCCATAAGTGTGGGTCAGAGAGCACTTGTCCGGGTGGCTGGACAGCACCAAAATATCTGAGCAGGCCAATAAAAATTGCTAGATTGATGCCTATCTATCTGTCTAGGCATACGTGCCGCAAAGGCGGGGGGTAGTCTTTGCGGGGTTGCTTCTTATTATTATGTTTTGCTGCTAATTTCCCACCTTTATGATCTCCTTTCACTTTGAAATTTCTTTCCATTTGTTTGTATAAACGAGTAACCATTATGACTTTCACCACAATGCTGCTTGATGGCTACAAGCCAGTGATTATTCTTGCCCTTACGGCTGTAACTTGGTACTGTTGGCGGAGTCTTTCCGTACGCATTGAACCAGGGGAACCTCCGATTCTAAAACCTACAATACCATACATCGGACATCTTATTGGATTAGCAAGAGATCAGACCTCTTATATGGATAAATTGATGCAAGTCAAGGCCTAGCAAAGTCAAGTGCTGTTTGCTGACTGCCTGGTAGTGCCAAATACCCAGTGCCAATTGGCACATTGCCAATGATCAACAACAAAGCATATATTATCAACTCCCCATTGCTCATCCAGAGTGCTCTCCGATCGAAGGATCTCTCCTATGATCCATTCATACAGGACTCCAGTGAAAAATTGTTCGCGCTTGCCGATCCATCCACGATGAAGATTTTCAGGGCTCCAGGCACGCTGGAGAAACCGGCTTTGATGGACGAGTTTAACAAAGAAATGCATGGTTCCATGCTGGGAGAGCATCTGCACAAGATGAACCGTGTTGCTCTACTAGGTATTGCTGCCTCAGTAAATAAGTAAGCATAGGACCCTCTTTGGTCTGAACTTGCTCATGCCGTCAAACATTATCTCAAATTCTAGGAATTAATTCGCCCGTGATTCAGGATCGGAGAGGCATTCGAGGCCAAGAGCCTATACCGTTGGATCCGGTCAGTGATGACCATAGCAACTACGGACTCATTGCTCGGCTCACATAATCCTATAAAAGCGGACCCAACTCTTGTGGACTTTCTATGGTATGGTTCTACTGCACCTACTTCACCTCTATTTGCTAACTGTTCTCAGGGACTATGAAGGAGGTGTTACTTCCCTTCTTATGGGCATCCCCAAATACTGGGCACCCAAAGGATACGAAGGTCGCGCAGCTGTACAAGGCGCTCTTATAAAATACTATGAAGCAAAATACGACTTGGAGTCTGATGTCGCAGAAATGACAAAAATGCGGGCGAAAGTGTTCCGCAAACATGGTATAACGGACGCAGAGACCGCTAGGCTCGAGATAGGATTTCTTCATGTAGCAGTCTCAAACACAATTCCCACGTGTTTCTGGCATTTGTCTTTCATCGCTTCCTCTCCAGCTCTTACGGCTTCTATTCGAGACGAACTCATAGCCATTACCACGATCAATACCCTAGATTCGGGGAAGAAAGAGGCTGTTATCGATAACTCGAGATTTCTCAGCGATTGCCCAGTCTTCGTCTCTGCGTATCGTGAGACCATACGTCAAATAAGCTCCCTGGTCATATTTCGCCGGATAATGCAGGACACTACCATCTCCGACGGCAATTCCAACTATCTTCTCAAAGGAGGGAAGGATGTGGCGATAGCTGTGGGAGTTTCTCATATGAATCCTGCCAATGTAAGCCAATTCTAAAACTTTTCAATCTTTTGATCCGCTTCTGTAATGATATGGGAGTTCCGAGACGCGCCCCGACTCTACATCCTTCTTCATTGAATGTTGCTGACTCTGAGGATTTACAGTGGGGTTCTAATGTTGCCCAATTTGACGCAGAAAGATTTCTACACGAAAAAGGAATGGGAAAGGAGAGAGTGCCAACGAAGGCGTATTTTCCATTTAGCGGAGGCAAACATTTATGTCCTGGGATGCACTTTGCGTTTACGGAGATCCTGGGGACAAGCGCTCCCTTGGTGCTGGGCTTTGACATAGAAGCGATTGATGGGACGACGTTGAAAGTTCCCAAGATTGGGAGGAGCACTATGGCAGAAGCAGTAACGAAACCGGAAGGGGAGGGTTTGGAGATGGGTGCAAAGTTTACGAAGAGGAAAGGATGGCAAGGTGTGACTTGGAGATTTACTTTGGCTTAAGAATAATTCGATAGTTATTTCAGGGGTTTGATTCTACTGGTTTCACGAAACAAACACCTTTTTCTTTAGGATTCCATGAACGTTTCAAGGCCCTTTTTAGGGTGAGTCCTCAGAACGATATTCCCTGACTTTAACAGATTTACTCTCTCAAGTCACTCGTCAGGATCAACGAACATTTATAAAACCAGTCCCCTGAATAAGCTATGTCTGCTTTCAGATCAAGCTTGATATATAATAATTGATGATGACTGCTGCAGGATGGTGGTGTGAGGTAAGGCTACTGGTAAATATCCCCTACCCGTTGTTTTAAAGGGGCTCAACCGACTTTAGACCGACCAGGCTGAGAAGTTCTAGACTTCTTATTACCCCTGGATTTAATATCCTTGCTATACGCCCCATTAAGTTTGACAATGCCCGAATGCTAAGCTTTCAGCATCCTAGTGAGAATCCTTCTATTTACCGAAGCACTCAACCACTGTTCTTTACGCCACCGCTTTTGATCTAATCATCTGATTATGAGAAAAAAGTCATCCTTACGATGGATCTTGGATGGGTGACTCACTCAAAAAGCAGTTCTAGGCATCTGGTGCATAGCAGTTGCAAAGAAATATAATTATCATCTTCTCGTCCGATCACAACAGGCATCCTGCCTGTTTTGCCCCGCTCTCTGGACGGATGCGATATTAGTGGCGTTCAGGGGCCCGAGAGTGCCGCACTTCTCCATCAATCGACAATTTCGGCATCCCCGTTCCTGGATTTCTCACCAGTCAGAAGGCATTCAGCGACTTAAGCTTATGGTGGGTGCCTACCCGTCGTATATGTTAGGCCACAACGGCGCTGTGCCTTTCACTTGCAGTGAATCGGAAATGACTTTGACATATGGTTTCCGCAAAACCTAGGCAAAACATATGCATAGCAAGTTTTCTTCTATATAAGATGAAATGAAGATCCCCTTTTGTTTTCAGAACCATCAGCGGGATATTCAATCGTTTAAACTACCTCCCACCTTAAAGACATAATGCAGTTCTCCCTCCTCTCTTTCGCCGTCCTGGCTGGCGCTGCCGTCGCCTCTCCTCTGGCTGCCGAGCTTCAGATTGAGCAGCGTGCAGCTGCCGCTGACAACTGTACTCAGTATACCAGCGTTGCCGCTGGGAGTGTTTGCATTCACAGCCCTTCTGACTGTACGATCTCCTCCATGTTGTACGCCCACATTTGCTAAGAAATTCAGGTACCGCAACATACTTGGTGCAACCTGACGATACCTGCGGATCCATTGGTGCCATCTATAACAACTTCACTCTGTCAATCTTCCAATACTGGAACCCGTAAGTTCTGCTTTTAAATATCTACGGATTTAACTAACGGATTTTAGTGATATTGGCAAGACCTGCTTCGGTCTCCAAGCCTATGTCCCAGTGTGCATCAACACTCCTTGGTATACATTCACTCCTCCCGTCCAGGAGCCCGAAGGCACAGTCGAAGCCGACACTTCCAACCCCATTCCCCAAATGCCCAACATTGTGTCAAACTGCAACAATTTCGAACTTGCTGGTGGTGGATACACCGTTGACACCATAGTGGCATCAAACAACATCTCAGAGGATAACTTCCTTGACTGGAACCCTTATATCAACAAAACTGCACCTGTTGCTTGGGAGGGTTACTGGGTCTGCGTTGGCGTAGCAGCATAGACGTATTAGTCTGTGATTGGCAAGAAGGGTAGTGGGTCGATGGTGGGGTGGTTTTTGTCGGTCCATCTAGTCTGCCTTTAGTTGGGATTGGTACCTAAAGATCTACAGTCATTACACTTACTACATGCCTTTTTAGACAGTCAATAATGATTTCTTCAAGCTGTGGAACATCAATTGTGGCCATTTCAGTGAAAATACTGGTATAGAGGGAAGACATTAATAGTAGTTTCTTTGTAATGATCCTACTATTCCTTACCTTTCAATTGTTTACGTACCTTGGGCTTCGTTTAGCCGCAACAATAACATATAGTAAAGGACAGAATTTAGTACTTTACAGATTCGTATCTTTGATACAATATTCTCAGACACCACGCTTATATTTACAGTAGGGGTCTACATCTACACTAATACTAATGCCACGTAGCTCTCAATGCCCTATTGACACCTCAAAATACTAAATCATTAGGAATGACTATATGGTTTAGAATTCATTCTCCCTAGAACTCTGATATACGTTTCTTTTATAGCACAATTTCTTAGCTGTTGTCATAAATAGAAGTATTAAAGGCGTAGTAGCTGGTCCGCGCAATTTATAAATATTGATCTTTCGAATTTAGCGTCTTACCTAACATCGCGACGGCATGTATAATGTCTAAGTATTTAATGATAGTTTATAGATTATATAAGCAGATGAGATATCTATCGTGAATTAAGAAGAAAGTTGGCTGATCAGCGGAAACTAAGTGCCTCCACAATAACTACCCACCTCACATCTAAATGATTGTTGTAGTTTGATATAACTTCTAGTCTATTCCTAAAACTATACTGTGACACCATAAAACAATTGCTAGCCAGAATCATCCTTGGTCATTCTTCGCATATGCGCGTGAATACTTCTTTAGATGCCTTCCTGAAACTTGACGTGGAAATACCCAGTCTTTGAATCTATGCCCGGAATAACAGTCGCAGGCAGCACTGTTTTACTCGGCTCACCGTACTTCTTCCCTTCTGGTGTTTCCCTCCACCTCATATGCACGTCGATACTCGCATATCCAAAGACACCATAGATAGAAACCGAATCCGCGCCGGAAACGACAGCCTTTGGTTCCGCATCAAATACTACACAAAGTCAGATCTAGATAATGATCAGTATACCGTGACTTACACCAGCCGATAGCGGCCCCGAAAGCTTTGCCAATTTCCTGTACGTCTCGAAGGACATTTGCAGATCCCGCTTCTATCGCCGTCCTCGCCGCTTCATCGGGACGGGTAGGCATCGTAAAGAATGCAACTTCAGTTACACCTGATCTGAAAGCCGCAGTAGCTCCATCAGTATCTACCACACGCGTGAAAACTGGTTTGAATTAGCCGCTGTCCTCCTTCGTATCATTAGACTGTCTCCGTACGCGTAACAGGCGCTGTCGTCTCAACGTCAAAGAACTCTATCACACGACTCCAGAAATGTGCCCGTTCTTGAGTCTTGAGCCATGTAGAGTAATGTTCACAAGTCTCCCAATCTGTACCATATATATTAGAGGAGAGGGTAAGTGACGAGTCAAGAATAACTTGCCGGAAGCCCAAACAAAGAGTTCTGGATTCTCGATCTGATAACCCTATCCCAAATTTTCAGCTCCAGATAGAAGGAGTTTAGGAGAGAGAGACAGTACCCAATACTGGCGAATGAAGCCTTTCTGGTCTTTCAGAACGTCTGTCAAATGAGTGAATGTCTCTACTGCATGGCTTGGATTGCTGGGTACGGTGTTCTCAAGGTCGGGGCATTCTTTGGGTTTAAAGATGCTAATTATAGTAATCTGTTGAGGGCACATCTCCTCAGTATTGATTTAGAGAAATAGTTCTTAGAATTTAATGAATTTTGGCGGTGTAGGAGCGACGTGAATTCAATGTAAGCCGAGAAAAGTATAAAGACAGATAAGCGGGGTCCTGTCTGTCAAGCCGCCATTGACATTGATTAGTGCAGAGCAAGTGATAAAACGTCCTTGTAACCGTTTCATGTTTATACTAATAGTAAACTTTTATGATACATACTTATCTTTTCAGTTTCTAATATGACATTTTCCAGTCCACCTTTTTTTTCACCCTTTCCAAGTTTGATGTTCTTTAAGCTTTACAATTAGCCAATTAAAGTCGTAGGATTCACCCACTTTTGCTCTCACTCGTATGTAATAAAATAGGCTAAATTTTCGGCAAAACCCGTCTTGTCGACGGATGTCGTATAAGTGGCCTGGTGGTCTAGTGTACGTTAAATCGTTGATATTTAAATAATTTCACCCGTTCTAATTTGTTATTAGGGTATGATTGTCGCTTCGGGTTATTCCCAGCTGTTTCAAACAGAAACATGTGACAGGCCCCGGGTTCAAATCCCGGCCAGGCCCACTGAAGATAAACTTTTGATTTCATGCTTAATCTTTTGGTTTTGTGTTTAATTATAAAGTCCTCCAGAGAGTTATTATTTTCCATAATTAGATAGAGTCTTTTATGTAGTAGTTATTCCTTTCTATAATTTTCTAGTACAGTAGTATGTATCTAGCTTAAATATACTTTTATTAGTCTATCCTCTATTTTAAAACAATATTAAGGAAGGAGCGGTGAAGGGGGCAAATGTAAAAGCCGTGAGATAATTTTTCTCCATTATAAATATTATGTTGTGCCTCCTTACATCCTGCATCTCACGGTTGCGTTGCGGCCGAATACGCGAGCAATACGACTTTCATATCTCCAGTAATGCTCAACTCGTTTTAAGAAACAGACGATTAGCTAGAAGCTATATTCAAGGTAAAGGCTGCTGCTGAGCCCCTCAACTCCTATTCGTAATGTCTTATTTTTCGCCCCTGGAGGATTTTGCCAGGGCTATTGGCAGGAATAAGGGGGCGTTAGCGCCACCCTAGTGTGTCTTGGGCATTCTTCTAAAAATACAACCATCTGGTGCTTTGTTACACCTTATCTATCCATAGTCTTCCTGACAGTCTGTATTCGTTCGCACAAAGTCCGCTGAACACCTCCTACCTATATGCTCTCAGAAGCTGCTACTTTATTATCTAAATTTCAGTAGCAACTCAAATAGCTATAGTGTATCGGGTCAAGGTTCTAAGTTTTCACTCCCTCAAAGTCACTACTTCTCAGAACAACCTAGCTTTCTGAAATGGCAGCAGTGGCAGCCTCCAGCAATTGTACTAGCGCAAACATCTTCTTACTTCCTTGGAACCAATTAATAGCTACCCCCTCCTTCATTTCTAGCAGCTTATATCTGCCTCAGCTTACACGTTACAAGAGCGGCAAAGGTGTGGATGTACAACAGGAGTGTTAAAATAAGATACACATACCTCACCAAAACCTGATAATTTCAATTGAAAGGTAATACAAGTCGCACCATTTCTAGCCTCCGTCAAAATGATATTTTCTCGCTCTCGTCGATCTCCTGTTCTACGCATATCACTGTGCCAAACAAATCACAACCGTGGGGCTGTATTTTCAGCGTCAAAGTGAAAACATGTCGCAAAATTGTTACTTTCCTGGTGGGAGCGTTGCAAGCGAGATGGTCCCATGCGACCCAGATGCTGAAAAAAGTCCTTGTTGTGGGGGAAACGATGCTTGTATCGAGAATGGCTTGTGCTATAGCATGAAATATTTCGTCCTCTACCGCGGAGCATGTACCGACAGTGGGTTTCCTCCTGCATTCTGCTCGCCCCATTGTGTTGCAAGCGATGAGCCTCTGTCGACGTCTAGTAAGCAATCTACATGCTTCTTGGAGGGTGAGTCGCGCTGACCTTTTATTACAGGTAACCTGAATAAATGGGGAGTGCTTACGACCTGCGGAGACTTCCATAGCCGGACGTTCACTTGCCTCTCGACTGTGTCTAGTTGTTCAACCGCAAACTTTACGCTTAGCCCGTCAAATATCACAGCGTGGAAACCTGGGAATCTTAACATACCAAGTTCGAATGCCATTATAAATTCATCGGTCATAGCAACAGCAGCAGGAACAGCCACGGTCACGGCTACAGCTAAGGCTACCACGAACGCTTTTCCGGTATCCGGAACAAAGAGCAAGGGTGTCAGCTCAACGGTGCTAGGGGTCGCGGTTGCTGTTCCTGCCGTAGTTCTTTTCCTACTTGCACTGATGGGCTTGATTTTCTCTCTTCGCGAGCATAAGAAACGTGTCAACGCAGAGAAATCAGCTACAAATCTGACTAGCGAAGTTGGCCAGCTTCAAAGTCCCGATCCTCTAGTTGCGCAGCTTGTTGCTCAAACTCAAACTCCTAAGCCCCCTGTTTCAGAGATCGGGAGGAATAGTTTGTCGGGGAGGTATGAGTTGCCATCCATACCCAGATGATGTCTCATATCGCATTGAAGCCGGTCAGTTTGTTGAGCATCATAGGTAGAATATTCTTGTAATACCTCTAGATATCTATCTAGGAGCTTGTATTATATACGTTCTTACAAAGGCATATATAAGAACACTCTGTAGTGACCTGCCTTGGGAGTCGCAGTACTGCAAGCCACGCATGTGACCTACCCACTATTGAGTTCAAAGCAGCCAATGTTTTTCAATCCAATAGATGTCTCTTCCCAAAATGCCCACTCGACCCTTAAAAACATTCGCATATTTTGAAGATCTACCTCCGGAATTCCGACTACATATGGCAGCCAGAACTTTCCACTCGGGTCATGCAAATCAATATCTCCTCCAGCCAGCTGGATCACCAAAACCCCTTCATTCATCAGTCTTCCCTCCCTTCGTCCACATTTATCAAGACTCTCGTCAGCTTATGCTAAATAAAGTAAGTCTTCCTTAATCATAACACTCACTATTCAAGGTTGTGAATTGAAAGGTAGGAAATACAAAGCTCCAGAACTCCCAAACGGCGTTCTCATCTGCCTATCTCTCGACACTATTTGCACCTAGTATAAAATAATGGGAATAGATAGAAGTGTGTACTAACACGAGTGCCGATAAAGTGGTATGCTTCCGAGTTTCCAAGGTCGGTCCACACCTAAAGCCGCAGATGTATAAAAAGAACCTCCAAAAAACCTCATTCACAATCCAAGTCTTCATTTGCTCTTAATAGCATGTCATCAACCATCTATGCATTTCCAAAGCCCATTCATTTCCTAAATATACATGCGGCCCATTCTCACCCACTCCTGACTCACAACTTCGCATTCCCCGCATCAACCAACTCAACCGCCGCTCCTGAGATAGCCAGCTTCCCCGTCTCCTTAACCTTCACCTGAAAGATAACCTTATTTCCCTCCACCTTCCACATCTCCGTAACCAGCGTCTCGCCCGGCAACACCGTGCCCGCAAACCGCACCTTAATATTCTTAAACTGTCCAAACTGCTGATAGACCGCCTTTCCAGCGATGCCGAAGAAGCAGAGGCCGTGCAGGATCGGTACCTTGAAACCGCCCATCTTCGCGAACGCCGGATCGACGTGAAGGGGGTTGTAGTCGCCGGATAGTCGGTACAGGACTGCTTGTTCGGGTGTAGTCTTTTCTTCTACTACGACGTCTGGCGCGCGTTTGGGCGGGGTGTTGGATGCGGTGCTAGCACCTCTGTCAAGTGGCTTCTTGACGCCTCCGAATCCGCCTGAGCCGCGAAGGAAAACCGTGCTTTCGTTGTAGAATACAGGCTTGCCGTTTGCTTTGTTGATCGTTGTGACGCCTGATTTTAGTACTGCGGCTGAACCCTTGTCGACCACTTCTAGGAGCTTGGGGTATGAGACGAGGGTCCCGGATGTGGGGATCGGGTAGGAGAGTATTTCAAGATATTGTTCGCCATGCAGGAGGGTCATGGGAGAGAAGTTTGGCACGACTTCGTCGATGCTGTAGGGGGTTTCGGCGGAGAATTGGGGGATGACCCCGAAGGTAGGGAGGGCTTGGAAGTTTTCATCTCCCTCGCTAGGTGGTGTTAGTTCTTATTCTAGTGTGAATGAGAGAAGAGACATACAAGACGTAAGGCAAATCCGTTTTCTTGGCTCCAATTCCCAAGTTGTAGAGAATAGCATCTCTCTCTTCGTATTTGTATTCCGTGCCTTTTGCTTCTACTTTCTTGGCTTTCTCGATGTTGGCCAAAATTTCTTCATTCACTTCGCCGCCATCACTTTTCTATTTGGACAAGAGTGAGTCAATATTTCAATTTTCAGTACAACTACAAAGTACATGCTGCCAAGACTCCGAGAAGATCATACCTTGCTCGCATCACCCGCCTTATTTTGTATGTTCGCCATGATGCTCTTCAATCCCTCCTGGGGATCTTCAGGATGATCTGCTCGTCCATCATCAAAGTTGGTGATACGCTTCCAGTTCTTCGCAACTTCCTCGGGAGTCAGTTTTACATCGACCGGGAATCCGTGGCCGCCAGATCGTTGCCACCTTGTTTGTCCAACCCATCCACTACCGACTTCGAAGAGTCCGCCAGTTGCTGGTTTGGGGACTTTGTCAGAAGACAATGCGACGACCAAAGGCGCTATGTAGTCGGGCTTGAATGCTTGTACCATTTCTTCGGGCATAATAGTTCTTGTCATGGCGGTACCAGCGTTAGGTGCGATGGTGTTGACATAAATGTTATACTTCGCACCCTCACGTGCAATAGCTCGGGAGAACCCAAGGATACCGCATTTCTACACGTGTCAGCCACGTCAACATGGTCCGGGTAGATAAACTTACAGCTGCAGCATAATTGGCTTGACCGAAGTTACCATAAATGCCACTAGTTGATGTAGTGTTTACGATACGTCCGTACTTCTGCTTGAGGAAATATGGCCACGCTGCCTTGGTGATCTTGTATGTACCTCTCAAGTGAACAGAGAGGACTTGGTCCCACTGCTTGTCGTCCATGTTGCTGAAAGCCTTATCTCGGAGTATACCGGCGTTATTGACGATAATGTCGATTCGTCCATATGCATCAATTGCAGCCTTGACAACTGCGTCTCCATCCTCAGCAGATGCCTTGACACCAACAGCTTTGCCGCCAGCCTTTTGGATTTCTTGGACTACATCATCTGGGTTCATAAGATCATTAACGACAACTGAAGCGCCGTATTTGGCAAATGCCAAGCAGTAGACACGGCCAATACTAAACATAGTTAGAAATGCCTCTTTTCTCAACATGACTTCTACTCACCCCGCGCCACCCCCTGTGACCAAAGCCACCTTGCCCGTGAAATCAAGAGTCTCGCCTTTGTCATTTGGGCCCATCTCCATAGATTTCTCAAGCAATCCCATGAAATCAGCAACACCAGTCGGATATTCTGGGGTTTTGAAGTCGCTGACTGAATCCCACTTCTTCAAGATAGCACCTGGGGTATATGAATCATCCGCCTTTAGAAGGAGACCACTAGAACGCTCCCATCTAAGCTTAGCAATGTGTCCACCTCCGGCTTCAAAGATGGCCCCATTCTCCTCGGAGTCCTTGTGTACGAGAACCGCAACTAGTGGGACGATCCAGTCAGGCTTGAGGGCTGCGAGAATGTCGGGTGGCATGACGGTTTCTGTCATTCTGCTGGCAGCTACATATTGTTAGCATTGAAACCCCCTATCGTTTCTTGAAGACATACCAATGGGGGCAATAACATTGGCATGGATGTTATACTTTGCTCCCTCCTTTGCCAAGGTCTCAGTGAAACCAACCATAGCCAACTTAGCCGCCGAGTAATTGGCCTGTCCAAAGCTTCCAAACAAACCAGCAGCAGAAGCAGTGTTGACAACTCTTCCAAACTTCTGCTTTCTGAAATGAGGCCATGCAGCTCTAGCACACTTGTATGATCCTTTGACATGGACATCCATAATTAGATCCCAGTCCTGGTCTTTCATGTTCTTAAAGCTGACATCCCGTAGGATACCAGCATTATTGAGGAGGATATCGATACGGCCATAGTTCTGGATGGCGGTTTCGATGATCTTGTCGCCGTTGGTGACGCTGTCGTAGTTGGCTACAGCCTTTCCGCCTGCGGCTTTGATCTCGTCAACAACAATATCTGCTGTCTTCTTGGGCGTTAGAGATGTTGGCAGAGAGAGAATAGAGAGAGCATACCCTTGAGGAGTTTCCTCCTCCCTTCAAACCACCTCCCAGGTCGTTGACAACAACACTTGCTCCTCGAGAAGCGAAGAATAAAGCATATTGTTTCCCTAAGCCACCGCCTGCACCTGTTACGACCACCACCTGTCCATCATATCGTAGTTCTGACATTATGGATTGCTGTATTCCGAGAAAATCAATATGACATTCAATGTAGAAGAAGAAGAAGACAAAAGAGGAGTGGGAGATGTAAGAAGTATCTGGCTGAGAGCCGGTTGCTCCAGGATGCCGCCCTTGGGCCTCGGCACATTTCATGACGCTCTTTCAACCCCGGGATTTGACCCCACACGGAATAGGTCCACCTTCACATGCTGTAACATCTTGCATGTCCTATCTTCACTTCACGTGCGCATTCTGTACAGGAAGAAATAAGACATCTGACACCGATTCTCGTGCTGCCGCCAATCTCACTTCTAGTAATCATCTAGTGGTGTACTGTATTTATTACCATGTGAAGATGAAGCATTTCTCAAAACCCGGACGTTATTCTAACGCCCAAGTCCGTCCGTCTCAAACCCAACCATCCCACTTCACAACACCAAGCTGAGCTGAATATGCCGTCTCTCACTATATTCGCCATGAGCAATTCAATGACCCAGCCTTCGTCTCTTTTTCTTCCTCTCCATCCATCACACACCATCACATATCAACACATACGATGGCAAGCTCAAGCAACGCCCAGAAGGATGAATCCCTAGAAACTACAACCCAACCCCGAATCATCGACGATAAATCCCCCCACTGCATCCCCTTCATCCTCTCGCGCCTCCACGCCTACCAATCATCCCATCCAAACTCCTCCCGCCCCTTCATAATAGGCCTCAACGGCGTCCAAGGCGCCGGGAAAACAACCCTCGTATCCGCACTCGCGCAAACGCTGAAGGAGAAAGAGGGCCTAGAGACTCTGGTACTGAGTATAGATGACCTGTACCTGAAGCGCGAAGACCAGGTGAAGTTGGCGCGCGAGCAAGAGGGCAACGCATTGGTGCAGTATAGAGGAGAACCAGGTTCGTCTCCTTCACAATCCCAACTTCCCCGCAAAATGCTAACCCCGCATGAAACCAGGAACCCACGACATCCAACTCGCCCACAGCCTCCTTAGTACTCTCCTCGCCGGCCTCCCAACCCCCATCCCGGCCTACAACAAAGCCGCCCACTCCGGACATGGCGACCGCGCTCCCTCCAGCACCTTCCGGCTTGTCAACACGCCCTTCACGCCCCCCATAAAAGTCTTAATCCTCGAAGGCTGGCTCGTCGGCTTCCGCTCCCTCCCCCTTTCCGCCATCGCAGAAAAACGCGCATCGCCATCTACATTAACGCTGAGAAAGCATGAATTGGCGCATTTGGAATACGTGAATGAGAGGCTGAAGGAATATGATGTGTTGACGGATGAGTTCGATGCCTTTATACATATTGATGCGAGGGAGACGCAGTGGGTGTATGGCTGGCGGGAGGAGCAGGAGGTGGTGTTGAGAGCGAAGGGGGAGGGGGGATGAGTAAGGAGGAGGTGGTTAGGTTTGTGGATGGGTATTTTCCTGCTTATGAGCTTTATGTGGAGGGTGTACGGAGCGGGGTATTAAAGGGGAAGGGGGATGGGAGGCAGCTGAGGTTGGTTGTTGGGAGGGATAGGAGGGTCGAGGAGGTGGTTGTGATTTGAGTGTTGATTTTTCACTAGCAGACAGAGTATGCGTGTGCTGAAGGAGGTGGTTTGCAAAGATAGTATTGATGAATAAATATCATTACATAGCTAGGCTAAAGCAAATGGGTATCTGATATCTAGAAAACGCAAACATGCTTCTACTACTCTTCCCACACTCCTTTTTCGTACCATGCCAATGCTATCCGAAGCTCCGATGCCCATGCAAATACATAACAGTTCCTCCTTCCTAAATCCCGTCTTGATGAATTTCTATGTCTCTGGCAAGTTCTCAAACTCGTACGCACCTGTGGCACGCACCATTCATATCGTGACATTAGAAAGCCCGTAGAAAATACGAAGCCACATCACCAAGCCACATCACCAAGTCTCCCAACCCATGATGAAGCAATATGATCCTGATGTCTTGGATGCAGTCTCGCGCCTAACGTCCCTCTCAAACCCTAGAAGCTCTTCTCGATTTTTCTTGGCCATAACATGCAAATCCGACGAGAGCAAAGAAGCAAGATCCAGAATAGACAAGTATATTAGAACTTGCCCCGAAGTACACCCTCTCCAGAAGCCTTCATGTCCTTGAGCTTGGCATCATAACTTTCATACTTGGATTTGACTGCTTTTTCTCTAGCCTCAAGCTTATCCTCAAAAGCTTCCGCGATGCGACGCTTCTTATCTCGTGCCTCCTTTAATTTATTCTTCAGATCCATAATATTTGTCAGAATGTAGTCTCCTGCTTGCTTCCACTCATCGGAAGGCATTTGGGCAAAGGCTTCGGCTCGTGCCATGTCATTCGGAGCAAGACTTGAGATAAACTTGATCTTCTGCTCCATTGCGACATTAGATGAGGAAAGCTCTTGTGGAAGGTTGTAGGGTTCTGTTCCAGGAACTTCCTCCCAGCTCTCAGCTTTAAGCTTAGCGTATGGCATGCTCGATAACTCTTCGTCTGTATAATCAGGGGTGTGAGTGTCCGGTGGTGGCTGGGACAGTCCAGATTCTTGGAGCTTGCCCTCACGAATTGGGCTCTCGAGCTGTGATAAGCTTTCTATGCCATTATGTGCCTCCATTGGGGTTTGGTCTTCGCCAAATTCTCGAGCCTGTCCACCGTTTTGAAAGTCGGATGGTGCGCCTATTTCAAAATCATCAACACTGACATTTACCTGAAACCCTTCCTCATCTATTCGTTGCTGAATTCTTGGATGGTTTGTGACACCTCCAAGAAGTTCGTTGGAACGTCCTCGTTTTTTTGAGTGCTTGCTCTTCGAACTCGCCGCAATTTCTTCATGACCTGGTCGAATCTGGAGGTTCGGATGGGCGGCAGGTTGCTGCTTTGGACGTGAACGATTAATGTTGATAGGGTTTGCTTGATGCCTTACCCTATCGTGTTGTTCTTGTTTGAGATATTGTCGGCTTTGTTTGCGATGAAGCCCTGGAGGTGAGCGTTCTTCAGGAGCAGGTATATCGATATCGTTCTGCACAGTTTCATCATCTGCTTCTTGATCCTCCTCTACATCCTCCTCCAAAACGGAGTCGCTCTGGCTTTCGCGTGAATGGTAATCTTGTGGGTAGGTGCCAGCTTGTTGGCTGAATGGAATTTCATCTATACCAAGACTTGTCTTGGTTTCATCCCAGTTTGTAGAAAGAGTAACGTCGAAGGGGTCATCTCTCCGGCTTTCTTGTTGAGCAGGCAACATCTGTTGCTGCTCCTGCTGGTACTGTTGATCCTGATATTCGTTTCGGCCAGCTAGGTATGGATGTCGTATTGGAAAACCCGAGTGTGGAGCAGAAATGGTATTGGCTGGCTTCTGCTTTGTGCTGGGCTTCACCCTCGCTGTCTCTGCCACAGCAGCACGGGTGGCATTTATGCCAGGTGGCGGGGTGTTATTGCGTTGAGGCTTGCTGCTTTGGACGAAGCCATTCTGAGCGAGGTTATGATTCTCCTGGTTACGTTGGGCCTCTTGGCTTTTAATAAATCGGGTGGCCATCTTGAATTCGGCTCGTGGCGATGTGGAATCGGAATTGATTGCGGATAAGGTCAATTAAACGTTTCAGTAGGAGAAAGGTCTGTATTGGACATCCGTTAGCAAGATAGTCTTGGGGAGCTGTTTGCTATGAATTATTGGAAAAACCCGCTGCCCATCAAGAGGATCCAATGGATTGCTATCCCAGACGTACCGTATCACAGGTCCATAATACTTCGAGTACAAACGCAGAACTGCTTTAGCTCGCGAGAGCTGTGAGGTGAGGCTCAGGAACGCGGTGTTGATGAGCACCAAGGAGCGTTATCCACTTTCAAAGGATCCTGACAGCGAGCGTACTTCAATTGTGTGTCATGAACATCCACTTCCTTGGCTAAAACGAGAAGATATTTGAGAGATCGTAGCACGATTGAGGTTGCTTTTAGAGAGGTTGGCAATACGCGAGGAGGAAGACGCGAAGTCGCGGCCGAGTACTTAGGTACGTGAGCACGTGTAGATGTTCACGTGATTGTGTATGCGCTGTGGAAATTTTGATTTTCAGGCTGTCTAGGGTAGGATGCGGAGAAGAATTGTAGATTTATTCTAGACTACTCGAATTTTGTTCACCTTTCAGGTCAAGTCGTGTAGAAGGGGGGAAGTACGGAGTAGGTCCAATTCCAAAGTGAAGATTTCGAAAAAGGCACGCACGCACTTCCCAATAAGGACATTTCGATTTTCACCATTTGACAATATGTATTGTTACCGTAAAATACCCATATGAACTACAAAGCCTGAGTCTGCTTTCAGCCCATCAATCAATTCCTCATCAGGCAGCCTCCATACTCTGAACGCCTTGTAGAATGCCTTGAGCCAAGCCTCAAACACCTCTGCTGAGCGAAGTTGTTGAGCTACAATGCAGACCGTCGGGCACTCTTTCTCCTTGGCTGTGTCTGGGAGTTTTAATTGACAAGCATCAATGCAAGTCTGCACTAATGGCTGAATAAGAGCGTCGTTGTAAATACAATCACAAGCTATAACAATATCAAAACTGCCTGCGCCCAACAGAGACGCTGTCACTTCATCGGTCTCCCAGTCTAGAGGCTTAGCAGTGATATTGCTCGCGTTCTGGGCAATATTGACCGATGTAGAGCCTCTCTTCGGCTTGGCATTGCTTTTCCGGCCTTTGCTTGCTGAAGTTGACGTATCTCGACAGTTCTCAGCCAGGTTCTGGTTCAAAAGCTTCAACACATAGTCTTGATCCGTCAAGACATAAGATACCACGTATGGGCCAAGCGTTAAACCAATAATCCCAGATATTCCGCAACCCAACTCAAGAACAGCAGAGCTGCTGTCAAGAATATCGTGTTTGAGAAATGGATTTGCGGAAGTAGTGATCCATGATGCAAATAAGGGCGTGATCTTCCAAACAACTGGTCAAGTCAATTATACAGCCGATGCATTCAGGGCTACGGGACGAACCTGCGCCAGTTGTGCCACCTCCTCGATTAGAGGATAAAATCGTTGGTGATTGGTGAATGGTCAGGTCCCGATCCCCTATTGTAAGTTCCAGAATTGAGGCTTTTGAATCAACGAAACCAAGATTTTGGGAGGGAATTGACTGCGAGAAAAGCAGGAACGCTTCTGAAGAGAATGATTAGATATGGAAACTTGAAATATACGGCTATGAAACCCACCTTCTTCTGGATCTTCAATCTCAGGTCCCAACGCATGAAGTAGAGATTGAATAGTCATCCGAGAGACCTAGATCACGCGGATTAGATTCTTTCAAATCCACCGGACAGTTGAAGAGTTTTCTGATGTGCAAAGAATAAGACCGTAGAATATTGGACCCAGAAAAACCGTCATCCCCAACATTGCAAGACGCTATTCAATAGGTGGGGCTTCTATTTGTAGCTGTAGGTACATGAAACGAATGTTTAAGGGGTCAAGTATGAGCTCACTTTGAGTTTAGAAATGCTTGTACTGTATAGTACCCTTGCGCCTGCTCTGCCTCTGATGTGTCCTGGTCTGTGAAATGTACTGGAGGAAATGGGTGCCAGCAAAGTTGGATAACTTCAACAAATACTTGTCGTGCACTGTATCACTCACGTACTCATTTTTGTACCGCTAGTATCGCTCGCTGCCCTATACAGCTTGGTCATAGAATAGATGGTGAAGTGTCCAAGGTGCATCGGAGACTGAAGCTGTTTGGGGACTTTCAGTGGGGTGGGGGAGGGGAGGGGAGCCCAGCCACTCCACTACCCCCTGGAGAATCACGGAGCGGAGTAGTGCCCGCGCCGCGCCACACTGCCCAAGATCTGGTCCTGTACGCAGTGCAGCGTCATTGTTTTTGCCTCGTAAATCGCAGCTCCGGATCAACAAACCTCAACAAAAATCCCCACTACCAACCAACATTATTCACCCTTCCACGCTGCACAAGGAATAACACTCTGCACCTGAATTTTCTCGTGCTGTTGACGCCCGTATAGGCTTTAATACTCTACCCATACTTGCACTCTACCCTCTGCATCTCTAAACCTCTCTCTCCCTTTGATACCCCTGTCGCACCCCAACATGTCTCTCAAGAATGCCACCGTCCAGGCAAGAATTGTGAAGAAACCGCCCTTCAGTCTCGAAGTCCCCGGCTACGATCCCGTCGAAGGCGAGACCATCCCCCGCAGACATCCTCTGACCGTCAACAAACTCAAGGACCGTCCAGAAGAAGGTGTTACGACAGTCTTCGATGTCGTCAAGCGCGGTTCCGAGAAGTTTGGCAATGCGAAAGCCCTCGGCTCCCGGAAGCTCATCAAAACCCATAATGAAGTCAAGAAGATTAAGAAAGTAATAGATGGCCAAGAGCAGGAGGTCGAGAAGAAGTGGACATACTTTGAGCTTGGCCCATATGAATATCTGAGCTATCAAGAGTACGAGAAGCTCACCCTCCAGCTTGGAGCGGGATACCGGAAGCTGGGCATGAACAAGGACGACAGAATCCACATCTTCGCTGCGACAAGCGCTCACTGGCTGGCAACAAGTCATGCTGCTGCCTCTCAATCTATGCCAATTGTCACAGCCTACGATACCCTCGGCGAAGAAGGTCTCAAGCACTCTTTGGTGCAGACTAAGGCCAAAGCAATCTTCTTGGATCCCCATCTTCTACCTACACTTATGAACCCCTTGAAGGAGGCTTTAGAGATCAAATACGTCATCTGGAACAGCCAAAATGAGGTCAAGCAGGAAAACATTGACATGCTCAAGAAGACTTATGACCGTCTCACAATTTTGAGCTTCGAGGAGCTCAGAAAGCTCGGCGAGGAGAATCCGGTGGATCCTGTTCCACCTAGTCCAAAGGATCTTTGCTGTGTTATGTATACGTCTGGTTCTACCGGGCCTCCAAAGGGTGTGCCAATTTTGCATGAGGCAGTTATAGCTGCACGTACGTATTCCAAACTTCGCGTATAAGCCCCTACTAACAATTTAGTTACTGGTGTGAGTGTCATTGTAGAGCCATACCTTGGCCCTGGTGACGGTCTTTTAACCTACCTACCTCTTGCCCACATCCTCGAATACGTTTTCGAGAACGCCGTTTTATATTGGGGGGGAACCATGGGTTATGGCAACCCAAAGACGCTATCCGATCAATCCGTAAAAAACTGCAAGGGTGATATTAGGGAATTCCGACCAACAGTGCTTGTTGGTGTACCTGCAGTATGGGAGTCTATCAGGAAGGGTATTGTTGCAAAAGTCAACAGCAGTGGTGCTATTGTCAAGAATATGTTTTGGGCTGCACTTTGGGCAAAGAATAATATGCTGCACTATGGTCTCCCAGGCGCCGACTTCCTCGACGCGGTAGTCTTTAAGAAAGTCAAAGAAGCGACTGGAGGAAGACTCAGAATATGCCTGAATGGAGGCGGATCAGTCTCAAGAGATACCCAGCGCTTCCTCTCCCTGGCCGTCACCCCCATGATTAATGGCTACGGTTTGACAGAAACCACCGCAATGGGCGCCCTCATGGATCCCCAAGAATGGACCGATAACGCGCTCGGCGACATTCCTGGCTCCGTCGAGGTCAAGCTCGTCGATTTTCCCGATGCTGGGTACCACGCAACCAATAAGCCAAACCCCCAAGGCGAGATCTGGATCCGGGGCACCCCGGTCCTGAAAGAATACTACGAGAATGAGGAAGAGACTAAGGCCTCTCTCACTCCTGATGGATGGTTCAAAACGGGCGATATTGGCGAGTTCGACCATAATGGCCATCTTAGGATCATCGACCGCAAGAAGAACTTGGTCAAGACCCTCAATGGCGAGTACATTGCTATCGAGAAGCTCGAGGCTGTATACCGTGCCGCAACTGTCGTAGCAAATATCTGCGTATACGCCGATGAGCAGAAGACAAAACCTGTCGCTATTATTGTCCCCGCCGAACCTGCTTTGAGGAAGCTGGCCGAGAGTATTGGCGTTGAGGGACAAGGCGTTGAGATTCTTGCGCACAACAAGAAAGTACAAGATGCGGTATTAAAAGAGTTGCAGCAAGCGGGACGACATGGAGGTTTGAGCGGAATTGAGATTATCGAGGGAGTTATCGTAGCGGATGATGAGTGGACGCCTCAGAATGTAAGTTTTCCTTCCCCAGCGACAGTAATGTTATTGAACGAGACTAATTCGAAATAGGGATTGGTCACCTCAGCTCAAAAGCTAAACAGAAAAGCTATCCTAAGCAAGTACAAGAAGGGGGTCGATGCTGCTTACGGGCAGAAGTAGAGGCTTCGGGGAACAATGGGCGGGGAGTATTTAGATAATGGGGAGCAAAATATCAAAATGCCAAAATTGCTGTTTTGGGGGGATTGGCGGTGCTCTGTATAGTATGTCCTTATAGTCGTCAGCTTTTAGCTAGCCATGAAATTAGTCTTTCTATGAAGCCTGGAACTTTCCTGCTCCAAAGGTGTTTCTTCCAAGTGGAAAACCCGGGCTGGAAAATCTAGTGCGCGGCAAAGTTCGCCAACATTTTTACGCTGCTATTATTCAAACACATTTATGATTGCTTTGACGCTTTACCTTGAGAATCTATCTGCATACGCCGACTCCACTTCTTTCTACTTCACCTCAATCCCCGAGCTGGAAACTCCTCACCTTCCCCTCCAGCTGCTCCAACTCACACAAGACATCCCGATAAAACGCATTCTGCAACATCGGATCCCGCAAATCCTTTGTATCCTCCCCAAAATTACAGAATAAACATCTCCGGACAACCTTCCCGTACGTCGAGCCCAGTCCATTGCCAATACTCTCGCCCAGCCGCTCCGCCGTCCGGAAATCAGTCAACGCATCTTCCATCCCATCAACCAAATCTTGCTCCTCGCGCAGAGAGCGGAACGGCGCCTGGTACGCGAGCTCGATTAGGATTATGCCGAGTCCGAAGAGATATGGGTTTCCGGCTAGGCTGTTGTGGGAGAGACTGTTGCTGTTTATGCGGGTTACCTGGGATTCGGGCATGTCTTTTACTTGGACGTTTAGGTGGGGTGATATGAGGGTTAGGCGTTGGTGCGGGTGTGTCTCGTTCATGCCGAAGAAGATTACGTCGTCGCTGCGCCAGGAGCTTTTAAGGAGGGGTGTGGTATGGAACTGGAGCACTGCTGATGCTAGTTGTCGGGCGAGGCGGAGGCTCTCGTATTGCAGTAACTTGCCGGTGTAGCCTGGATGATGGAGTTAGTTCTATTACTATGAATACCATGAGAGATGAGGGTGGGAAAGAGTTGCGTTTTCGGTGACTTTTTGTCTCCCTTGGTGTCTTACTAAAGACGAAGCTACCCGAGAGATTTTATTGATCCTTGGAACTTGGAACTGTGTAGAATGTCTCACAACTCGTGAGATATCTAAGCATCAAGGTGGATATCAGCTCATGGCCATCAATGCAACTTACTTCGTTGGGACATTATATCGATAAGGCGCGCGAGGGACATTGATTTCGTCGGCTGGGTGGCGGAAATGTCGGTGTTGGAGAATACGCGGTGTTTGCAAGTGTCATCTTTTCCTAGGTAACCTATGCAATCATGTGGTTTGTTGGCTAATAGGCACCGTCGGAGGTGAAGGCAGAAGTCGTGATCTTTGGAAAAGTCTGGAAGCGATATCTCCAAGGCCTGGCTTGCAAGCTTCAATGCAGAACAGGCAGGCTCGGGGCTGGCGAATCTCACACCTTTAGATGTCTTGAGCTTCTCAGTGGGCAGTAGAGGTGGTGCATCGTTCACTCTTTTCAGTGTCAATTTGAAGTGTGAGAGTGCGTGTTGAATTTCCTCTCTGTGTTCAGGCGTCTCGTCGGCCAAAGAACTGCTGAGAATTGATTCGATTACAACCCAGACCGGCGCAACTTCATTAGTGTTGTTGCTCATTAAGCTTTGCGTAAAAGCCATTATGAATCGGATGAGGGATGGCTCTCCATTTGTAGCTATAACGTGCTCCGGTTCTAGTTTCACCTGCGCCCAATGCTCTGTATGAACGCTGCATGCTTTTCCCAGCGCCTCGAAGAGATGAACAGCTGCCTGTCTTACAGCTTTATGCTGGTCCACTTTGTGCTTGGTTCTTCGTGTGTCTACCACAGGGACAGTCTCGACCTGTAGGAGTTTTAACCTGTTGATTTGCCCCGAAATGCGAATGAAATCTGCATTTAGTTTGGTCAGTTGAGTCAAATTTGACTCTAGGTGGGATTCTGAAAAGGCAAACTTTAGTTTGCGTTTAGTGCGAAGGAAGACATCTTGATTTGACTCGTCCTTGATGGTTCCTTACGTTAATTTGGTCAAGTGACAAAGGGGGAAGGAGCTTTACCGGTGTGGACTTCGCAAGAAAACCGTCAATAGACGACAGATTTAACTTAATCTTGTCTATAATTCCCACACAAGTAGTGCCTGACGCTCCCAGATGGCGAGAGAACTTTTCGTCCGTTTCGGGATCCGATGCCAACGGGTGGTCGTCTTCAGCAAGTATCTTGTTTGCTGTGTCGAAATTCGTTAGGCATGCGAGCATGATCTGGATCTCGTTGCAAAACGAGGTCTGTTCGACAAGTAGACGACGCTGAAATTCGGTGACCTCGCTGCCACAGCGTTTATATCGCGAAAATACCTTGTACATGGACTTGTACCTCCTAGCACTCTCAATCGCCAGAGGTAGCACACCAAACACAAGACCTGCAACCTCGGCCATGTCGAAGCATTACGTGCTAAAACAAGTCCCTCTGTCTAAGGGGTATAGAAGCTCTAGAGCCGAAAGGTTACGAGGTTAAGGCTATCGAGCGCAAAGCTCTGGTTGCACATGGTGTGGTGGCAGGGGCTATGCAAATACGCCCAACGACAATAGCTGCAGGCACTCTTGCGTGGCTGCGCGTACCAACATTTCATGTGCCCAATGATGGCAAGCCTCAGATCTGCACCACCTGCAACTACACCTACACCTCTGGATTATCAGAAAGACGCTCGAGAGAGCTCTTCAAATTCTCGATACATGCGTCAACAATTATCCTTGGCCTGACAGTCTCGCCACGAATACAAACAACTACACTCGCTGTGGCAGCTTTGAATGTGCTACTTAGCTTGGAACATCAGAACTTAGTATCGCTTTCTCTTACAGCCTCGCGATGACCGGCATGAACAGCCGGAAGCATGGAGTCCACTTGCTGCATGAGTGGATTGATGGGACTTCCGTCGAATCCGAAGCTGGCTACGGAGGCTACGATATAGCTGCTAGTGGGTTTGCATGACAGCTATATGAAAGTTGTTTAGAGTTACTCAAAGGTATCGTACAAATGTCTGGCTCACTCGAAACACAATCACTCAGAGAGTGTTTAAGTCGGTTTTTTCTATGGGGCGACGGCTTTGGCGGAGGCCAACTCGACAGGGTTATTCAAAGGTCTGATGCTCTAAAAGACGCCATACTGCATTTTATCGCAGCCATTGCAAAGATTCTCTTAGAGGGTAAGCTAAGGAACATAGATCAAATCTTGAATTCTTACCACTAACATCTAGTCCAGATCTAGTTCCACAATTGGAGCTATCATCTCCAGAGATCCCTAAGTTGACAGACGAGCTGAGACCTCTTGTTGAGAAAGTAGAGTTCATCACGAGCGACGATCTCGATGGCTCCGAAGATTACAATGATTCCGACTCTGATGTGGCATCTATGGTTTCTAGCCAAGGTGGTGCGGCCAAGAATATCAATTCATATGTCTCTTGTTTGATGGGACTGCTTCCATCGATAGAACATACTCTTACTCTCAACGTTCAAGAAGAAACCGCTTCTCCTCCAGTTGGATTTCACGTTTCTGATGCTGCTCGTACTTACGTCTATAATGTTCGCGACAAATATAAGGACGCCAATATCGAGTTGGTAAGTCGGCTGGGCGAAGCAAATTTCCAACGACATATTGCTATACGTCGGAAAATGTCTCAGAATGAGTCAGTCATTGAGGAACCAGAGTCCACTTTCATACCAACCTCTATATTCCAGGACTCTGGATTTGGAAGTATGCTACCAGGGTCGAACTTTAGTCCATCAATTGCGTCGCATTCTTCGTTCAAAACCGATGGAAGCCAGGGTGGCAAGAGGTCTTTCCGAGTACCCGAGGCCCCTATCGACGCTTACAAGGGCGTATCATTCCCATGTTTTATATGCGGCCATGTGTTAAAGAATATCAGGAATAGATATGATTGGAAGTAAGTCGACCTTGTCACGCTGATCCAAATATCTTATATTACAACGAAAGACATGCTCGTTGGATACAGAAGGCGGCATGTATTATAACGTCTCACTCTGTCTAGCACGTTATAACTTAGTACATTAGGTGTCGCTTTTTTCTGTCCACCACGGCTTTGTCAGTGTCAAAAGTTATATGCCCAAGCTGACATTGATAGAATTCACGTATTTGCTGATCTCCGTAACTAAGCCCGTCCCCATCCTACTTATTTGCTTGTATTAGGGGGCTGTTTCATCTCTTCAGCTTTTCCTCTCTCTTAAAATACAAGTACTAATTCTTTGATAGAACCGTACATCTGCACCTTCTCTGAGTGTGCAGATTCCCTCTCAACTTTCCCTACCCGTAGACTCTGGCAGGAACATGAATTCTCTCAGCACAGAGTAAATATCAACTGGACATGTCCTTTATGCAAGGCTGAATGCTTAAGTCCTGATGATTGGAATCGTCATTTGGAGACGAATCATATAAATGCGCTCACAGATGTTGAAGCGCGATACGCATTCGCTGCGGCAAAAAAAACCAAAGTCCAAACGATAGAACTTCAGAAGTGTCCTCTCTGTCTTATAAATCCAGGAACGAGCCAGAGAGCTTTTACAACTCATGTTTGCAAGCATTTGGAATCCATCGCTCTTGCTGCACTGTAACCAAGTCCTTTTTTCATACCCCTCCTCGACTGTGTTGGAACTCCTGAGGAGAGTTTCATCCTCTCTACCCTTTCACTTTGCAGGAAACAGGAAACTAATTTATTGCAGGCCAAATGAAGCAACATCTGACTCAGAAAACGAGTCCGCTTCCAGCCATTCATCGATGACTTCTAAGGATGTGGAGCATCAGCCGGCGTCATGCCAGCGAGAGGGTTCTAGTAGTAAGCATACCGGTTTGTACTTCTTTACGGATGTTAACACCTTATAGTTGGAAAATCAACAAATAAGGAACTCACTAGCCATGGACCATCTCGCAAAACCCATAGGGCAAGGAAAAGAAAGGGACAGCAGACGCAAGATAAGGAACACTGGGAGTGGTTCTGGAGTTGCTGTGCCTGTTTGTGTCATTCTGGGCTACCCGTGGACATAACGGAATTATGCCCAGGTTATCATTGTGGGCATTATCGCTGCGAAAACTGTCCAACAGAGGCTCATGAAGTTCGCGATGAGGCTTAATATATATATAAAAGGCTTACTATACTTTTAGTGGTATGCTAATTAGTTATTTAGGTTGCTAGGGTACTTTTCTTATGTTCCTACTCATAGAACCTATTCTATCTAGTGTTGGAAATCAGGAGTGCAGCTCTTTGTTAACTATAGAGCCTAGCTTACCTAGGCTGTTCACCTTAATAAGAAGCTCTACAACCCACCCTCTGCGGCAGTAACACTACGGTCTAGGAGCTCTTCTAGGGAGTTCCACCCTTTTACGAGTACCTTCCTCCCAAACACGGCCGGAAACATCTCACTTTAATCCCTCTTCCCCATCCCCCACCCATTGCCAACCCCATACCCAAGCGGCGTCGCACCACCCATGGCCTTCCCCCGATCCCGAATCCGTTTCGGCAACACTACACCCCAAAACCACACTGTCACCACGCTCGCCCCAGCCCCCGCGCTCACCAGACAGTAAAACGCTGTGCTAACATAGAAATGCCCGCCCATGCCCGCCCACTGCACCTTGCCGTTCTCGCGCGGCAGATGGGGCGTCGGGAACCAGCGCACGGAGAACTGAAGGGGCAGCGGGTCGCCGATCACCAGTCGCTGCGTCAGGGCCGCGGGACCCGTCGTGTGGGACAGAGGAGACGTCGAGTACGCGGCGCCAGAATCGATGACGCCTGAATCGTGCGGGCGCAGGTGGTGTTTGGGCGTGCTGTGTAGGAGGATGTTGAGGTGTGTGGAGACGTGGAGGTGTGATAGTTGGAGGGTCCCGGCGAGCGCGAAGATCAGGGGGACGTATTCTTGGGGTGGTGGGACGTGACCTGCGTGGTGGACAGAGGGTGGTGGCCGGGAGGGAATACGGCAGGAGAGGGGCGCGTCGTTGTGAATGTAGAATTCAAGTAAATGAAAGAAGGGATCTGATATCATGGGGATGGTGCAGTTCATTTCTGGAAATCCCACTCGTTAGCATACGCTCTGCATTGCATAGAAGGAGAATTGAAGAACCAAACATACCTTCTTCAACCCCATACTGCATTTCTAAAGGCTTCCCGGTCTCGTTGCAAATAGGAAAGGGTATGTATTCCAGCTCGTTCTTCTCATTTGTCATATGCTCGCCCGTGTCACTATTCATTCATCCGTCAGCTCGCCTCATACAATAGCGCATAAGAAGACTCACATGCTCCTATTCAGACAACTAACGGGTATGCTCGCCCCATAATGATAGCTAGGAAGTGGAATCTGGGCGTGGTCCTCAGCCTGCACTTTACCCAACAGTGCACTTCCCAATATCGCAATGATCCAGGTTCCGCGCGCCATTATATTTCTCCTTCTCAGACGCCAGAAATTTCGAGAGTAATCATGTGCGCATGCTGTGGAGCTCCGGCGCAATGTTTTGGCGTCGAAGTGATCTGGACACCTTTTGTGAGATTAGAGGATCGCGAAGGACTTCGTAAGTCGCGACGAATTGGCTGCCGAGGCTGAGTCACGTGTCGGTACAGACAGGACGAGGCTGGACTAACTCCTTTTCACTCCTCTACTGAATTAGAAGCTTTATTGGAAGTAGAGTTACGTATTCGTTATTCATTCCTTCTATAAACGGCATCATTCACAGTCTCATTCTATTCCCGCCAATTTTGATTCCCATTCCATCATTCAAATTTTGCTACTAACTCAGGACAGTTTTGACTTCTCCTTGAAAGCTGCAATGAGACCACCGGTAGAAGCATCATGTCCACTTGGGACACCTGGCTCATCAAGCTCAGCTTGGATCTTCTTGGCAAGACTCTTGCCCAGCTCCACACCCCACTGATCAAAGGAGTTGATGTTCCAAATTGCACCCTCGGTAAAGGTAAGCTGCTCGTAGTAAACGATCAGCGCACCGAGTGTGCCAGGCGTGATCTTTTGCGCCAGGATGGAAGTCGTGGGTCGGTTACCCAAGAAAGTCTTGTGCTTTATGAGTGGCTCAGGTGTCTTCTCAGCCTTGAGTTGCTCATCACCCTTACCGACCATAAGCGCCTCAGCCTGAGCAAAGAAGTTGGAGGCCAGCATTTTTTGGTGCTTATTGTTATCAATTGGATTGTGGGATTCTACGGCCATGATGAAATCGGTGGGTATTAGCTTGGTTCCTTGGTGCAGCAATTGGTAGAAAGAGTGCTGTGCGTTGGTGGCTGGCTCGCCGAAGAGGATAGGTCCGGTGGTGTATTTTACGAATTGGTTGTCGCGGCCAACTGCCTTGCCATTGGATTCCATGGATAGTTGTTGGAGGTAAGCTGGGAAGCGGTGGAGATACTGGTCGAATCTAAGATATTTAGCATATAAATAGTCAAGGGTGGTAACTGGGGGGCTCACGGTGACACTAAATGAGTCTGAGCACCAAAGAAATCCGAGTACCAAACACTAAGAAGTCCACCAAGAACGGGAATGTTCTTCTCAAGAGGTGTCTGTCGGAAGTGATTGTCCATAGCATGAGCACCTTCCAAAAATTGCTTGAAGTTCTTGAATCCAATGTGGATGGCGACACTTAGACCAATAGCAGACCAGACTGAGTATCGTCCACCAACCCAGCTCTCAAATCCAAACATGTTCTTAGCATCAATACCAAACTTAGTAACTTCGCCCTCGTTGGTAGAAAGAGCAACGAAATGCTTGGCGATGTCGCCCTTGCCATCAGTCTTAGCCAGGAACCAGTCCTTGGCAGATTGGGCATTGGTAGTCGTCTCGGCAGTGGTAAATGTCTTGGAAGCAACCAAGAAAAGCGTGGTTTCTGGGTCAGAGCCACGGAGAGCCTCGGCCATATGCGTTCCATCAATGTTGGACACAAAGTGAAGAGTCTGCTTGCGGTCGCCATAGAATTTCAGAGCTTCCGTAACCATAACCGGGCCACTGTTAGAACATTAGTATATGTGAGACATATATGTGGCAAAACTTACAGATCAGAACCACCAATACCAATGTTGATTATAGTAGTCAAAGGCTTGCCCGTAAACCCTTTCCACTCCCCGCTTCTAATAGCCTCACTGAACTCCTCCATATGCGCCAGCTCCTTGTTCACTCCTGGCATAACATCCTTACCGTCAACCTCAATGGGTTCATTGCTGACATTTCTCAGCGCAGTATGCAGCACAGCGCGGTCTTCCGTAAAGTTGATCTTCTCACCCTTGAACATGCGATCGCGGAGCTCTTCCAGTCCAGACTCCTTAGCAATTTGCACCAGGATCTTGAGCGTCTCTTCGTTGAACAGGTTCTTGGAGAAATCAAACAGGATCTCGGAGCCGTCGGATGTGTTCGGGAACTTGAAGGAGAATTTCTCGAAGCGTTGAGGGTCCTTTTTGAATTCCTCCTTGAGGACGAAAGATCGGCCCACGCTATCGTGGTGGGCTTGGAGAGCGCTCCAGGAGGGAAGCTTGTCGGCTTGAGTCATTTTGGTATTGTTATGCTATGCTATGCTTTGCGGGGCTCGGAGGTGTATTTGTAAAGGCGGGAAGCGCGGAGACGGTTTTGTTGTTGCGTGCTTTTGGCTGGTCGTTCGATTGAGAAATTCTTAACGGTGATTTCTGCAGTGTTTGATTCAATGGTCAGCGCATATCGTTCCATTTGCCACCATTGGATCCGACATTGAGGTCCTCCTTGCTGCAAAAGGGCCGGTGAGGAATCAATGTACTGTACTGTACTCGGTAACCCCGCAGATGCTGTATCCCATGGAGATCTCGCACGAAAAGATTAGATGGAACTTCACATACCGGTCAATTAAGAGATCCTGGATGTGGTTAATGTATCCAAGATGTATCGAGCTGTTGAGAGTAAAGATGAAGGTGGGTTGGGTTGGGCTCATATGATATGTTAGGTTATTATCGCGTATGACGTTTCGTCCCCATCCCCCATCCCACCTCTAGCGCCGTTCAGAGGTCAACAGAGGGCGAGATTCGTCCGATGACTGAGCATCGTGCATAATGTAAGTATACGTACCGTACCTAGGTATATCGACGGAGAAGCATTACTAATATCTATCTGCCTACAAATCACATTCCAATCTAAAAGACTTACGTTTATAAGATAAGTAATTCTCAAGCCAAGAAAGAAAGAAAGTTCTCATTCACCATTTGACACGTGGGCGAAAAAGAACTCTTGACTAACGAATCTTCGCTTCTTTCTCTATGTAAATCAATTGCTTGCAATGTAACCAGGCTAAGTCCATCAACCCGAGGAAGTCACCAGGCTAGCCGCCGCAAAAATACCACAATGAATCCCAATCAACGCCTTAATCATCATTGACGGGGAAAATAGACTCGCTCTCCTGTCTGAAATGCTACATGAATCCGAATCGCCTTGCAGGTATGACGACTGCAAAGCGTGCGCACAAGTCGAAGCTTAATACCCCGTGGATTGCTCAACTCTACTCTCGAGAAAGTCCGTTCTTTTATAAATGTCGTGGGTCCAAGGGGCGAGCCGATCATCTATCTATCTTGAACGCTGCCAATTGCCGATGGATCCTTAATACTACCACCACCATCACCAAGTCCAGCAACAGGTCGGTTGTAGGACCAGCCTGTGAACTGCTGTTGCATGGTTTGGGACAGCACGGGGCCGTCAACGTACGAATCAGCGGGTGCCTCTTGGGTGAACTCTTTGTCAAAGTTGTTCGTATCCAAAGCATCAGTCTAAGTTTTGTCAGCAACAGATCATTTTGCGCAGGGATAGATACACTCACCACATTGGGTTTGAAGGTTGGCTCATACTTTCGCTGCAAAAGCTTTCGCCAGTCAATGCTATGGAAGAAGGGGTGAGCCTTAATCTCAGAGGCGCCATTAGCGCCTAATCGTTGATCGGGCTTGCGGTTCAGGAGTCTGGTGAGAAGATCCTTGGCAGATGGAGGAACAATCTCCGGACCAGGGAAATGAAGTGGCTCGGACAAGATTTTCCGATACATCTCGTTGGTGTTCTCATCGTAGAAAGGTGGCAGACCAGTCAACATCTCGTAGAGAAGGACACCAAGAGTCCACCAATCCACAGTCTTCGTATAGCCTTGGCCCAGTAACAATTCTGGAGCGAGGTATTCTGGTGTGCCACAGAAAGTATTCGTACGATCTTCATCCTTCATATCCAGTTTGCATAGACCGAAATCGCATAGAGCAATGTGTCCAGAGTAATCGAGAAGAATGTTCTCGGGCTTTAGATCTCGGTAAATGACATTGAAGCCGTGCAAACATTCCAAAGCACAGAGAAGTTCAGCAGTGTAGAATCTTGATCGGTTAATATCGAACCGCTGCTCCTTCTGGAGATGATGGAACAATTCTCCTCCATTGACGAATGCCAAGACAAAGTATAGCTTTTCAGGTGACTGGAAGGTAAACTTGAGGGGCACGATGAAAGGGTTGTTGATCTGTGAAAGGACCGATCGCTCCGCAAGAGTATGGGCGACTTCTGACCGGGAGATGATGTGAGCTTTGCGAATGGTCTTCAGGGCGTAAATTCGTTGGGTGTCCTTCTTCTTGACCTGCATGACCTTTCCAAAACTTCCCTTTCCAACAACCTTCAAAAGATCGAAATCCTCGATTTTCAAAGATCTTGTCCTGTTCTCGATATACTCGACACCAATGCGAAGCTTGCCTGTGCCGTATGTAACATCGACCCACTCTGTGCCACTCATACCTAAATTCTTTTCCTTGTTTGTCCATTCCGCCAATGCCTTCTCCTTGTCTTTTTTCCCTAGCTTGGGATCTTCCGTGTATTTTCGAACTTCTTCAAATCTAGGATTAATCCGAGTAACACCAAGGAAAATATCCTGGCTGCGTCCGGATCCTGGAGCGGCATTTGGATTACGTAAGTAGAGATGAACGGCAAGTTCAGTGACTCGAGAGACATCGAATTTATAGGCAGTATTATCTCCGGCCCAAAGCGGGTTCTCCGGGGATCCAGCAACTGAGTTTACAAAAACTTGCAATTTATCAAAATCCAAGAGGGCGTAGGGGAGGTATTTGGAAGAGATTCGACCGTGATTTGTAGGTACCGGACCAAATCCTCCACCACCAGATGTTTGTGGTCGCGTGTTGCTTGCATATGAGCCTGCCATGCCTTGTTGTTGTGAAGAGCCTGGTCGGACAGATCCAGCCACTCCGAATCCATTGCCTTGCGAAAGAGAGTTATGCTGATGTGAAGAGGCAAGCGAGTTCTTGTACTGCTCTGGGAGAGAGAAACCAGTGCCTTCGTGGAGGGTGACAATGAGAATTCCTGGTCGAGGTTGCGCGGGGGGTTGTGTTGCAATGATTTCGGATGCGGCTGAACTTGTCAGTACGTGGGGTTTCAGTCTTTCAGAGATTTAAGACTTACCTATGCCATTGTCGTTTTGTGCAGGAGTGCCAGCACTACTGGCGATGCTTGCTTTTTCGTCTTTCGCACTATCTCCAGTGAGGGTCGACGCCGAGGGCGTCCGCGAGAAGGTATTGGCAAGAGGACCCAGATGCGTCTCCTTGAGCTCTAGAGGGAGGTGTGTCAGTAAATCGAGGTTCAGCGGAGCAACAGGCAATGAATGTTGAGCCCATCAAGTCTCGCAGCTACTTTTGTAATGTTCCACAGAAATAGACAATAACTGGAGGGCTCTCGATGGCATTGATAGAAGGAAAGAGTGGTAATGCTGGACTTACTCTTGGTCAATTTCCAAGACATATTGATGCTGCCGTAATAGGCTATGGAAAGTGAAGATGAGGTGTGTGGAGGTGATAAGATATTGGTAATGGCTGGGTAGGTACTTGTAGTTGTGCGGTGAACCAGGAAACCCCGCAGGAAGTGGTTACGAACCCAAGAAGACGCCCGCGTTGATTCTTGATGGTTCTTGGTGGATCTTGACTTTTGCAGTGGATGGTCGATATATGGTCAGTTAGTTGTAATGCAAAGATTGCAAATACGAGGGAGGAAGGATTATTTTAATAAATAACGAAGAGGCAAAAGGAGATCAGTCCAGACGTGTTGACGGGGGCTTCCAAGGTGTGTGTGGTGGTGTGGCTCAGCCTCCAAATTGACAGGCAGGCTGGCAGGGTCTTGGCTTGGCTCGGTCCGCGAACAGTACGGTCACGTGGGTAGCGTGGTGGGGGGACTCTCGAAAAGGGGTGAGCAAGGTAGTCAATATTACTCCAGTATGCGTGCATGTGTAGGTATGGTATTCTCCGTAACTGTAGCTGAGATAATCTAGAAGAATAATGATCTTGATCTTTTGTGATATTCATTGAGACTCAGCTTGGAAAGATAAGAGAGATCTTTATTCTGTATTTTTCTTTTCTCTAATGAGTGTGCAAGTACTATCCTTACATAGGTAGGTACTTTTGATTCCAATATATACTTCCGCATCTTATAAATAGGTAAATACCCAGAGAAAGTAAATAAGGTAATGCTGCATATCTGTGAATAGAATTCCCCAGCTCAGCTCGGTTACTCCGTCTCCGTATACCTTCTAGCCCCACCATTTAGCGCTAGTCGGCGCTTACGGTATCAAATCCGAGCGGCTCAAGATGTCAAGATGTCATCTGGAGTTGACGATCCTGATATTAACAATCTGAATCTGAGCGCAAGCCACAACATCAACCTCGACTCGACCTGCAATCAAATTGCTTCACCGCTAAAAATCCTAGGATCGCCCTGAAACCGCCCTTCACATTCAAGCCTTCATCTTGAGCGTTACAGAGCCGCATAGGCTTCGAATGCGCCCTACCTAAGAGCCAGGCCAGTGGGACAGAAAGAGGACCTTACCGCCCCTTCCCCATCTCCTAGGCATCAGTCCCATCCCGAATTTGTATTTGAGATGGGCGTCATCCGGAAGAAGACCGCAACGCGGGGTGGCGAAGGAGGAGTCAAGTACGTCTGCGAGATCTGCTCTGCCGATATCACAAACACTGTAAGTCTTCTACCTATCTAAGTCGAGTCCGATCCTAATACTGTTCCAATAGGTCCGCATCCGATGCGCGCACAGCGTCTGTAACGAATACGACTTATGCGTAGAGTGCTTCAAGAATGGGGAATCTAGTGCCAATCACCACCCTCCTACCCACCCTTTCAACGTAATCGAGCAGAACTCCGTTCCGATATATGACAAGGATTGGGGTGCCGATGAAGAACTGTTACTTTTGGAGGGATGCGAAACATATGGTCTTGGGTCCTGGGCCGATGTAGCAGATCATATTGGAGGATACCGAGACAAGGACGAGGTTGCAAAACACTACATCGACACATACATCAGCAGCCCAAAATTCCCACTACCTGCACGCGCCAGTCCCAAAGACCTAACGCTACTGAATCAAGTTCCACGTGAACAATTCCAAGCTCTTAAAAAGAGAAGAATTGAAGATCGGAAAGAAAAGCAGAAGAATGCGCCTCCTCCACAATCCAAGAAGAAGCCTACTGCAAGTGTACCAGCGTGTCATGAGGTCCAAGGGTACATGCCTGGCCGCTTGGAGTTTGAGACTGAATACGCAAATGAAGCAGAAGAGGCTGTTCAACTTATGCAGTTTGATCCTGGAGATGGCATCAATCCTCGGACAGGCGAGTTGGAACCCGAGATGGACCTTAAAATGACCGTCATGGATGTGTACAACGCCCGCTTGACGCAAAGAGCCGAAAGGAAAAAGGTTATCTTTGAACACAACCTCCTCGAGTACCGCAAAAACTCCACCCTAGACAAGAAACGTACCAAAGAGGAACGTGATATCCTTAATAAGGCCAAGCCGTTCGCTCGGATGATGAACAGGGAAGATTTCGAAGAGTTCTGCGACGGCTTAATCCGTGAGCACAACCTACGCCAAGCAATCACTCAACTCCAAGACTGGCGCAACAACAAAATCGAAACTCTGAAAGGAGGCGAGAAATACGAGCAAGAGAAAGCCCAGCGCGTCCAGAACAAGGTACCTATGGGCTCCCTGGATCGTGAACGCTTCGCTAGCTCCCAACGCTCCAAACAAGCACCCATCATCGAAACCCCCTCTGGAGCAGCCCTACTCGTTGCTCCCGAACTCCCAATACGCCTCACTCCCAACACAGCAGCCAATACTCCCGTTGCTTCACCCGGCCGCCCCGCGCTAGCCGAGAAACCCAATGGTACGGCTCTCAGCAATGGTCACGCCACCAACGGCACTGCCACTCCTCAAACCGCAAAAGTCAAGTACCAAGTCCAACCTATCAGCGGCGTCACGCCCCTACCCTTATCTCAAGAAAACGCACCAGATATCCATCTCCTCACAGCAGACGAAATCGAGCTCTGCAAAGTGTGTCGTATCCAGCCAAAACCATACTTGGTCATCAAGGAGCGCATCATCAAAGAATCAGTTACAGGGAATGGTACTTTGAAAAAGAAGCAGGTCAAGGAGTTGGCGAAGGTGGATAGTCAGAAAGGAGGCAGGATCTTTGATTACTTTGTAAATGCTGGATGGATTGGGAAGGCTTAATTAAACTGGCCCTTTACTTTATGTTATAGGATAGGAGAGGACTTTATGAATTGGAGTTAAGGCGGCTGGTGGGTTTGAACTTGCTTCTTGGAAATCGGGATTTGCTACAGTACTTGTATATTGGCGAAAGGGGAGTTTGGACCGGACCGGACCGGGCTATACCATGGGGGAGTTTGCAGATAGAGCTGTTCTCATAGCTGAGATTGCTAGCGATGTACGTACGAGTTGGATGCAATGCAAGAAAGACATGTTGCAAACAGTGGCTTCGTCGTATCAGTTTTGTATGTGTCGTTGATTAATTAGCAAGTCACGTATGATATTGCCATGCCTCATAACATCGGTCAAACCAATACCTGAAACTTATTTCCTACTACAGTACTAAGTAACCTACTAGCAATATATTTCCTCCCCTAAACAACACAGCTACATATAGCGTTGAAGCCCAGCACCAACAAAGACCCTTACCTGCCTCTTTCTATCTCTGTCTATTCCTCGATTATACGACTTTGCGATTTGCGATTCATATATCCAAACACCGTCGAAGACTGATCACAGCAAAAATGTAGATGGGAGGAGAGAGATCATGAGGAGATAGTGGGGTTTGGTGACTGGAGGAGGGGGTGGGATGGGATGGTTAGTGAACGTAACACATTGTGTTGAGGTTTCATTGATCAGTCACTTGGTTGGTTGTATAAGTTTGTTTGTCTCTTCTAAATGAGTATGACTCACAATAATTGAGTGTGTTTGCTATATAGAAAAATTGAAAATCCCTCCACTGACCTGTATACTACGAGCCACCAGACAATAACATGTGGCTGATAGAAACGGCTGGGGAAAACGATGCAGTTTACTATAAAGCAGGTATCGCCTCTTGATGTCCCATCCCATCCCACCCCGTCCTCTTCAACCTCTACAGTACCTTAGGTACACCGTATTCGTAGGTATGGCCACACGCGGCTAACTGGGCTCGCTGACCAAAAGATCAGGAAATACCTATTGTAGCAAGCAACACTTGGGGAATCGAGGAGTTTGGTATTGTAAAGCTGGATTGCATGCATGGTCTACGAATGGCGTTCCATGAATAGATTGGATGTAAATTTGAGTGCAAGTCGGATAGACAAACAGCTAGCTGTGCAGGGATCTCCGAGTTGTAACCGCGTCTCCCAAGTCGTCCGATTGGTATTCAATTGGACTGCTTCTTCTGTGGTATGGCTAGCCAATTGACGGATAGTGGTACGTCGAGAGAGGGAATCTGGAGGTGTAGGGCATCGTCTGCTAAAAGGAGGATGGTATATCCGATAGTAGAGGCCACTGATATACAAAGACCCCAATTTGACACATGTGATGAGGTGGCCGGTGTAGAAGATACATAGTATCAGGGAATCGGAGAGGGGATATACACTCTGCTGTCAAACAAGCAAGCTCCCATGTGCCATCCGACGATGAAAGACCTTTTCATTCGGAGGCAAGCGCTATATACCTTGAGCGATATCATTAGCTCGCTTTGAGGACGTAGCTTTTGTTCTTGTAATCTTCAACATCAGGTAATCTGCACTCAGCCATAGGTGGAAAGTTTGCAGTTGGAGTAGACTTACCTGGGACCGTAAACCCGTTACTTTAGATTGGATTGCAATCTGGATGCCCTGCTTCGGCCATACACCATGTTAATTTTAGCACCTAAGATGAAGAGCATATATGTCGTAGGTACCTTAAGTGTCAGCTCATACTGGTAACATGACTCGGCGAATGTACAAGTCGGTACAGTAGCTAACAACGCATACATAGGTATGCGAATATGATAAGAATAGGTGGATGGTCAGGTTTAACATGTTATTGGTATGTTGAGTTCTCAGGTTCGCCACTGACGTCCTGTCCTGAAGAACCAATCCAATCAGGCGCGCTAAGCAGGAAACAGTGGGGCCAGCTCTGCCATATTGGCGGAGTGTTGCCCGTCTCCGCGAGCTAGAGACCCATCCGTTCTACATGCTTTATTGCAAGGCAGTAGACAGTGGCAATTCGAACTCATCCAAACCCCTATCCAGAGTTAGGGATATATATCGCGTTTTTTCATTCATTTATCTGCAGCGTCAAGTTAGCGAAGTTGGCACTCATACGATTCGCGATTCCGCTTCAACTTCACCGAGCATCTAGGGGGGCGAGGACCAGGAGAGTAAGGTCCGAGAGAACAAGTCCATTCGTGGCTGGCTGGCTGCCGTACTGGAAACATGTCCTGAAATCGGCGGATACAACCCGTTTGTCTCGCAATATAGCATCACAAAAAGGCCTCCTTAAAGATATTCGAACTTCGCCATCGAAATTCGACATGTCGGCTCCTTGCGCATATCCAAATCTCCATCTTGTACAAGGTGGCATTATAAATCAACCCTCGATTGAAGGGCTGGCGGAAGTCTGGCAGAGGTCTGGCAGAGGTCTGGCTTCTATTTGACTGACAATGATATGGTTGTCGTGAAAGGTTTGCTGCCGGCACGGCACGGTTAAGGAAAGCCATTTCAAACACCTCGAAAGAATGAAGGTATGCTCATTGCCGTTAAAATACTCCAGACGGCAAGATTTTCACTCACGGAACAAACTATCCTTCGACAAGTAACAAGAACTGACATGTCCAGGCTCGCCATCTCCCTCGACAAACAAAGTCGAATTCTAAGAGAGATCCACCAGGACCAAAACAAAAGCCGATGACTAGGGCGCGGACCGAAGGCCTTTGATAGTTCAATTTGTATTTAGCAGATTGTGAATCTGCATGAGACTCTGAGCGCCCCTCTCCTCCGCCGATGGAATTTTCCATCTCGAAGGACCCGAGGTCGATGCCAGGAACCCATGCGCAGGTCCTTCAGTAATCCAATCCGTGGAAAATGATGGAGCATACTTTGCATGAATCTCCTCGACAGGCTGAGTATACGTTTTCCTAGTGCACGCATCGATAAAGTCGTCCAAGCGATAAATCTCTTGGGATTTACCAGGTAGTGGCATGATGTCATTGGGGTTGCGAGGTAATGGAATGGAGCATTCTTTCGCAGTCCTTCTCAGCATTTCTTGTAATGGTCTTGCGACTGGAAATCCGGCACGCGACTGCATGAGAGCTTCCATCGCAAACTGAATAGCTTCGGGTCCGTCCTTAGCACCACCCTCCATACCTCCGGGGAAAAATCTGACAACCACATCAGTCAGATGAAGTACTGAGAACATCTGAAGTAGTGGTTGATATCGGCAGGTGTACTGGGTGCAATAATGTTGGTCGATGAGGTACAATCCTTGCTGGGCGTGCGTCCAAATGACTTCTTCCACAAGAGTCGTTGGAAACCCTTCGAAATCGAGTAGAGGACGGAGGAGCTGGATTATGGAGTTCTTGAATAGGATTCTGTATGATCAGCGAGATCTTATCTACATGGGAAACAATCATACAGGAGAGAGAGCACATGCGGAAGTGCTTGGCTATTGTTGTTCTCGATGTCTCCAATGCTGGTCGGAAGGTCATCCTGCCATGCCACGAACTTGCTATACTGTTGCAGGATTTGACGTGCAGATAACTTTGAACCTGGCTGGCTATACATCATCGTGGCCACGTCTCGGATGATCCTGATCAGTTTGGACTTCTCCCTATTCGTTGTGGCTAGGAGCCCTGGCCACGCGGGGCATTGATCATTCACATAGCGATAGAAGTACCATTTGGCTTCATCTGGCTCTGAGTCGTTCTCTTCAATGGTGTCGGAAGCTGTGTAGTTGACTATCACGGGGGCCTGGAAGGTCATTTGCGCCCATTCACTGAGTCAATCAGTATGGATGAATTAGTAATGGGATGAACTGAGACTGACACATTGAGATTCTGCACTCCTCGAACGGTGTTCTTCCAAACCTCTGCGAAGCCGTCACTTGTCTGGTATGCGACGTTGGATAGACTATCGGTAGCCACCCTCAGGTAAGACGAGGCACGCAAGCTTTTTCCACGAGCAGAGTCTATCAGGAACATGACCGCAAAGGCTTGTACGGTGGTAATGGTTTTGTCCTCCGGGTTCATGTCGTCCCGCACAGCATCACTGAAGTCTTCGCCCAGTTGCACAAAATCTATTTCGTCCGAGTCTGCCACAGAGTGCAAATGGCAAGCCATTGCACAAATGGCATTGACAAGAGCGGACGAGCAGTATTTTTTGGACTGCCTTTTGTAACTATCGACGAAACGGCCTTCGCTGAACAGTGTATGAACAGGATGGACCCAGGCAAAATACAACTGGAAGAGATGGTCCAAGACCGCAGAATCAGAGGTCACAGTTGTCCATTTGTGAGAAGATGACGTCCCTCCCATTTCGTGATCCGCGACTTCGAAGGTAGAATGATGAGACGTTCTAGGCGATGTGGTCTCCAGATCCTCGATAGGGGAATGGCCCAGACTTTTGACGATGGTGCTATACGCTTCTCCATTCTGAAGGCGTTCCAGAATCTCGGGAACTTTTCCATCATCTGTCGAGAGTGCTTGGAGGATCTGGTCGGTCAAATGGTCCTTTGCCTCGAGCTCTCTGATCTGCCTGACAAGCTCCTCCTTTGCATGCTTGATATGAACTTCGTAAACGCAATCGGAGGGTTCTATTCGTGACGCACACCTATGACACGGTTTCTCACCGTCACACTGCAAGAGAAGAAGTCAGTCGCAGATGGCGTTGGCACGAGGGGGTTGCATTAGGTTAAAGGTGAGGTGAGGTGCGCACACCAAGTAGCCAGATTCGGGGCACAAAAAAGGGACAACGCACCTTTGCTCGAGCCTTCTTACAGTTAAGGCAGGCATTTCGTGTAACTGACTCTGGGACCCTTCGACGTTTGGACGATGCTGTAGAGCCACTTATGTTGCTAGAGGTGCTTTTACTCGAACTGCCAGCGTCGAGCGGGTGGCGTGGATCACTGCCCGAATTGCCCGTGCTCTCGGATGTGGACTGGTACTGGCTTGGGTTGCTGGGAGACGCACTGCTGTCTCCGAAGGACGGACGGATTCTTCTGAAAGACATTATCGGGGCCGGATGCTTACGGCTGATACCATATAGATCTAGGAATTGAGTGGTGCCAATAATGCATACAAAGTCGGTCTGCTCAATACGTAGTAGGTATTTTATTTTGGTGCCACCTGAGGATACTGTGGGATTGTGGGTGGGAAAGCAGTGGATACAAGAATGCCATGAACGGTTCTCGATATGGCTGGGCTGGCAGGCACCACGAGATCACGATGATGCAGCAGCAGCAGTAAATGTCGGCTAATCGACGGAGGGAGCTTCTTATTCTCGAAGTTCAATGTTGGGTAGAATTGTATAGGTCGAGGTTGGAGGTACGAACTGCAACTAGCCGGTCTGTACTTGGTAAGTCTTTAAAGCATGCAAGGAGAATCTCACTAAGTATCATCGATTACTAGGATCGGAGAGATGTTGCGAGGGTGATGTCGACTTATTTGCCCTTGGGCAAGCTGCGAATAACTTCTCAAAGGCAAGTACGGGACGAATATCATGTTCGAAAGGTGGGTATATAGATAGGCACAGACATGCAGTTCATCATATGACGCAGGGCCTGTCTAGCTTCCATGGATTATCGAGGTCGAAGAGCAGCCCTATGGAAGAGCCGTATAGTATAACGAAGAGTGCATTGAAGAAGACACAAGACTGCTCGATGATAGTCGATATCGAAGTTTAATAATGGAGGCGTTGGAAAAGAAAGGACTTGATGCTTGGTCTAGCCTACGCTCGTCATTTCCTATCATCTCAGACGCGCCGCTTTCTACGCGCTATGAACAACCAGGGGATGGAGCATTCATACCATGCCTAGTATAGTAGGTACAATAGGTACTACTAGTACATGATTGTTGTTGTCGCGTTTGGAAAATGGAAGGCACTCACTAGGAAATACTCTCCGCTCCCCCCCTTCGCCACTCGCCTCCTTACCGAACTCCCGGCCGCTGGCGTCTCTTTCTGCTTGTTGCAACAGCTGCGCGTGTCTTTGGAGTGATTACTTGTTTTCGCTGCATCCCATCTCTTTTTTGACAACTATGCGGATGGTGAAAGACCCCTCTGGCCCAAAGATCGTGTTGCATGTGGCGGAACCTAGACATCGGGACCTTCTACAGTACGAGTACGACATCTCAATGTAATAGGGATCACCAGATGGCTCTGAGATTGGGCACGGAAGGATCTCCGATAGGTATGTCCCGAGAGCATCGAGATCTCGGAGAAGGCTCCGACTCCGACGATCAAAGGCACGGCATGGCATCTCATTTTGTTGGAGTGTACGGCGAGTGGATCGGATCGATCTACCGGCGTCTAAGCCGAGTCTCCGTCGGTTTCCAGAAACCGTCTACCAAGTAGCTCGTGGCAAACGGCTTCTAAACTTCGGAGAGCCTTGCCTTGTTCCTCTCAAAAGATTTACCCCTGACAGTCACGTTACATTACCCCTTTCCTTACGGGTTCAAACTCAGAACTCTCTTTCCCCACAAGGAAGACCAAGAGACACGGCTAAAATTCTCTTTATCTCACCTGCATGATTATCATTATGAATGATGTTGTGGAGCCGTGCTTCCAAATTGACATCTACCAGATCTAATAGAACCGCAACGAAAATCCGAACCAATCAGAATGAGTATCTTCAAATTCCCATTACATCAGGACTGCTCTACATTGCAAGTCAAGTCTGATCGCGCTTGACAGTTTTGGCATCTAGTCACGGCAACTAATAACAAGTATAAAGTAAGACTGGTTAGAGTGCATATATTATTGGTTACATGCTACGGTTCTTAAAACTCCTGCAATTGATTGATTGCGGAAGTACAGTACGACCCAACGCCAAGGATAAGATGGCTAGGCTATATGTTGCAAAGATCAGCGTACCGACAACCAGATATCTGGAGCACTTCCTAGAATCTTTTTGCTTAAACGAGATGCCACTCCAACTCGGGGTCGGGTATCACAAACTTGAAGGATATAGAACGAAGCTTCTATAGCTTGAATGCAAAGGCGTTGGCTTCTTGCGGTGCTTGAATTTAGAGTGGCAATGGCTCCCCTTTTAATAATTAGATGTTTTATAATAATTAATAGTAGCTAATAGTTTGTCTAGCCAAGATTCGGCTATCTTGTGTAACGATACAAAGGCAACGCAAATTTAAATAGCTATAGCTTCTAAATATAGTATCTGCTATAGTAGAAGGTAGTCTACATTCGACTTCCATGTTTAGAGAACTTATAACCTTATGTAAGACAATGACATAAAGTATACTCAAGGTAACGATCTTAAGCTAGCTTACCGGACGGTATAGTCGAATCTCTATAAAAAATTATAGCAGTGTGTGGTAATCTCTAGATAAGACTTGGAAAGGAAGCTAAAGGAAAGTTATTCGGATGATAGCTCTTTGGCAGCGTCTGGAAATAATCTACTTAGTACCTAGGTCCGAGTCTCTTAGGACTAAATTGAATGCATGTGAATGCATGTAAGAGCGTATCTCTTGAGCCCCTATGATACAAGATGAGAGCTCTTTAAACGCTCAAAAAACTCCTTGAAAAGGGCGCTCCAAAAACTCCCTGTCCGCCGTCAACAATACACTGACCCGGAGCCCACTCCGTCACCAGTCCAGCAAAAGGTATTCGTATAACATCCTTGTCGTCGTTGAAATACACGTTCATAGTGTTGAGCGGACTCGCTTCCCGATATGCACAGTCGACAGTAAACGGCGCAAGTTCGGGGCCGTTTCAAAGTCTATTAGAGGGAGATTCACTAGTAATAGTCACCAGGTTACTTTTGAAGTATCCAAAAACATTCTTGACAGGTGTCAAACCGCTTGGATTCTAGCACCACCTAATCAATCAACAGATACCATTGAAATTTCAAGTCAAAACTTCTTATAAGACAAATGACCTTGTACAACCAAGTAATTAAAAAGCAGAGCAAAACAGAATAATCTGATATCTATACATTTTCTATACCCAAATGCATCTATAATACACTTATTCTCTCAATATACACTACCACCCCTGATGTTTCAACTGTTTAACCCTACTAACAGTCGCCTTGAACCCCTCTTTAAAATTTCTTCTCCATCTTAAACTCGCAAGTCTTTTCCTCTTCAAGCCTGGCCGCTCGTGATATCGCTGATCAAGGGAGTCCTTTTTGACTTTATTCTTTTTGAGATTCAACTCCATCGACTTAAATGCCCGTCCCACATCGAAACTCTGGGTTACATATACACGTCTCCCCTGAGTTGGATTCAACCGCAATGGTATCTTTTGCACTGCCGCCGATGGGGCAATACCATCTAGGCCACGCATGAGATCCAGGTATGGAGTGGTGCCTGCTTCGCCTGTAGTAGAGCTTGGAGGATCTTTCATGCGTGAGATATCAAACCGGCCGGAATCGGGAGTGCGGTTGGCGGAGGCCTGACGCAATTCATTAAGCATGCTGGACGAGTCCGTCTCGGAGGATCGGATGGCGGCTTGGAGAGAGGATAGTTTGGGATACGAGGACGATGTGGGAGAGGGCCGTTGGGTCCAGAGGTTTTCGGACAGTTGCTCAATAATCTCGTCGTTCTTCGCGCGAGGATCTTTCGAGGCCTCTCCAGTCGAGGATTCGCTTTCAGGGGTAGTGGGAGGCGCAGAGGTTGTGGCTTGTGATCGCACAGCATCACATCGGTTGCTTGTAACAAAGTTACGTTGGGATGGAGGTGCGTAAGTGTATTTAGAAGTCAATTGCCTCCGGCTTGCACGTCGGATGTTGCTCGAGGGGATGAGTAGATTTGAGAGGGGCGACGCATTGCAGCGTATGAGAGCATCAGCTGCTCTTCGAAGCTCCATTGCCCTTTGAATAGTCAGTACCATTGATGAAGTCCTAGTAAGGGGAATACAACTTACATTGAGAGGAGCGCTGGTCGGTAGAGCTTTTCGTGATGTTGGATTCAAATCGTGAATTCTGGGAGCTTTGGACGACGCTAGTTATAAAAGTTGCTGGTCCGTGCACAGTGGCTTCACTTTCAATTTTGAAGCTCCAACCTCATATGTAATTTTGATGCGCCAGCCTCAGCAACTTCCCTTCTCCTTAGTTTGCTACTTCGGCGACATCCTAAGATAGGACTCTTATTATTGACACATTGGGAGATTCAATCGAGACAGATTCAACTATGTCGTATAACCCTTATGGAGGTGAGTTATTGCATCCTTTGAAGCTCCTAGCCCTTCTCTGAATACCTGTAATTACAAGTCCTAACATGGTTGAATAGCGTCGCCCTATGGGCCTCCTCCAGGATTTGGTTCTTCTTTCTCGGGCCAGAGCGGCAGTCCCCCCGGCATGGGCCCTCCTCCGGGAATGGGTAAGGCTCTCGATACTCGAAGCAGATACCCCTCTAACTCTTGTATAGGTCCTCCGCCAGGCATGTCAGCGCCAGGTACGGCTCCTCCTCCAGGTATACAGCAAGCCAACAGTGCTCAGGGTAGTCGACCGAGCGGACTCCCAGCCAGCTTCCAGGGCCCTCCAAATATGCCCAATATCAACTTCTCCGCGCCCGTTATTCGATTAGGCACCGGCCCTACGAAACCCTCCACGCCATTATCTGCAGGTGGGCCAGGAAGGAGAGAAAGTCAGGATCCTGCATCTGCAGGTGGAAGGGCTGGTCTGGGCGCTGAGAGGGGAATGGATGCTCAACGGCAAGCTTTGAAGGACGCTATGATGTCTCTGGTTCCACCTACAAAAGAAGAGATTGTACGAACCATATTTATCGGTGGCATTACTGAAGGCACCGGCGGAGACGATGGAATTGAGCGAATTTTGAGCACGGCAGGCAGATTACGGAGGTGGGACAGGGCTGTTGATGCTAATGGAAAGCAATGTTCGTTTGGGTTTGCACAATACGACGATGCGGAGAGCCTAGGTACGGCAGTAGAAGTTCTTAAGGATATTGAAATACCAACCAAGAGACAGCCGCCGAGCGATGGAGCCAAGAAAGATGGAAGCGACGAAGAAGATATTGAGAGAAGCAAGCTGCTTGTTTTCGTCGACGACAATTCACTAAACTATCTTGAAAGTTACCAGTCGAACCGTGGAGATGATGCCGCTGGAGAACAGTCGAGATTAGACATTGCTCGGGCTAACCTTAAGGGTGTTCTATACGAGTTGTTCCACCCTCCCATGTTTGTCAAGATGGAGGAAGGAGGCGAAGACACCGAAATGCAAGATGCAGAAAGAGGAGATAATGTGGAGGTTGTCAATATACCATTAGCCATCGACGATGAACTAGCAGATATTCCAGCAGAGATGCGAGAAACAGTTGCACAGGAAATTGCAGCATTTAGAGATCGCAGCACGAGGAGAGATCTCGAACGTCTCAAGCGGGAAGAGGAAATGGAAGCCCTTGAACGACAACGAAATGGAGCTCCTCGGCCGTCACGGCTCGCATCACCCCCACCCGGGGTGCCTAACGGACCGGCTGCTGGAACCAACAATATCCCACTTGGTCCACGCGGTGTACCAAATGCACCTTCTGGCCCCAAAGGTCAGGGCTCGCAAATGCCGCGGGACTATCAAAAAGGGGTCTCATTTATCAATGGTAGCGGTATTAATGGCAACGCAAGTGGAGATGTATGGATTAACCGTGAAGAGGAAGACGATCCTGCTAGTGATGAGGAGCTTGAGCGTAGACGCGCAGAGAAAAAGGAAGCTGAATTGGAAAAACAGTACCTTGATCAGGAACGCCGCTGGCTGAACCGAGAACGTTCACGAACGGCTGCTTTGGAGCGCGAGAAAGAGCGCGAAGGCGAAGATGCCGGCAAGGTCAGTATTGAAAAGGAGAAGATGGCTAAACGCCTAGCTGCTTGGGACGATGATCTGGAAGCATCACGCAAGGTCGAACCTTACTACTCGGATCGTAGCATGTGGATCCGAAATCGGGAGACGATCAGGTCTCGTGAGGCTGGAATAGATGATAGAGATCGCATTGCGGAACAGAGAGAGCGACAGCGCGAGATGGCTGATAAAGAACAGGCGCGTGGAATGGCCGATTCATTCTTGGATCGACAAGCCGAAGAGCTCGAATCCCGGTCAAACCGCGCTCAGCAGCCCTTCAAATTGTCACTTGGTGCCGCAGCCCAGAAGGCCCAGAAAGCTGCACCCCCTCGTCGGACCGTCGCAGAAGTCGAAGGACTGCTCGAGGACGAAGAGGACCTCAACAAGACTTCAAAACGCACGCTCATTCCTATCAAATTCGACCCTTCAGCCGCACCTGCTGGTCTGTCAGACGAAGAGCGTGATCAGGCTCAAAGGCAACTTGCGCAAGAGATCCCCAACGACAAGGATGGGCTCTGGGCTTGGGATGTCAAGTGGGAGTTTGTGGATGATTCTATCATCGACAAGCTCCGGCCCTTTGTCGAGAAGAAGATCATGGAGTACCTCGGCGTGCAAGAGCAGCTGCTAGTCGAAGTCGTCGAGGAACACGTCAGGACAAAAAGCAAGCCGCAAGATCTGGTGGAACAGTTGGAAGGTGTAAGTTTTTCCGTCTCCTCTCCTCCCATCTCGTCTTATCTTTTCAAACGCGACTTTAAGCTAATCAATCAATCTATCAGGCGTTGGATGAAGAAGCTGAAGAATTAGTCAGGAAGCTCTGGCGAATGCTTATCTTCTTTTCCGAGAGTGAAAAGAGAAATCTGGCTGCTTAGGCAGGTGATGAGACTGTATCGGGGCATGTAATGATCAGGGACTACGAAGTTACACATCAAGGGCATGCGGTGGAATTTGAAGCATTTCCAGCGTTGGGAAAAGTAATCGTATTGTAAGAATAGGACAACAAACAGCAAAGCTGCCGACATGAATGCGAATATCACTTTTAAGAATCACTTGGGCTTACAGTTGAGCTTTGTGTAGGTTGACTGGATTTGGTACCCTGTTTAAACTCGCGAGCGTCATTCATTGTCTGCTGCAACGCTATGCTATGCTATTTATACATGCCATTTGGAATACCTTAGTCCAAGTGAGACTTCGAGAATGTAGGAACCGTCAATGTACCCTCCTATTAATTCTAACCCATAATTCTACCCACCTCTCGTTTCATCAGCCTGAACCATATGCGCGCTTCCATTCAACCAACCTCTCCGTCCCCTTCACGCCACCCGAAAACCTCAACACGAACTCCTCCAACGTAAAATGATCCTGCAACTGCCACGGCCACACATCATTGCCTGCCCAACGAATTAGCATGATTAAAAATTGGAGTAGTTAGCCAAAGAGCCTGGGAACTGTCTCGAGGGCCGAGATCCCACATATTGTAGAATACGTTCTTTTGGTTCCCGACACAGCTCCCAACTCTAAAGCTCATATATAAAGACGGAGGAGTTTTCACTAACCCTCACCCCATTTCATCACCAGACCCTCTAGATTTTTCAAACCTGCATTTTTCGAGTAACCCTTTGACTCCATTATGTTGTCCCAGTTCAGATCGGCCTTGTCCATCATCTCTTGCTCTTTTCGAATCCGCTCCTGCATCAATTTTTGCTCTGTCATGTGCGCCTTGAAGCAAATACCCCTCCACGGTAGCATGTCTTGGACGGCGCGTCGGGCAAAGATGTATTCGCTGCAAAATTGCTCCGTGGGAACGAGGAGCGATATCGTGGCGTGGGGGTTTTCAGCTGACGTTTTCAGCATCGGCTTGACTGCGGAGGTGCATAATTAGTAGGAATTGAACTGTCTTGGGAATACTGTGACATTATTCTTACAGCTAGAAATGTATTCGGTGGTTGGCACACCGTCAACCATGTTTGGGCCCAGCTGGATCCGGTCAAAAGCCCAATCTGTGGGCGGATCATTTGTCCGTGGATTATTTCCCTTCATGCTTTTAAGGACGGCCGAGCTGTAAGCACATTTGACAAAGAAGACTAGTTTATGGGTCTTAAGCCGGTCGCAGAACTTGTTAACAATGGACGCCGTGTAGTGGTATAGAGCTCCGTTGATATCATTATTTGGCAGCCCGTGAGTCTTTGAAAACCTGGCCAGTTCGAGGAGATCAACCGAATCGGTTGGGCGTGGTAGGTAACCAAGGATACAGTCTCCGTCGGTGTTGTAGAACGTCCTATGCACGTCAATGTCCCAACAGCCTTGGTATAGTTACCTAGAAGCTTCGCGGGGCTGACTTACCGGTTCGGTTTTACGAAGCCCGTAACGCTCGCACCGTAAGGACGCAGAATACCAGTGTCTCTGTACTGCTGCTCGACAACCCGATGTACTGGCGGGATATGGGCCAACCACATATCCTTGATACGATTCTGCATAGCGAGTTAGCCCAACGAACAATTGATTATTTGTGGAGAGCAAAGGAGCCGCGAAGCTGTCTTAGAAGTCGGCACTAGCGGCATATAGCGAGCTGGACTCCTGGACCAGCTCCCTTCAAGAATTTCAGCACAAAGGCATGAGGATAAGCCTACCAAGTCAGGGTCACAATCCTCTCCCATAGAAAACCTTCGATTCGTCTCGAAACGCTCCATCGAGCGATCAACGGCAAACAGGTCGCCGAACATTTTAATCTGTTCGAAGTTCATACTAAGCCACATCATGGACTTTGTGCCTTCATAGCGATAGGGAAGCGTGGCGCGTTGAACTACAGGGTAAGCAACGAGCAATGGGCCGAAAAGTTCTTTTATCCTGAACGACGCCCGTGCAATTTGTGCATAGCATGCCAGAGTAACAGACGCCGAGTACCATAAATGTATTATTGCGTCGGTGAACATTCCTCCATGATTTTCGTGTGCGAGTGCAAGGATGAGCATATTACGGAAGGTAGATAGTTCGTCTGTTTCATTAACAACCACGTTGCAATGCCCTTGGTAGTTTGAGGGAAGACCATTGATAGTGGCCATTACACTTCTCAGATCTACCGCGGCTATAGAGTAGAGTTTTTCAGTGTCCATCCATACATGCACTCTTGTAGCGTCAACGGCAGACTCACTTGTAAAGCAGAGATCCAGGTCTTTGTGATAGTTCATACCCTCATTCTTGGCCAGATTGAGGATATCTCGCGGCGGCGTCATACCCCATAGAACCTTAAATACCCTCTCGTTGTACTGATGCACAGGCAGATTGTCCATATTCATGAGAAAAATCACCTCGTCGTACGTGTTGCAACTTCCGTAAATCCCTTTCACGGCTGGCTCTAAAAACAGGTAATCGGCGTAGAGCTTCTCGTGCTTGATCACGGATTTCTTGCATTCGGCTTTGTGACGCTTCCAATCATCTTCTTGGCAGGCTCTTGAGCAATACTGAGGATTACAGTCAGTACCAGCGGCAGCAAAGTCTGTGAATGCTTGAGATGTGTACTTTTACCAAGTGACAACGTTTACAAAATAGTTTCCCCTCATCACAGCAGATATCTTCGGCGCATTGAGTGCGGATCATGGTGGAAATGAAGAATGGTTTGATGATGCAGTTACGATTTTGCAGATACTGTAGCAAGCAAGCAGATTGTCTTACATAAAGGTAAAATGGGACATTGGCATTATCCTCGGTGGCACTTGCCAATTCGGACACCACGACGCCGGTGAAGCTTGTTAGAACTAAACACGGGACATAAAATCTCTCGGGGAACTCTATAGGACTATGAAAATACCTTCCTCGATAGCAATACCAACACAGGACAATGTTATACTTGTACTCGTTTGTAGATTGCTAGGGGAGAGCTTGTTCCTTCTCCTTTAAAAATCTTTCTAATCCTGAAGACTTCGCAGCTAATTCATTGGCCAACGAAGGCCGAGGCAACTCAAACGTCTCCCGAACCCTTCCATATTGAATGCCACCCAATTGAACCAAAGGCCGCATGACTGAGAGATCAATCTCTTCCCCCTTCTCTCCCAGAGCATCCTCTCTTACCCAGAACCGTGTCGCTTGAATAATAGCCAGGGATCCAAAGGGCTTCCCTAACTTCGCATGCCCATAATCCAAATCTTTCATCTCCAACAACTTCCCCTCGACCGAGAAAACAGCTTCCTTTACCCGCTCCGCCTTCACCGTGCTCGAAGATGCGGGATGCATCCCAGAAAACTCCCACTCAGACTGTCCAAATGGAACATCTAAAGAAGTTGCATTGACAGCCTCGATCATGTGTTCTGACACCACACTAATAACACACTCGCCCGTCTCGACAAGATTTCTCATCGTGTCCTTTGGCCTCTCAGCACGACCTGAAAATCCTATCACGAATATCGGGGGGTCGTGATCGACAACTTGGAAATAGCTAAAGGGTGCTAAATTTCGAGTTCCGTTTTTTGACACTGTGCTGACAAAACTGACTGGTCGAGGAACTCCAGACACTAGGAGTTTGTAATTTGAGATCATGGGTCGGCCATCTTTGTAGGGGTCAATCTCAACGTGACCTTTCTCGAGACTCGATGAATCTGAGGATCCCTTTCCGTATTTCCAATCCGGGTCTGGATTCTTGGTATATGTGATCGGAAGGGTGGAGTCGAAATCAGGTCGTGAAGCTTGGACTTTTTTGAAATCTGCATATTTAGGCTTCAGCTCAAATGGGCTCTTAGTGCTCGACATTCGCGCCTGACTGCAATGGTTCGTCGTTTTTATAACGGACTTTGAGGCTGTTGATGTAATGGGGGAAAATTTCCGCATTGTTGAAATTGTTGGTAGGAGCGATGGGTGAAAAACCGCAGGGGCAAGTGCTTCTAGTAGGTAGGCAGATAATAAGTGCGCTAGGCGGGGCCAATCGAATATTTACAGTAAGGATGTGATTTCTTTGCGTTCGTAATAAGAAGGTGTTTAGTATGCATCAATGTTGCATACTGCAAATCACTATGTAAAATACGAGCTGTCCAACAAAGCTATTGAAGCTGCTTGGTAAAGATACTTTAAGAGTGGGATACGCCCTACGCCATACAGGGCGGGGTGGTATTCAGGGGCTCGCTAAAGGCAGGTGCGTCCGGCTTCGGTGGCGAGGGCATTGCTTATTCTCACCTCCACTCCCCTCTTGAAGAGTGAGTGCGTCTTTATATTGTCCTACTTTTGTATCTGAGAAATAACAAAAAGACAAAAGAAATTCAAACCCTTTTCCTTCAACTATTTCCCGTCGTCATCAAGCATGTCCTCCACCAATATTAGACCAAAGCACGTGGACCGCACCTTTGCTCCTGGCATCGGTATACGCACTCTACCTCTAGTAGAAAGCATACCATCTAACCCCCCAAGGTCCACCATAGCTATCATGTCATTCGGCGAAATGGGAACTGGCATCGCCACCCTACTAAAGAAATACTCCTATCCGGTAGTCACAAATCTCGATGGACGAAGTGCTAAAACGAAAGCACGCGTAGAGGCGCTTGGGGTGAAATGCCTTCCACTAACCGAATTGGTTGCGGAAGCATCACTCTTCCTTTCACTCCTACCCCCAGCTGAAGCTCATAGGCTAGCAGAGACTGTGGCAAGAGCCTTCCAAGAGTCCAAACCCTCCAGCAGAGAACTCACATATCTCGACCTGAATGCCATGTCTCCTGATCTCTCGAGGCAAATCGGCTAGACTATTACTAGTGCTGGCATGAGCTTTCTAGACGGAGCACTCCTGGGATTCCCACCCAGAGAGCTAGAAAATAACGCCTGGTTCCAGCCTGCGATGCTCCTCGCCGGTCCCAAGCCCAAAGTCGGCCCTGGTCCATGGTCAGAAGAGCTCCTTAGTATCCTCAATATCCGCCACGTCGGCGGCGACTTCGGCGCCGCCAGCGGTCTTAAGACATGCTTCAGCGCCATTCACAAAGGACAATCTGCAGTCGCCATTCAAGCCTACACCACAGCGGAGAATCTCGGAGTCTTGCCTGCGCTCAGGAAACACATGACTGAGTATTTCCCCACGAGTACGCCGATAATCGAGAGCAGCATCTTCAATGCTCAGAGGAAAGCATATAGATGGATCAAAGAGATGGATGAGATTGAAGATACTTTTGCCAGAGAGGGTGGTTGGGATAGGGATCTTTTTCACGGCGTTTCGAAGGTGTTTGGAGTGGTGGCGGAGAAGACTGATTTGAGGAGTGAGAATAAGGAGGATGTGGGGGATATTACGACAGAGATCTGTGCTGGGTTGAGAAGGAAGAGTATTTGAAGCGGAAATAACAATACCGCATAAAGACGGAAAAGACGCCTATGTCCTTATTCCCTGCATTATAAGAGTATATAACTCGCAGGGGTTCACTTTGGCTTGAGATATTGACACTCAGTCCACGGTTCCAAGATGTTTTATGATATCTTGTGCGGTAAGAGCAGATTCTATTCTAAAGCTCTCCAAACAAAATCGAACCTACCACTCGCTCTAATTCTGCCAGGACAGCATTGTCCTGCTCTCGTTCTTCGCTTATTCTTCTCCCCATCCTGCGCTTCATCTTCCAAATCCAATATCTCTCAAGAGCTTAAGCGTCGAGCATTCGTTTCTCTTCCCTAAAGTCTTTACGCAGATTACCAAGACAGTCGGTCGATTGTCCATTGACTTCAAGTACGTATTTCTTCATTCAACGAGCAAGGTCGCTCCTCACTTAAGAATTCCTACTGTGTTCCTTTGTTGTCACTTTCTCATCATGGTTTGGAAAATGTGAGGGCTGACGCGGAGAAGACCACCACGAGAAAATCTCCCAATATGTCTCAATTTTCCGACACATCATAAACCTTCGCCAGCTCAGAAGCCATCGAGTCGGTTATGTTCTTAATGCCCGACTTCACGCCCGATACACGCCTGAGGGTCTTTGGTCGAGACTTTCATGTCCACTCCTCATTTCTAAAGCTCCACTCAGCCTTCTTCCGGACGTTTCTCGAATCACCGGAGAAGGGACTCCCTGTTACTTCATGTGGCTTCCGATACGAATGGGTTACTGAGGTGGATAAAGACGATACTTGGTCTCTAATTTGGGCTGGCTCTACTGAAAAGGTAAGCAGGTCATTTAGCAGAATACAGATTGAGCCTAACTTTTCTCCAGTCTGGGACTGTATCTGACGTTGGCAAATTCACTGGCGACCAGAACGCGGAGATCTCGGCCTTCACCATTGTCATCCAAGCAATTCACAACTGGCGATTTATTATTCGAATCCCAACCCAACTCTGCCTTGCTACAAAGCCAGCCGATTGCTATTGCACTTTACCCAGCCTATCTAAGTCTCTTTATTGTCGCTTTTGGAAGTCGCGAGTTCTGCGATAGTATTCGGGGCAATGAGATAAAAATTCGGGTCGCAGCAATTAAGCTGAGAAACGAGGTCCTCTATCGGGCATATATGACCTTGCTGATGGGCCCATGGACCATGCCAAAATATTTGTGCATCAAAGACAAGAAGCTCGAGCAGTTGGCAGCTTTGGTACATCACAGCATATTTTGTAAGGTTCTGCGTACGCAGCATAATGTATCCCAGGGAATCGTTGAATTTGGGGGCCCTCATTTCGCAAGAATATACCAAAGGGAAGAGCTCGAGGCAATGACCTCTTAACATGTATGAAAAGCCGGGTGAAGTTCCTTCCCTACGCTTGCTATCTCTCTATCGGCAGCTTGTCGATGGAGCACTGGGAAATAAGCTCGAGTGGCTTCTCCAAAACAACTTAGCTCTCTATCCTGCAGCGATAGGATTGAGCTCCTTCAGATTGCACAGTTATCAATATCCCGCAAAGCCTATTATTACTTTTGAATCTCAGCCTGTTCCCCCTAAAAGATACCATAATTAAGACACGATACAGTACACGATAAAATGGCGGGGAAACCTCTCTAGCCTCTCCTCTTCTAGCCTTGACGTTACTCTCGCATGCAGCTGCCTAAAATGGGTAGGTCTATTGCTAGCACCTTTTACATACCTAGTTATGGAATAGCTTTTCCGCCTTTTGCTTACCTAAAGCGGACCAAGCGCGCTAACGCAGAATCAGATCGAGATATGCGAGAGTGGCAGCACCTTACACTAGCGTGTTTTGAGTTCTTACAGAGTACAGTATACGAGTAGCACAGAACATTAAGAGGACTCCATTTATTTCATTCTGTTGGGATATGGGGTCATTGAACGGGATGGGACGGGACTTTATATATGTGATATATCGTGGCTGACTAAGCTAAGAGGCTTCCCCCACCCATCCTTTGTACCTACTATGGACAAGCTATAGAGTAAGTTTTATTAGCTGGTACGGAGTCATCACATCTGTGATACCAACACATTCATTCTGGGGAAACCTTTAGATGGTGGGGCCTGTGTTTATGGAACGCGGTGTGGCATTTGCTTGCTTACTTTCTGTTGATCATTTGCAGGCCGGTGCTTTTCATTTCGGTTTGTGTTTAATTATTTTCCATGACACCGTTACTGTCGTGTGCCTCATTCATGTGTATGGTTGGCTTGACTATTGTTCGTGAAGTTATTTAGACTTCCCGTTGAGTCAAATCTCAGCTAGTGCGATATTTGAAGTCCGAACAGCCGTTGAAACTCTACCGGTAGTTGCCTTCAGGAAAACGAATACAATAAGTCCACCAACTGGATTAGGACATTCTACTTCGTCACAGGCCAAACTGTTACGCCAAGAAGACCAAGGCAGGGGGCCTTGCTTTGGTGCGTTTACCACCCTTCTTAACTCCTCTGCTATAGATTTCTTGGCGTAACAGTTTGGCCTGTGATAAAGTATCCCCGTTCACTTGCTTCTGTCGGTGGCAGTGCCAGGTAGACCTTGGGTTTGGAAGGGATTTGTTCACGCCTCAGTTTCGTACTACTGGAAGACCTTGGGGAACTCCAATCAGAGAGTTATTAGAGCCGCAACCTCCTTGATGGCCTTCGTAGAATGGATCTGAATCCGAATCAGCGGATTGGGCCAGCCAACTCATTGCAGACATGTGTATTAAGTATCGTATTTGGATCTGTAGACCATGACCATGATAATCATCTTGACGTCGCAGGAGAAGAGATATCCTTACGGAGGTGGACTAAAGATTGGTGCACAGAATCGGTGGTCCACCCCCGAACTTTCCTCACCCTTAACCCCAGCTGCACCGATCGATGATCTATTATTCAGAGATCCCAATGTCGTGATATTGGCAAATGACAGGGTACGTTAATCGAGTTACGGAGTATTTGCATTTGCTTGGCTTCATCTGTCGTAATAATTACGGAGAAGATGAGATATCTCGTCTCCGCAAGAGTCGGCAACTTGGCAAGGCAAGACCCGTTTTCTTCTACGGAGGTATACTCCGTAGTTACCGAGGGTTTTACTAACTTAGCTTGAAGAACTACCGTCCCGTAGGTATCCGTGCCGTGCATCTACAGTACTGTACTGTAGTGTAGCGAAGAATCCTTGGAAGAATCTGCCAAGACCTGGTCCTTGCCAACTCTCTAGAACCTCACGTACAACTTGGGTATATAAATTTGACTGGCTTGTGACCCTACTGGTGCAGTACTAGTCTGGTAGTACTCCGTGAAAGCCTCTAGAATAGCATGACTACGAAGTATAATGATCTTAAAGCGCGACTTCTCAAATGAAGCCCTGTCTTTAGTTAAACCTGGGCACTTTGAGTGGTTGTGGAGTATAGAAAGATGGAGTAAGAGTGTCAGGCTTAAAAATGCGAGTACGGAGTGTCTGCGCCACGTACCCCTTAATCCCCCTTCCCGCCCTACGGATATAACCGCCCTACGGATATAGCCTGGTGTTCCCTCAAAGGCAAGACATGCAGTTTTACTTTCTTTTTCAGCACTGGTGACGTCTCTAGCAGGGCTCCGGAAGCATGCGGAGTGTAGAAAGGAGGGATGGCTTTGCTTGTACTGTACCGTAATCGTGTTCCTAGGCCTGCCGAATTGGTTGATCATTTTGTTGAAACCTAACATGGATGGCATGGTCCCTGTCCTGCCCTGCCCTGTCATCCCACTTTTTCACCGCCAGCTATGCAAAAAAGAAAATCGTCGATTGATCCATACGATTAAATCATCTGTTCTCTTTCCTTTTTTTTTTAATAAAGCAAAAGCATGTTTCATTTTCCATTCTCTCTCCCTCTTATTCCCGGTTTTGCTCGGTTCCCTTTCGCCACATCCTGTATTGTACTTAGACATTTTGATACGTCCTTGTATTACACCAGATAATCGAACCGCCCAACTGTATAGTACCTTGGGAATGGCGGCTCCTTTGAAAGTCCTTATTATTGGCGGTGGTATTGCTGGTCCTGCCCTCGCCTACTGGCTCTCACGGATCGACGCCAAAGTTACTCTCATCGAACGCTCTCCCCACATACGAGCCTCCGGGCAACAGGTGGATCTCAGGGCCCAGGGTGTATATATGATGAAGAAGATGGGCATCGAGGACGCTGTCCAAGCCGCCGCTGTTCGAGAAAGTGGCACGCAACTCGTTGACACCAACGGCCGGACCAAAGCCTTCTTTCCCACCGTCCAGAACGGTGCCCTGAAGCAAAGTTTCACGTCCGAGTACGAGATCATGCGCGGTGATCTAGTTAATATTCTATACAGTCTCACGCAAAATTGTGAAAATGTTAACCATCTATTCTATACTACCGTCGACAGCATTACGCAGGATGACGAAAATGATCCTCACGGCAAGGTCCACGTGAACTTTACACATGGTGCCCAGGAGGATTTTGATCTTGTCGTTGGCGCTGAGGGGACCGGTTCCAAAACTCGCGCCATGATGTTGGGTCCAGACGCTCCGGATCCACGGAGGCGGGTTGAGGGAGCGGGTAAAGGTTTTATCGGATATTTCAGCATCCCCTCGAAACCAGAGGATTCAGATAGGGGAACTTTCTGCCACTTGCCAAAAACCAGCGTATCTCGAATAATCGCAACGAGAAAGGATTGCCCAGAAATTACACGCATATACATGCTTATGTACGGCACAGACGACGCTCTCGAAAAGGCATATGCATCTGGGAATCTAGCACAGCTGAAGAAAGCTTTCGCTGGTATATACCAAGACGGTGGATGGGAATGTAATCGATTCATGGAAGCACTACAAAATGCCCCGGAGGCAGACGACCTGTACTGCACACCACTCGAAGAAGTCCATCTCCCCAGAGGATCCTGGTCGAAAGGCCGAGTGGTTCTAGTCGGTGATTCTGCTCATACCAAGACGCCCGAGGGGTTCGGGACGACGTGGGGCCTGATTGGGCCCTATATACTGGCTGGGGAGATCGCGGCCCTCTACGGGACAGCCAGGTGGACGCCGTCAGCAGCCGTAATACAAGGCGCGAAGAACTACGAGGAAAAGTTTCGGCCGGTAGTTACTGCGAGGCACGGGAGTAGATCGTGGATCGAATATGTAACCCTTCCTACATCGCGCCTGGGAACCCGATTACTGCATACGTTTGCACCAGTAGCAGCGCACTTGCGGTTCGACCAAGGCTGTGGTTTGGATAGAAGGACGACTAAATGGAGGCTTCCACACTATCCCGAGCTGACCAACCAATTGGAAAAAGTCTGCTCGACGGCAGCGTCCAGCTTTCCAGACTCTTACTACTATCCCGAGCTAGCAAAGTTAAGCATTGATAGTGGTTGGACTTGGTAGAAGAAGCAGCTACTTTGGCGGATTTTGCTGTTGTATATCATTCAATCTCAAATCCCGTTTGCTGCCTGCCCACTCAGCTCTTCCATGGACATAAATCAATTCTGCCCTAGTCCAGTGTCGTCCGTTGAACTTCAGATCCACTTTTAAAGTGCGGGAATAATGTCCAGGTGGGATCGCGAGCTCTTCCCCGCTCAAAGCCTAGAAAGGAGTGGTTTCCCCTCCCTGGTTTGGACCTCAGCTCAGATGTCCAATTCTTCGCAACACCCTCTCGCCACTTCTCTACTATTTCGAAACGCTTATCATGTTGCATTAACACCTCCCTCTAAACCGCGCCCCGGCATATGTAACAGCAACTTTTCGCCAAGCTGAACTGCAACATGTCCGATCGTCCCGAAGCTTTGGCCACGTGGATTGGTCTTGAAGATGGAATGGGGCTGTTTCAATATGCAGAGCCTTGTCACTTACTCTGCGTAAACATGTACACGCACTCGGTATACTCGGTAAAATAAAGGAGTTAAGAATCAATTCAAGACCGACTACTCCGTATTAATGTGGAAAGATGCATGCAGATTTCATAACACCCTGTTAAGCTTTCAATAGTCTAGTCACATCACACTGCAGGCGGGGAAAGACACTATCCTCCCCGCCACCTCCTGAAACACCTCGCTAAATTTCGGCGCCGCGCGCCCCCCCCCCCCCTTACCCCGCATTTTGATATGAAGGACGAAGTATATAATCTTTCTTTCTGGGTGGCTCGGGTGAGACGGACTCTACACTAATCTTCTATATGCTCATGGTCCTCGAGAGGGCAGTGTTGAAACTACTCTTCAACTAGGTACAATATCGCGATTTTGAACAGAGTCACTTGACTCGTCTTTCTTGGCAATTACTTAGTTATAAGAAATGGATTAAGTAAAGGGGGTGAACACCTTAAACCGAACCCCTACACGCAAATCATTCGTTGCTCGGTGGCTACTAGGTACGTCTTACCATATAAAATAGAGTTTCTTGAGTGCTCACGGACTAGAAATCCATTAAAAACCCACCTTTTACACTTGTAAGGGTTCGCTCCGACGTGTCCACCCCATCTAAGCCTTGTACAGGTATCTGCCTCCGGATTACGAACCAATCGCCCTCGAAAGAGGCCTCATATTCCATTGCTCATTCTACTAGACTCAGCAGATGGACTATAACACAGGACGAAGGTACAAGAAGAAAGGGGTGTCTCTACTTAGTTACATGAGTCGAGTCAAGTCAATGTCACCAGTAATGAAAACGCCATTGGCAGAGAATAATCTCACATAAATTGGTATCAAAGCTCTCCCTCTCACTTTAAAGTACAAATACATGATGTGCAAGAATTACATGCATGCTTTTCTTTTAATTCCCTCGCTGGCCCCGAGTCACAATATATACGCGCGCATGAGAGCACTCATGTGTCCATCCCCCAAAACGCCAGCAAATGCCGAAGATCTGTTCCCTTCTTTCCAAGACTGATTCCAATTTCATCACCGAAAGGAATTTTGTATCTTCCTTCTGAGCTGGTGCACTGCGTTCTGGTCGCTGTTTTGCAGATCGTTGCTCAGGAGACCCAACAATTCGCTTATTTCTTGCGCATTCTCATCACTGCCGTATAATCTCGTATTCGTCCGTACGCACTCTTCGTACCACTGGTCGCAGATGTAAACAATGTGTTCAGCGAGGACTTTCTTGCGACTCGCCACATTGAACGGTGGGCTATTGCTGTACCACACTCCCTGCAGGGTAGCGATGATAATCTCATGGGGGAAACCGACTTCGATGAAGAGATCTGGAACCCAGTTGCGAGAACTAGCATTGTGTTGGAATTCGAAAGCGTATTTTTCAATCATCGGAATTAAGAAAGTGGGGTTGAAGGTGTTTTCGGAATGGTTGAGGCGGTCTGCCATGTCTTTGAAAACTGTGATGACAGCTTCGTAGGGTTTTTGACCAGCGTCTGGGTCACTGTCGACTTTGACATGCGTACTCGAGATGAGTTGCTGCCAGGTTGCTTTGACGTCGGCCTCGTTACGGTGGTCGGCACACTCGTAAATCATCAAGCATATGTCAAAGTAGCTGGCTTGGTCTGCAAAATCATTATATAGCTGCGAAAAGCATTAGATATGATCATGACCGGATAGGATAATACTTACGTCAGACAATTCTAAGACCCGGCTATCGAGGGCTTGAACGACACTTGGTTTCCGCTCGTCGGGTACTCTCGAATCAACGCGAAGTCGGTTGAGCAACTCATCTTGGATATTGGCAACTTCAAGGAGCTCAGTAACTTCATAAAGCAGAACTTGACGTGCTTGTCTTCCAATACCAGGACTTGACGCTTGGGCATTTGCTTTGGCTCTGCTCAGATACTCAATTCGTGTCCGGAGGATGATATTGAAATCACTCTTTGCTAGATCAAGTTGAACCGCTGCCGCCTCATAGAATCGCTCTCGGTGGACGTAAAACTTCCAAAGAAGATCTGCTTTCTCCACACTTGTAACGGCTGACCGAGTCAAGAAGTGTACTACAAAAGGCGAGTCTGTGGATAAGAGTCGATCGACCCATCCTTGGTGTAAATACCACTCGTATAGATCATATTGGAACAACTCGTCCTCGGATTCATTGACCACACTGTAAGCTTCAATACGCTTCGTAAAAATCAGGGTCGCCCGACCATCAACTGTGTTCGGTTCCAATGCAGCAGCATCATCAACTGCAATTAATACACAATGGACAAGCTCATAACATTTCCTTCTGAAATTGTATGCTGGGATCCGGTTATCACCCTCGGGCTTGTTTTCATTAACCCACGCTAGAGCGGAATTCCCACGATCTGATTCATGAGCAACTAGAAGAGCTAGACTGATCGCACCTGCGTAGAATTGGAGGGCAGCGAATTGATCCATGGCGCTCTGAAGATTTTCGTATGAAAGCGCACCTGCAACTTGCGTAAAGAGCCGAAGGCTTTCATTGAGAAGATTGCGGCTCATGTCCTTGCTCACTCCAGCTTCGGAAGCCTTCTTGAGTTGTTCTTGGGCTTTGAAAATGATGACATCGTCAGCACTGCAGAAACTGCCACAGCGTCGTCGTAAAGCATCAGCGACAGTGTCGACGTTCGACCCATTTGCAATGTTTCGATTTACGATGGCCTTGACGAGAACCTTAGCAAGGTCTTTGCCTTGATCCGTGGCGAAGAGAAGCTCAAAGGTAAGGTCCCGGAGGCGTTGTTTGACAGGGTCCTCCAGGGTACCCCATATCTGGTCCACTCTCTCCTCGAATAGCATTTGGACGAAGGAAATCCCCTCGATGATACTGTGGTTTAGTTTTTGAAGCGAATACAGCGCTTGATGCTCGCCTTGAAGGGCGATTTGTTCCTGCTGACTGGCAACATGCTGAAGACTTTCGGGTCCAGCAAGACCTTCGATGAAAGAGCTGTTTTCTTCCAAAAATTGTTGAAGTCGCGTTAGATTGTCTTGGATGCTAGTTAGCTTCTCCCCCCTGATGGTTGATTTGATGGAAACGGCTCCATTTGGTGGGATATCCTCCCTGATCACTGAGGTTTTCCACAGCGAGCGAACAAGCCGGCCCATATACAATGCTAAACCTTCGTGTCGTGCCGAAGGTAGCACATTATCAGCAGCATTTGCAATACCCTCAGACACCACATTTTCGTTGAGCGATGGCCGTCCTCCAAATTCGACGAAGGCTTTCCGTGCAAGTTTTAAAGTTTCGGGGTCGCTAATTCTAGCGACTCGCAGATCCCCAGGAGTGACATCGTTTCCTTGTCCACAAGCAACTGCCAGAGCAGTGGCCGTAGTTTCGCCTCGGCCATATTTGCGAATAAACTTTTTCATCTCATTCTCCAGACCTTCATCGCCGCCGCCATTACGAATTGCAGCAGCAAAGATATCAACCAGGCGTCTGCGTCGGATCACGTGGATTCCAGTATTTGTTAATATCGCAATCTCCGTTGGTGTTTCGTCATATTGCATAGCAAGCTCATTTCCAAAGCCAAGAGGTTGATTCGAAGCAGCAAAAGATGGCGTTGACAATCCCACTGCCTCAACACGGCTGTTCAGAGATAGCCAACAGCCTTGCTCGTAATATTTGGAAGCTTGAGCTGAGAGAGCTCGTGCTTCTGTGGCTATTCTACCGGTATCGGGCGAAGAAATGAAGAGGGTATCACGGCCAACCTGTTCCGTCTTGGAAACAAAGCAGAGAAAGAACCCAGGTGGAAATCGGAAGCCTAGACGAGTGAAGGCCAAGGCGAGTGATGAGGTGTCGGTAGCCGGCTCAACACCTTGGTATGAAAGATTGCTTGGTCTTGGCTCCAACTGGGGAGGGAATTTAATGTGCTGAACCTGCATGCTTTGAGGTGCTCCCTGTCCGCTGAGATATCCGTATCCTCGGGTTGCGCTCAGAAATAACCGACACCCGGCTGTAGTGGTGGCCATGATATGAAGCTTGGAGCCCTCCCTGGCAGAAATAGGACTAATCGAGACGATCCTCAGTTGATTCGTAAGAAGAACAGACGTGGAGATCATGTGACTGATATCTCTCAAACACTCGAGTCGCCTTTTCTCGATCACTTGCTGAAGGGTTGTTGGCGAGTCCATGTGGAATGTGCGGATGGAGGATTCGGACGAAAGGGTGTATAGCAGCCGTCTGGAATCATCCACGACAATCTGGATGACATGCTCGTTGGTCTTGTTCCCCCATATTGTAGGCATAATCGATTGGTAGCCAGGACTTGTATGATTGACTTTCCCACACCGGCTTGCGAACCACTTCTCCTCCTGCTGGTACGTGAGCTCGTAGATATCATTGTCGGCCTCCCCAGCAAAAAATATGCGCCCAGTCTCAGGCGAGCCCTCGATGACCTGAACATTAATCCCCCGAATAGAAAGCGACATCTTAGTCTGGTACAAAGAGACTGTCCAAACGCCAGGGCCCTCGAGGTTTGCCGCAACTCCAAGCAAGATGATATCCGCTGTTGTCGCAACCACCAAAACATGTGTAATAGTCGAAACAAAAACGCCCTTCCTTGGCTTAACAAGCTTGACCGCTGTAATATTATGTATCTGCTCCTCAAATCCAATAATTTCAGGGTTGGGCGCCGTGTAGTCCCAGAGGTATAGTGCATTGTCAATGGAGACCCATGCATGGTTGAGGTCCGCAAATAGCCCCATCATCGTCGAAACCTCCGCATGATTATACTGCTCGAAAATGCGGTCTGGTATATCATACATTTTTGTTCTTTGAAATGGCGCCCAAGCTGCTTCACTAGCACCGTTGGGAAGGTCATAATCGGAAGAGATGCCCTCTGCGCCTCTATTAGCTTTGGCCGACTAAGTATTGGGGCTCTACTTACGTCTAACATAGCTATCGAGATCTGGGAAGCTGGCCTCCCTCTGTAATACCTCATTTATGGTCCTGGCAGCTCGTTGAATAGGCTGTAAAGATTGCGATTTCGATGGGGCAGGCGGCTGCAGGCCATCTTGGGGATTCGAAGCGGTCCGCTGCAAACTACCAGTAGTGAAGACCGGCTGCCGAGGGGGTGGGAATCTCGATGCCGCAGGTGTATTAAAGAATGCGCCTGGTAGAGGTCTTTGAGGCGTCTGCAGCACGGGATAAGACATTTCGACGAGAGCGCTGCGGCTGGTGGAGGTTTTGCTGCGTCGTTCCAGGCGCTACCAGTAATATTTTGGTCAGAATAAGGACATGAGGAGCTATTTGAGCACTATGGCGGTTGGACGAGTGCGCGACAGCGAAATTGGGCGACGGTAGTGGAGTTGAAGGTGAGGTAAATACTTGGAAGCTCTTGATCAACGCGTCTGCTTCGAGGCGCATCCAGAATCATTTCCCAGCCCCCTGCACGTGACGCAAGAATAACAACCAAAGGTATTGATACTTTGAGAAGATACGGTATAGGTATTGTTCATAATTTAAGTGAATTTTAGTAGAGGTGGAATCTTGAAACCCAGTTGCCACTTTTGTTTTTATTGTTTGTTCGCACCACTGCGAAAAGTGTTCTATTACTGCTCTTGCTGCTCTGCTGCTTCAAGAAATCTGGTTTTGTGAGAAAGCACCAAATTTTTGACATTTAGTACTTAGAGTCGTTATAAGTCTATATTATTATTAAATATTTGCTTCTCGGAGCATCTATGCTAGCACTGCAAATGGCAGTATGTATATGTATAGACGCGACCATAGCTAGCTTAGGTAGCTTCATCCATCATCCTTTACTAGTATACTACAGAGTCATCAGTAACGCCTCACCTCCTCCCAATGCCTCTTTGATCCTATCGTAAAGCCATTCGGTGTTTGGCCATCATAACCCCGTAGCCCCATAACCCTCTCAAACCTTTTTCGCCTCCCTTTCTGCCTTCTTCAGAGCTCTCTTCCTTATTTTCTCATGCTCCACCCTGTTGAACTGCAGCCCAAGCCCACTTCCAATACCAAGCGTGTTCTCCAACCACCACTGCATCAAACCATGGGTCCACCACGGGGAGCTCGTATACGCCATATTCTGCGCACCTCCACTTCGTCCAATTTTCCCCAACGTCGCCCGGACAAATTGCCTTGGGTTGGGAATCAGGGCGCTCGATCTGCGGATCTTGCTCATAGCAGTAGTAACCAGATAGCTCAGTGCCAGCTCAACATCCACACCACTGCCCTTCAACTCACCTCCCAGAGCCGTCGACCAATGTTGCAGGAATGCCTTACTGCCAGAATAGGTAGCAAGCAGCGGGATAGGAATCCAGCCACCGAAGGAGCCCATTGTGAGAATCAGGCCCTTCTTCCTCTTCACCATGCCAGGAGCGACAATCTGAGTGACTTTCAACGTAGCAAGGCAATTTATGCCAATGATGTCCCTGATTTCCTCCTTGGGTGTCTCTATGAATGGTATGGGGATACTGTGACTTAATCCAACATTGTTGATCAAGATGCCCACATCAAGGTCATTGACGAGCGCCTGCAAGGCCGCATAATCCTTCTCGTCGTCTTTGGCGAAATCCATTGCTAGCACTTTGACCTTGACTGCTGAGCCCGCATATTTGTGTTCGATTTCCTGGCGGAGCGTGTCGAGTTTTGATTGCGTGCGGGAGACGAGTAGAAGGTTGAAGCCCTTCTGCGCAAGCTGGATGGCATATTCCTTGCCAATTCCGTCCGAGGCGCCAGTAATGACAGCCCAGGTGCCCTTTTTGCCGTATGCTCGCAGCTGTAAGACTAGTTAGCAATGCAGAGGAATTCTGGCTGTTAGGGTACTGACGTTCTTTCCGCTGAGCACGAAAAGGCTTAGGAGAAGGCGGATGTAGCTGACTACTTTTCTGGAGACAGAGAGTAATCCAATGGCTGCGAAACCTAGTATAACCACCTTTACCAGCGGGGCATTGAAATCCATGCTGTTGAAATCCATGGTGTGAAAATGCGGTATTGTATTGTTGTCCAAAGTTGTTGACTCAAAATTGGTTGGGATGGGACCTTTTTACTAATTAGTTAGCTCATGCTTCGTTTCCAATCGCGTGAATCCGATAGGAGGCGATCTACATCAATACTCTTTACTCTCAAGTAAAATAATTATTTCAAATCCCCTCCAAAATTCGCCAGATCGATCAATTGTAACCCCAATTCATAAATATGGACTCAACTCTCTCCCTCCTAACCTCCTACCTTCCACAACACGAAGGACTCCTCCCAAAATGGCTTTTCTTCGTAAGATCCACGCCCCTATTGCTTAACCCCTACTAACAGCTCCAGGTCTCAGTCGTCTCGGTCGGAAACTCCATTCAAGCATACCTCACCACTGCCTACTCAGCACAAGTGTATCTCGGCCCTGTAAACTCCTTAAAGCCAGCCACCGCATACGATCCCGCTCCCAATAGCCCCGTCACCCCGCTGTCCTCGAGGACGTTCGGAACATGGACTTTGATTCAGTCATTGGTTAGGTTGTATGCCGCGTACTATATCGGTGTTGCGCCAGTCTACCAGATGGCTTTCTTGACATACCTTGTGGCGTGGGGCCATTTTATGAGCGAGTGGCAGGTGTTTGGGACGGCAAGGTTGGGCAAGGGATTGATTGGGCCGTTGGTCGTGAGTACATCTAGTTTGGTGTGGATGTTCTTGCAATATGGGTTCTACGTTCAATAATGGGGAAGATGATTGCGTTAAAGAGCGTAAAAAAAAAGGAACCCAGGCTACGGGGTGGGTGCTGAAGTTGGACGACTGGAAGACATGTAATTGCTAATTTCTATACCCGCTATGCAAAACTGTTTATATTCAGAGTAAAACAGAACAAGGATCACAAAAGCTTTCTATACAAAGTTCCTCCACAGGCTCTCAACTTCGCCGCCGCTTGCTCGGGCGTGATATCCCTCTGCGGTTCAGCCATCAACTCATAACCCACCAGAAACTTGCGCACCGTTGCACTCCTCAACAGCGGTGGGTAGAAATGCATATGGAAATGGGAGGCCTCAACTTCCTCTTCTGAGCCTTCAAGGGGTGCCTGGTGGATTCCGGAACCTATTTCCAATGTTTAGCTTCGAACCGAGGAAGGATTTGAGAACTTACTGTAAGGGAAGCTCGTCTCAAACAAATTGTCATATCTTCTTGTAACCTCCGCAATGGCCTCTGCGAAATCCAGCTTTTCCTGGTCATCCAAATCTACCAGCGCCCGCTTGTGCTTCTTGCTAAGAACCATGACTTCGAATGGCCAGGTTGCCCACCATGGACATACTACCAAGAAAGTAGAGTTTTGGAAAACAACCCGCTCTTCCTTCTCCTGCTCCAATTTTGCGTATTCTTCGAGCATGTGACAATCACTATGCTCTTTGCGATACTTCTTCAATTGCTCGAGCTCTTGCGCTGGTTCATCGGGAAGGCCTGTAGTGGTCCATACTTGGCCATGTGGATGCGGGTTCGAACAGCCCATTGCCGCACCTTTGTTCTCGAATATCTGCATCCATGTATACTGTGCGTTTGGGGCAGTGATTGTGAGACCTGTTGGAGCAAGCTTCGTAGGCTGGGCAACTGCTGCAAGTGGAGATTTCGGGGATAGATGGGTAGTGTAGATTTGGGTCCATGCTTGAATGACAGGCAGGATTTCGGAGGGAGTGAGGTCGGCGAGCGTGAGGTTATGGTTGGGGGAGAAGGTTAGGACATAGCATTTTCCCGTCACTGATTCTGCGCGCAGGAGAAGGCTAGAAAGGTCTGAAAGAAAGATTAGCGGCCGGATAGAGATTTGAGGACAGCACAACCTTTGGGGCTCTCTTCCTGCTTGTATTCGGCCTGCTCTTCTTTAACGGCGCTGTAATCATTGACAAACACAAACGTCTTGGTGTATTTGGGATTTGAATCACCCTGGGCGCGTTTGTTTCCGGGACATAGGTAGCACTTGGAGAATGATCAGGAGATGTTTCATTTCAATGGATTCTTGTCGCATACAGATGGATCGTACTCAGGAAGTGTAGACTTTAGCGCATCCTCTTGCTGACCTCTGCAATCCAACAATAATAAGTAGGTATATCTGTAGGGGAGAGGTTTGTAGAGCTTACTGCCATGGTCTTTTCGTACGATGCGGGGAGACGAGCAGCCAAGTACCCCGCAGTGGATTGTATCGGCGGTGCGAAATGTCGTCGAGAATCTTTTCTGGCATTGTATTGGAATGGATTCGAATGGACTGTAGTGTGCACTTTCTGGAGGGTAGTTGCAATAACTGGAAAATGGAGTCCTTTGTACTGTATGGAAGAATCTTCCGACGGGAATTAAGGCTTACTATACCAAGTAGAGCTTGTGATGCAGGAACTGTCCATCAGTCAGTACAACGCGGACGCGGGGTGGGCCCTACTTTTTTGCTCGGGTGAACAGGCACCGCCAACCGCCACGCCACGCCACTTTCACTCTTCACAACACCACATTCTTGGGTGCTCCTTTCATTTCAGTCTTATAAACACATTAAGTGTGCTAAGTACTTAAGTTGACAAGTTTAGTCAAAGATTCCCTTTTCTCACAGATGTTTTTGCTGCAACTACTATATTGTTCTGTATTGTACATAGCGTGTTGTTATTTTGCTCTTTCTGGTTCTGGAAATACTGTGCTATGTTACGAGGAATTTCCAGATTGGGTGTTGGTCCAGCCTCGCTTCCTCGAGTGTTTTCTATCACTTCATCTAATTAAGCCCTTGCTACCATTTTTTGCGTGTCGTGCATGGATTTTCACATTGTTTGATGTTCGAGTCAATCCAAATTGATAGCTTGTATGTGTTGTTTAAAATCCAAAGAATTTGAATCGGATAATTAGTATCATGCATTCACAATATGGCAGCGGTAAGGGAGAAAATGTTAGGTTGAAATCAATTTTTTATTTAATTACTCTAAGGAAGGACAAACTTACGAATACTCCAGGAATATCAAATCTGCCTCCCTATCTTTACAGATTTCTTCGCTTCAAAGGTTGGCCCCCCTGTATCCGTGCGTGGCGAATACGTTCGTTCACCACCAACTGCCCGCTCTTTTCAAGAGAGCGGTGGTAGCCAATGAGTCGCAGGTCCAAGGCTGAACCAACTTCCATAGTCTGGCACCACGGTCGAGCAGCGATCATGTGTGAAAGCGACCAGTCCGGCACCAATCGATTCAGACGGTAGAAGAACACCGCGTTCTTCGTTTGAGACCAGTTGTTCTTGACCAGCCGGAAGTGAACATCCACCTCCTTCAGCCCAGGGAAGCTTTGCACAGTTTTGGCAAGGCGCCAGATTACGTCGCTCTGTGCCTGTGCTAGGCCCTTGGACTCCTCCCAGTGTGCTCGGAAGATGATCAGGATGTGGAAATTTTTGGTGATTCCTCGGTACACTGACAAAGCCTCGAAGAAGTCGCTGGTGATCATTTCGTCAGGCGAGTTGCCCTTGAAGAGCTCGCTTCCCTTTGTGAAGTCGAGCTTGATTCTAAGCTCTTCTCCTTCGGGGAGGGAATTGTCAAAGCCGGGACCGAGCGCAAAATGCGTTGGCAGGCCGTTTTTGTTGGATGAGGACTTAGAGGCCTTGCCCTGGCGCTTGCCAAATGCTGGTCTCTCCACGATCTCTCCGATTTTCAGGTTGCCCATTTGGGATTGGACGTTTTGCATCTTGATGATGCGGGTGTCTTTTGCTTGAAGAAGTTGATCTTCTTGTGGAAGTCTGCGGTCTTGTTGCAGAGTTGAGATGAGCGTGTGTGGAAGATGTGTTATTTGTGTGGATGATTTAAAATTATTTACGTGAACATTGTGTTGCTCAAATACTTGAGGAGAGAAGTTTGTTATGGAGTAATTCCAAGCTGTTTGGTAAAAAAAGAATTTGAGCCAAAAATAACATCTCATCAATTATCCATGGATTAAAGGATCACTACAAGGGACTTAGAACAATTCTATCGTTTGTTTACCTTTGTCCCTTCCAAGGCCTTTCAGGTGCAAAACAGGGAGTAGCAAACTTTCTTTGTCAAGCTCTAGGCAACAGCTACATCTTAAGATCTAAACAAGCCCGTAATGGAAAAGCCGAGTTGTAGAAATAAGGAACTAGCATTATATAACATCTGAAGTAGGAATCAGATCAAAGGACGGCGGAAAAAACATATTTCGAGTACTTCTTTGGGATTTTCTGGGCCGAGACCGGGGCACAAGGTAATAGTTCTCAAGTGGGTCAGCATAAAGTTCAAACCCCTTTTCCTAGATACCACAAGTAACAGATTCAAAGATATCGTCTAAGGTAGTTATTGCGGTTGCTCTAGTACTGTAATTTTGAAATTGGACTGGCGAAGTTGATCATTACAATAACAGCGCGCGCACATCTTGAATTCTGAAAGGGTACTACCAAAGCAGAAAGAGTGTAAAAGACATAGAATGTAAAGAAACATAGTTGGGTTTGCAAATTGCCAGATGAACGGCGCCTGGAGCACGTGAGTACTTCACATAGCCACGACTGATCAGCAATAATGATAGCGTAGAAAAGTATAGTAGTAAATGCCGAACCATTTGATTGGCTGTATATTATCGTCTGTGGCTGGGTGTAGAACGGGGAAGGCTATGTAAGCGCCCAGGTCGAGGCTACAGTACGCCAGCGCACAAACGATTGAAGTGAAGAGAGCTCCTGAATTCCATCCATTTCTCAAACTAGACTTCAAGACTCAGAATGGACCCTATCTCAGTAATCGGCCTTGCTGGATCACTTGTGGGCATTAGCGATGTGATCGCGAAGAGTTTACGCCGCCTAATCGACCTCCAATCCCGATATCGAAGCGCCAGCCTTGTCGTCAGTCTTCTTATCGGGCAGCTGAGTACGCTCAAATCTGCTTTGAACCAAATCACAGACTTTGTTACTTCAAGCCTGACGAGCGTGCAAAGGCGTGAGCAACTTGTTGCGGATTTCGGGGTATCTTTGGAGAGCTGCAAGCTCTTGATTACGGTGCTAGAAGAGCGTCTTGACCAGCTGGAATACAACGACAATGGAAACTTGAATGCCAAGGGCAAGGTCGTTTTTTTGTGGGAGGAATCTGAACTGAATGCTTTCACGGCTCATCTCAACAATCAAGCCAACGCTCTTAACCTTCTCCTTACGGCTTTACACTGGTAAGCCATGACATCTTTCACCGCAGCACAATGCTAATGAGTTAGTCGGACAACTTTTGAGCGCAATGCGTTGCTCCAGGACGACGAAAGTCGCCGGATTATTAAGCGGGTGGAAGATAACAGAGCATCTCTGTTATCGCTGGGGGATTCATCGTCCAGCTATACCAGGCGCAGTAGAAGAACCGAGAATTCCAACCTCCTGGACACGGAATTCGGATTTGATAATGAAGTAATAACAACTGATGTGTACCGGGCTGCATTGAGGTCCAACTTGCAGAAAGCAGCTTCTAAGCGAGGTGATCTAGTGCTCCCCGGCACGACCGAAGGGGATAGCTCGACCCCTATGCCTACAGCTCGTCTTGACAATCTAGGGTCTGGATCCAGTCCTCTTCTCACAACCCCATTGCATGATGGTCTGGTGCTTGAGTCCCCACAAGAATTTCCTGCTTTAAGACGATGGTTTCAGACAGATGGCGCCATAACGCATACCACCGAATTTGATAGATTTAGTTCCCGATTGAGTCGAGTCGGCAGTCTGCTCAGACGCGGCGACAATGCTTCTGTATTCTCTTTCAAATCCCAAGCACAAAGCGAGGATGAAAAGCCGGACTGTCCATTGATCGCAACTTCCGAGCCATTGCCGAAACCAAAGACTGCTAGACGGCATCTGCGAACGATGGAAGCTCCGGAAGAGCTGAAGATTGAAAAGTGTGATGTCGCGGAGGAAGAATTGAAAGTGATACTCTTAGGATCCGGAAACAGCGGCAAATCGACGCTGTTTAAATCCATTGATGCCTTCAACCAGGGCGGCCTGAATCTGGAGGAGCGTTTGTGGTACAAGGAAGCTGTGTTCACGAACACGATCCAGAGTATGCGCGATATTATACAAGCTATGCGGGAGAAACTTGATTTGCCACTGAATGACAGCACAAATTATCGCCACGCACAAACGATACTATTCCCATCATCTAGCTTTGTTGGTAATTTCTTCTGTTCAGACGTGTGTCCAGCGATCGAGGCTTTATGGAAAGATGAGGGGGTGCAGCAAGCTTTTGAAAGGTCGAATAAATATATGCTGCAAGATTCGGCTGCATAGTGAGTGTTCCCTATGATGAAACTCCATTCAAGTTCTAAGGACTAAGGATGCAGCTTTTTCAACTCAGTTCGTCGTATCAGCGAAACTGATTACATTCCAACCGACGAAGACATCCGCAGGGCTCGAATCAGGAGTACTGGTATTTTCAGCACAATGGTGAAGTCTAACGGCATCACGTTTAGACTAATTGATACTGGTGGTGAGCGAAGCGAACGCAAAAAGTGGATCTCTCAATTTGAGCATATTAGCATCGCAGTCATTGTGGTTGATATCTCGGCTTACGATCTTGTCCTTTACGAAGAAACCTCCGTGAACCGTATGCAAGAAGACTTTACAATCTTTGAGAGTCTCTGCAACTCAAGATGGTTTGTGAAATCACATATCATCCTTCTCTTTACAAAGGTTGATATCCTTGAGCAAAAAAACACGAAAGTTCCTTTCAGGAGGTATTTTCCTGATTTCACTGGAAAGGAGAACAACTTACATGATGTCAAGGATTATATTGAGGTTCGGTTCGAGTCACTCAATAACCATCCCACGAAACCTGTTCAAACTATCTTCGCAAGTTTGGTCGACGAGTATGATGGTTTGGCCAACCTGGTTCTGGAAGCCATTGTTAGCCGGCTTTCACCGGGCTTGGATACTTCCCTTAAATGATTCATATAGTACACTGTGTATCCAAAGCGAGCAAAGAGTTTGTAGAAATGGAAATTCAAGTGACTTAAGTCGGAATGCCTGCGTAAAAAGACACTAGACTTGAAATAATAGATCGATGAACATCGTCGTAGCGAACTTGCATGGCTTGAACTGTGAATACAAATATATGTTGTGATTCGGAATAAGAATCGAGTTTCTGTCCCTAGACCTTCGGAATGAGAAATGTTACTTCCCACCCTTATGAGACTATAGTTTTGCCTTAGTTTACTCCGCTTTTTTCATCTTGATGGACGAGACAGTAGATGCTTGCGCAATGACATTATTGAGTCGAAGGTACATATCCACCCCCATGAAAGCGGCTAACATCAAATCAGCATGTTGTCCAAAAGGGTTGCAACAACTAAGGTGTGGAATGCACGAACAAATGGCGAGGTAAGGTCCGTACAGCTTGCATAACTCAACCTTCTCGGGCGACGGGACTGGCCAGAAAGCAAACTCAAACATGCACGTGACAGTAGTCAGGAAGACGACTGTTGAATAGGGCAGCAGAACCAGTGGGATCTTTGGGGAATCTAGTCATCGTCAGATATTGTACTGTCTCAGGTCTTGGTACGATACTAACTCCGATAAAGGCCACCTAAGGCCCAAAGCATGACTGGCGCTTGGAAGAAAAGCTCTGACCATATGAACAACTTGAAGAAGGGCGGAGTCTCAACGAAGAATCGATCGTTGTAGTTGTCGATGTAGTAGTTTTTCAGACTGAGCATGAAGCTGGGGACCATGGACGACGGGTAGATAGCTTGAAGGTCCATGACTATCACATGAGAATGGTCAGCGAAAGGCTGGAATCTCCAAAGGTCTTCCGGATACATCACAAATCATATATCCCCATCATGATTATGGGCGAATCAATTCTTGAACAATCGAGGCAACTTACGGAAAGCCATAGGTAGAGAGATACTGAAATGAATCAGGTATACGAGGTCTCGTTTGCGGGAGAAAATTGAGTCCCCCATGGTCACGAATTTGGTAGGGTAAACTCAGCAATACGGACGTTGAGAGACTAACATATGAATCGTGCTGTACCTAGTTAGTTGGCGGGACTTGCTGAGTATGTATGTTGCGAGACGTTGATCAGACTGTTGAGATGAAATGGAATCGCTACGCTACGCTACTACCTAGGCAACGTCGCTTAGAACAACGCTACTGTGTATATACATAGACCCATTCTTATGCATTCTTCAGGACTAGACTAGACTACACTATTCAAGATCAAATGTCATTCGCATAGATACTCTACTTCTTTACATCTTGCATTCCACAATGTTTTACAGCTCAAAGGTTGAGGTGTGCAAGATGATAATGAATTTGCGAAGATCCTCTTTGCCACGTGAAAGCTGAGTCTACGGCTCGCTCGTCTTTAGCTTCGACTCTTTCACTTTTCCTGTACCATGTACAGTATACAATCCTTCATAAAGAATCACCCCCCCACATAATTTTCAAGTCCGGCAATTCCCCCTCCCAATCCTTATCTTGATCCTTCTCCTCTTTCAAGGACTGGACCATTTGCTGCCGTAAAACCTCTAACTGCGATGGAATTTCATCATCCTCAAAATCATCCCAAAAATATAGCTGTTTCAGGCCCCCTAAATACTTCATATTTCTTGGAAAACTCATAGAGCCGTTCCCATCGTCATTGAACCCGAGTCTCTGAATCTTGCCCATTTCCTCTGCAGCAAATATATTCAAAATAGCTAACGGATCCTGTCCGTATCGCTGGGCCCAGCCGCCCACCAAACCAAAAAACAAAACGTCTGTCTCAAAATCAACCCAGGTTCTCTTCTCTCCAAAATGATCAAGCCACAATCTTTTCCTCCCAAAACCACCTCGATCCCATTTTCCCTCAATGCTCTTATCTAGAAGCTTTCCCGCAAATGCCAACTGATATCTTCTCTTGGCAACTTCCCTGCTCTCGCTACATGTGTACAGCGCCGAAGGTCCTCTCGGTAGCTTCGCATCACGCGGGTGTTTCCGCTGTGCATGACTGCGTTGACATTTGATAGTTGTGGAAAATGGAAGAATGGTATGAGTGAAGGATACTGAAGTCACGGTCCATGGTTCCGGCCTGCACGTAGTGCGACGAGGGTTCTTGACGACTTTGTGAGTGACATGAACATAGAGATTCAAGATCCTAGGACCTGGTAGCGCGAGATCCCATATAATGAGACGGATTTCTAGCGGGAGACGAGGGAAATATGCGAATCCAGGTTTCGGCTTGCGTCCAGTTTGCGGCTTGTAAGTTTTGTTCTTGGAGGACTGGCGAGGCTGGGCTCTGCGACGTCTGGGAAGAGCAGGTTCCAGATCGCTGGATATCATTGCGAGAGCATTCATATCAACCGATATCTATCTGGATGCTGTTTTATACAAGTCTTGGTTCGTATGTAGGATTATCGAGGGCTTGAGGGGTTTTCATAATATAGATGCGGGGGTTGTGGCTGGCAAATACATCATGCAGGTTCAGGGAATACTGACTCACCGAAAGCCTGATGTACGTATACAGTAGCATTCGGTCAGAAAGTCCGGTAGGTTTCTCCATACATACCTTTTTACGCCGTATAAAAGCTCATTTCGCCTACCCGGTACGGAGTACGTAAGACTGTATTCTTGTGAAACTATTTTCAAGATATCATATGCAACTTCATGCAATTCAACGCTGCAGGGGCTCGCTTCTGGCGAACCAAGCCAGACATGCCGAAAAATACATTTAAGATCTTACTTGTATGTAGCCTTGCAGAATGCAAACGAACATGAAAAGTGTTCTTGTAAAAAGCAGCCATATTCACTTAGAAGAAAGTGCCCTTTTAGTGAAATGCATCACATGTAAGCTCAAATCGGTGATACACGCTTTCGGTATCACATCCCGAAACACCTGCAGCACGTAAGCAGTCGCATCCTACCACCAGTACAAGACAGTCCTATCAAAAATACCAATATTTCTTCCTCGGACTTCCACCTGATCTTCCTAACTCCCATAAAGTCCAAAGTATCCGGTGCAACACAGCAACTCACACAGCCTCAAACTGTGCCCAAGGATCATGGCCCTGCCCACACCCCGCTCCCGACCCCGCATCGCCTGCTTCCACGGCGGCGGCTCCACGTCCAAAATCTACGAGTTCCAATGCGCGCGCCTAGAAGAACTGCTAAAGCCCGATTTTGAATTCGTATATTTCGAAGCCCCCTTTACACGCAGCGCCGGACCGGGCGTTCTCCCCGCGTTCGACGAAGAGAGCTTCGGGCCGTACAAGACCGTAAGGATAACTGGCTCTTTGATTTTAACCTACCCCCTTCTGTTATGTTTCGTCTTATGTATTCCAACTACTCCTTACATTTTCCCAAAAAGGGAACTTGCTCTCCTTCTGCTCTCAATAAATACACTCTTGAAGAGGAAATAACTAATTCCCCCGTGATCTAGTGGTTCAAGAGCGAGGATCCGGAGCTGCAGGATGGGAGTGGCTATGATGGTGCGAGGGATGGCGTGCAGAGGGTGTGGGAGATGATGCGGGGTGCTGGGGATGACGGCGAGTGGGTTGCTGCTATGGGGTTTAGTCAGGGGAGTAGGGTTGTGGGGGGACTTTTGCTGGATCAGCAGTTGAGGGGGAAGGCGGGGCGGAAGGAGGACGGGGATATTGAGCTGAAGTTTGGAGTGCTTTGCATGGGCGGTGGAGCTCCCATGATTTCAGTCATGTCACGTGGTTGGTCCCCCTTTCCTCTCCTCATGTGTGTGTGGGTATGTGGATCCGAGGTAAGCCTTTGATTGACTGACTTCGATAGATGCCTCTTCACATGGCGAGCTTGAGCTAGTGTCAATCCCGACGTTCCATCTCCACGGGCTCAAGGACGCGAATCTGTTTCCGGGGAGAAAGCAAATAGCTACGTACTATGATCCGCAGACGACGAAGCTGATGGAGATTGATTACCATCATGCTATGCCTTGGAATCATGACGATCTACATGGTTTTGCAAAGTTTCTCAGAGACGCGTATAGTGCTACTCAAAGCAAACCATGAGCGTTGATTATATTGGATATGTTCTACGGTTGCTCGTTTCGAGGAAGCTTCCTAGGATTAAGCGTGATTGGGAATGCGGCGGCTTTCGCATAAATTTGCAGTTGATAGACCTCTAGATTTGCAATGCTGCACTCGGGTTTAATCGAGGTCTAAATTACGAAATTACATTTAGATTTTCTCTCATACAAAAATACAAAGCCAGGTTCACAAGGAATTTCCCTTCTGTTTGGTGGTGAAAGTGCTCAAGTGTGAGATTGATACTTGTTACATCCTTTGGAAATGGTTGATTCCCTTCATCGGTCAATTATATGCGTTAAGGGGTGTGGTAAAAATATTTTATGGCATAAAACCCAGCGCTCAGAAAGATGATATGTCATTGTACTTAGACATAAAGGCATTTAGGAGCCTTCATAGTTTTTATAAAGAAAATCGATAGTTCTTTTATCGGGCTTGATAACCGACCCGTGTCTGCTTTGGATAATTATCTGTTTATTGCTACCGCCACTTTGCGGGAACTCAAACTTTTTCAAATCACAACCCCCACTCCAAGAACTACTCTCGTCAACATGGCCAAATAAAATTAATTAATTAAACGGGACGTAAAATAAAATCCAGAACTTCCACTACAAATACTCATGACCTAGCAAGCCATATGCTCTTCGTGGTCTCTTCAGGAGATGCAATATGACTGACTTTGTCCCGTTTTCTATTCACATTTGATAGTCATAGGTCACACCTGTCATATAATGGGATAGAAGCAATCTATATGAACTTGAGAACACCTTCTACAATAAACGTGGCAGGTGTAGCCAGCTTCAGAGAGCAACGCTCTACATGCCCTGTCACGGAACGGTCCGAATGTTTTCCCGTTAAAACGCACACTCGTTCTCTTAACCACAAGCATATTTTCTTTAAATTGTTACGTTGCCAATGATCACGAAGCTGTTTTTTATCAACCCTTCTTAATCGATTCAAAGAAGGAAAATAGATCTATTGATATGACCCACCCTAGGTATGGGTGGTATTCTTGAAGCAGTACGCGTTATACCAGACATTTTCTCTTTCTCGGGGAATGGAGGCCTCTTCAAGAGCACGTAATCAGTGACACTTATGCAAATGGCAGGCTGACATTTACTGGCAGTCCGTTTGAAAGAAAAAAGCAACCGCTTGAAGTCCAAGTCATGATTTCTAAAGCATTTTCAAGTCGTTACAGTAAGTAGTTCCAAACAAAATACAATTCAAGTGTATGCGACTGGAAGCTTACTCCACTTAGAGTCTGGTATATATATTCTGAAAGGGGGTCTGCTCAATGAAGTAACAAATGATAACTTGTCAGCGCTATGAAGACCAAACTTGGAACGTCCAATGGAGGGGTATAAAGTTTCATGTGACCAAGGGCTGGAGGTCATTCATGCTTACCTCTTCGATGGTTGAGTTGATGAGAGCCTCACTTCACTTCACTTCAATGCTTGCCTCATTGAAAGTTCTTTGGTTGGCGATTCTGTTACCACCGTGTCGGTGTCGGTGGTTGCTATTTCTATTGTCGGTTCGGATAATCCTTTTACCTAATCCCGGCCCCACTCTGTACTACGGTCAAAAAAAGAGGGTCTGTCTGCCTTAGTCTTAGCGCCAAGTACTGTACGTCTGGCAAAAAAAAAGGTTAATCCTACACCGCTGCTCCTTTGAGACATCCCACTGCACTGCACTGCACTCCTTGGATGAGTTGAATATCTCTCGGATCTATCTCCACGTACACTTACCCACTGCTATTCACATTCACACAATACAGATCAACCTTCTTCATATTTGCATTGCGCCAAACTATCTCTGCTTGCCGGCCGCTGACTCTGCATTTCTCTTTCGCCCTTACTTGAAGTTACTTCTTCGAATCACTTGTCCTGTACAGTACCGTAGGGCTGCTCCCGGCTTGACGTTCAATCAAGCTATCGACATCGACATTGCGGGGGCGCGCGCACGCGTCCGACTTCAGAGACTTCAGAGACTGCAAAGATTTGCAAAGATGGGTCGTCGACCAAATCGTAAGCCCCCTTTCCGCATTCTCCCTTCTCTCCTACCTTCTCTCCTGCCTTCTCTCCCCTCCCCTCCCATCCCCGGGCCTTGCGATCATTTTGCATGCTCCAAGTACAACATCTCCTGTCTGTCCTACTACCAGCACAAGGAATCTTCCCTCCTCAGTTATACATATCAATTGCCTTGTCATTCACTTTGTTCCTCGAGGGCGGCGACGCGCTTCTCCATCTACCTATATCGTGCAGGCAATTTGCCTACTCTAGCATGAGCACGAGCAGGAGTATAACACACGTCAAGGCATATTGAGTGTCCATTCAGCTTTACTGGGGCACCTTCTCTCTACCTGAAATTGAATTTTCCCCTGAAGGACATGTCCTATCCAGAACCATAGCTTTCACTCTTTCTCTTTACCAATCTGGCGTTCCAGGGTAATTGCTGACTTAGCTCTCTGTGCAGCTATTATTGTAAAGAACTTCAACCGCGGTAGCAAGCTGACAGACCACTCCAACCGCTATGCACACACATGCAAGCACTGCGGAAGCAATTTCCCCAAGGGACGCGTTGACAACCTGATTACACATGCCGTTAAGTTTTGCCCTTCGATCAATCCCCAGGCACGTGTCGAGGCTCTTGGGGACTATGCCCAACAGGCCGGGACCAATGATGCTGTCAATAGCCATGCCACTTTCGCCCCAACCATGAGCGCAGTGGCCGGCCAGCAACAGCAGATTCCTGGCCACGGTCTGGACGCCCTCGCCTATGCGGCTCTGAACGATGGCCAGGCTAATGGCCAACCCCAGGTCCAAGCCCAAACTCATTACGCCCTTGATCACGCCATGATGGTTGGGGGCAACGGCGACGACTACAGAGGGCAAGACCAAGATCAAGATGAGCAGGTCGAAGTCGAGGTTTCAGCTGCAAAGCGGCCGAAGTTAAAGATGGCGACGGCATATACCATGACCACTCCGCCACCCCGGTTGGATATTCCCCGTGGCAGGGGTCGTCGAGGTCCTGGCAGCCGTGGCGGTCGTAGAAGTCGAGCTCTCGCTCGTAAGCGCCTCTTTTGCCCTTTTCTACTTTGCTATATTTTACATCCACATTCGCATTAATATTTACACATTCACATGCTAACCTGCGCTGCCCTTACAGGTTCCCACGGCCAGCCTCCCTCCCCCTTTGATGGCAGTGGCTCATACACCGAGTCTCAACAACCATCTTATGCTGCCAGTGGCCATATTTTTGACTTGCAGCCCGAATTTTCACTATCACAGTCACACTCCTATCCCAGTGACTCTCATCGTCGAGAATCCTATCCCGACCCAGACCAAGAGAAATACGACCCGCCATCGCCAAATATAGATCCGTCTCTGCAGCAATTGGAGCCGAGTATTGAGAATGCGGCATTCGGTGTTCCTTCAGATGGCTATTATGAGCAAGATCAAGCCCAGGATCACTTCGGTGGTCGCGAGGGCGGACTTGAACTCCCGGACAGCAACTTCAGTCAAATTGCTACACTCCGATCACCCGACCGTGAACACTCATATCACGTGCCCGACCACACAAACGCCCCCATGACAGGTTATGTGGGGGAGGAACTTAATGCAGACGACCATTATGTCTTTGGGCCGCGGCCACAGCGAGCTCCTGCGTATCAGCCCCATGAACCTGCTCCCTTCGAGCAGCCTTTTGCCAACTCCGGCCCTGCCTCCTTCGCCCCTCGACAATCCATTTCTGCAGCGCCGTCTCATTTTGGAGCAGATGTCGACAGCGCAGAGCGTGAGAATGGCAAGCGTAACCACAAGCAGCGACTTCGTGGTAAATTTAATGACACCCGGAAGAGAGAGGTCCAGGCCGTCAGAAAGCTCGGCGCCTGTCTTCGTTGCCGCATGCTCAAGAAGCCCTGTTCTCAAGGAGATCCATGTGAGGCTTGCGAGAAGATCGAGGACCCGAGACTTTGGCATTTTGAGTGCACACGAACCCGCTTGGAGACTGCGTTCAACCATTTCAGTAGCGGCATTCATAGTACTTCTGCTTACGCCAACGAAATCACTCCGCTGCGAAATGAATCGCCCTTCGACTCCGCCAAGACCATCATTGACGCCACTCAAGCCATCGATCTCCCTATATTCCTTTCCATACAATCCAATCACGGCTGGCCATTGCCCCGTGGCGAGCGTGAGGATCTGAATCTCGGTAGTCTCCTCCCCAGCATCGAAAGCAATGTTGAAGCAAGTCACTTTGTATCGCTTGCCGGTAATTCTCATATCGTAGATCTTGCAGATGGAACTGCGCTTGCTGCTGGTGTCATCTCTGATGTTGCTGCCGCACATGCTGTTAACCATGGTGCATTCCCTATCTCTCTTGTCAGCAGCAAGGCTCAGGAGGAGATTTTTGTTCTGAACCATGAGAGCAATGATATCCCAATAATGATCCGCGTTTACGTACAGGAGATGCTTCCGCACTTTGTCGCTAATGAGCCTTCTGACTTTATGCGCGTAGTCCTTGATATTGCGCAAACAAAGGCCGCACAGTTCGACCATGACCACCCTGAATTCGAGTCTGCTGCGACTCCCAAGAAAGGCCACCCCGATGACAAATATAACATCGTCAAGTTGTCGCTTGAGATGTGGGCCGTGGTTAAAGTCCTCCTGGAGACCGACCTAACATGGTCCCTTTCAAAGCGTACTGCCGATGAAGAGATCGGCTCTGGTCGTATCATCTTGCCTCATGAAGAATCTTACCACTTAATCGTTTTACAGCTCAAGGCTGCTGCCGAGACGAAGGCAGCAGATCTAGTCAAGCAGGTTGTCGGCATTGTCGAGCGTCAGCTTCTTAAGGCCACGAGCAAGACGCATTTTGACTTGTTTATTGTTGGCTTGCTTATCTTAAACACATTGGAGAAGGCGACTTGGCTCTTTGAGAAGTTTAATCGACCTACGTATGTCGTTGCTTTCCCTCTGCAAGGAGATGACGAGGGTCCAAATGCGTTCCTTGATGCCCGCCTTTCAATTGTCAAGCTGATGAACATCCTGCTGCGCATGCGCGGTGTCCCACCTCCGACCTACGAGGACAGCGATGGCATTCTGACCACCCGCCATGATGACGAGAGTCGCGCTTTCTACGACCGCATTCATCTATCTCGTAAGTTACAACAGTAACCCAATCTCTGGCAGTTTAAGCTAACATATCCATAGATGCGTACGTCTTGAAACGTTTCCAAATGGACCTTTTGAACGAGTTTGTCATGGATAATTCTCGGTCATACGAGCTCAATCTCTGCTCTTGGCTTCTACTTCCAGCCGAAGACCTCCCCAAGGAAGCCGTTCCGAAGAAGATCGCCGCGACCAAGAAGGAGTCAAAGCCTAGAAAGCACAGCTACTAAGCACCTTCATCCTTCCACTCACCACACATACTTTTCACGAATGTTCACGAAGATATAACGGGTCACGACTCACGATTTACGAATATTCAGGGAAGGCAAGCCGTCTAGGAAAACTGCAAGTTGTTTGATTACCGGCCTTCATTTACTTTTGTACTTTACCATATGGACGCACAGTCAGGCGGCATCGCTGGTTCGATCTTGCGCAGAACTGGCAATGTTCATACACTCCGAACCCCCCGTTTGGCAAGTACGAGCTGTTTTTCACGCCACAGTATGCGCTTCGTCTGCCTTTGACGCTCCCGTACTTTTCTTTTTAATGTCTAGAGCATATGCCGATGCTGATACCCTGTACAATTACAATCATAATGGAAACCATTAAGAAACATAATTCCTACGGAAACAAGCCTAATTTGTGCCATCCGTAAGGCCTAGCGTGCTTCATGTAACCATTAATAACATGCCTCTAAACCAAGGCTCGAATGAAACCTAGTCGTCTATGCCGACAATCAGACACTTTCATGGCGGAAAGCAAACCTGCCAGAGCTTCCGTTTCTGACGCATACCTATGGAATCCGAGATGATTTTTGACAAAGAAATATTCTACATCTTGTCAACTTTATTTATATGCATACACATCTCTATCATATCCCGTGGGCAGTACCATCGCCCGAATTACATGACGAAATAGACTGTATTCACTAGGATGAACCAAATATCCGGCACCGGTCCAAGATGACCACCCATTTTATCAGTGTAAACATCAGCTTGCATCCGTCCATCCAGACTCCATCCTATACCAGCCATCACATGTCCTCCAAGTCATTCCATTCGCTAAACGCTCTCTCATCTGCAACCATTTCCATTCCATTCCATCATTTCTCTATACCACACACCCAGGGAAACCACCAACCTCCTTCGCTATGCCATGCAATCAAACGCAAAAAACCTCAAGCAATCATATCCGAAAGGGTATCTTAGGCATTGAAATGAAATCTCTCAGCTTCTAGCCGACCCAGCCCGTCTCGAGGCGCAACATATCTTCGTCGATAGATGTTGGTGAAGTCTTGAAGAAGAATGCGGACCTTCCTATGTCCGTCCTCTCCAAGCGCTAGTCGCTCCCTTATGCCCGCCATGAGCTTGTCGATCTCGGCTTCGCGAACAGTGCCAGACGGCAGCATTCGCACAGTTTTGTCAACCCAGGTGGCAGTTTGCTGTGGTAGAAGTTGGAACAAGCCCAATAACGCACCACTACCATCGGTGAAACAATCACTGGGAAATGTGATCATCATGCCAGCCATAATTTGCTTCACCAAGAATTCCCCATTCGAGATGATAAGCTCCTGTACGGCTTGCTTTATTTCTGGGGGATTTGGGCTGTTGGTGGAGCTTGGAGGATTGTCACCACCATATCCAATGACATCGCGGAGGTAATGTAAAGTGGCGATGAGTGGATCGCGTTGCTCTAAAGCGAGTGCGGAGATGCCTGCCTGGAATATCGGAGTAAATAGTGGTGAGCGGATTAGCTTGTAGGGGTAGTAGAGTAGAGCATCAGTGAGAAGTCGATAGAAATCCTCAATGACATCTGGGAGATCAGTAGGAGGTAGATCGCTCATCATTTGTAGCATATTTGTTGCTTGAGCCTCGAAAAAGGCGTAGATGGCCTCGGTCGTCTGCTCATCCACGTGCTCTCGATCCTCGGAGAACTCGCGCAAGATGGCGGCAGTGACCCAGAGGAAGCAGCCTTGCTTTGAGGCAGCAAATCCACTGGCAAGTTTATTGGCCATCTGGGGAAGTAAGGGCGCCATTGCTGTGCGGTATGATATTATCATAAATCGCCAGCAGCGGCAGATCCGTTCACAAATCGGTGTGAAGCCAACGAAACTGTCCAGGATTGTGGACAAGATGGGGAAAATTTCATTGCAGTACTTGACAGCGGGATTTTCTTGTCCAGGTTCAACATAAGGTGTGACAATTTGAATGAACCATGTGATCAACCCGACGAGATCTATTGTTGTCAGTAAAGCGCATCATCAAGGAGGGTATTTACAAACCTGCAACTGCTAATTTTCCGTCCTCATCAGAAGCCGCATTAGCTCTTACCATCAATCTAGCCATCAATGGATCACAGTAGAGCTTCATGAGCTCGAAAGTCTGCGAAGGTGGCTGAACAGCAACGACTGAGGCAACACCTTCGGTCAACTCTTCTTGACTTATGCCAGGTAATTTGTCAAGCGTCTGGTCGTAGAATTGCTGGAGCTGTACTACTTGACTACCTAGAAGGTGCTTGCAGTCTGTACAGAAGAATTTCATCGACATGGCGGCAGCTCGCACAATCTCCTTGGAATCGGTTCCAAAAGATGACACGATATATTGAAACTGAGATTCTAGATATTCCGGATGATTTGCAGTCCATTCAGTGTAACGTCCAAGGACCATAATAGTGGCAAATCGCAGCTTCTCATGGTGGGGAATTTGGACAATCAAAGGCATGATCTGTGGCAAAATGATGTCCTCTTCTTTGTCAACCATTCTTCCCATAGCACGCATGCTAAAGAGAGGGGCTTCGAGTTGCTGCCAGTGTGGAACTGAAGTTGCAGTAGCTTGGCTTGCATAGGAAGCCATCCATGCCTTGATACGTTCCAGTACTTTAGAAAGGCATTCAGTGACCCCCATAATCTCGCAGCAGTCTTTGAGGGCATCGCCCATGTGATGTCTGAACTCGCGGAATTTTTCCTCTGCTTCTCGGTCTCCATCAAACAAGTCCGTCTCGTTCGATCCAGCTGCAGATGGGAATTCAAGTTGCTTCAGTAAGATATCCACAAGCTTGGCATAGATGTCCACGTATTGGACTCGGGCTTCAATGTATCTCTCAAGGATGAGGTAGAGCTTCAACTCATACCAGAATAGGAAAGTCAAACCAATAGCATCTCGGTCCATGTCTAAAGCCGCACATTCCAATACTGCTGATACTAGAGGTCGGAAAACCGCAGGCTCACGAGCAATCAAGACCACCCATGATTCTCCCGCTTCGGCAAAGATTCGAGTTATACCTTTGAAAAGTTCTGTATCTTCCTGCTCTGCTGCTTGGCGAATCCGAGGCTGGAGTGCAATAACTCGAGGCAAGAGGATCTGGATTGTTGGGAGATACTCATCCACATCCCGTGTCTCCCTGAAAATGGCACAGAGACAATCTGTAGCAGTATCGAAGGACCTTTCGGAATCTAAAGCGCTGAGCACAACGTCCAGGAGGGGCGAATTTACAACGTCGGCAACAGGCACTTCGCGAAGCCAGGATGTGACGACCTCAAGAAGCTGAGGGTTGGTCGCGGCGGTGGCTAATGAGGAGTTTCAGCTAAGTATCATGAAGAGTGGGCGCGGTACAACCATACCTGATGATTGAGCATAACTGATCAAAAGTTGTACTACTATACGAGCATTGTCGCCTAATAGCTCCTGCGTTCTCTGGTGCAACTCATCTTCCTAGTATCACGCATTAGATTCTGATATAGATTATTTCTCGCCGACCACACGTCGTCGTTAATTCTCTCGGGATGGTGTCTATCGGCCCACATACAGTCAAATTGATTTTTCGTCCTTCGGTAACTTCTTCGGGAAGAACTTTAAGGAAGTCCAGGATACAGGCGTAGCTTTCGGCATTGTTGCCCAGTGTTGAAACCACCAACGGCACCACATCCTTCCACCCCGTCATCTGGATCGCCAGAATAGCCAGACAAACACAAAGTTGAATTCGAATCGGTCGGGGCCCAGTCGCGAAGGCTTTCAACAGCTCTAGGAGCTGGTCTCGTAGGGATGGAAGAGCATCCGGGGGTATCTGGTTAACATCGTAGGTAATCTAACGAGTCAGTACTTGAACTCCAAGCAGCTCTCGAGTACGTACCTTTCCCCTCAACGTTGTAGCAGCAAACAGTTGTGCCTCTGGTTCAGCCCCAGACTGTAGGATCCCAATCGTAACCTGCCATGCCTCGGTCTGTAGAATGAATGAGCCTCGTCAACAAGTTTGCTAGGTGGGTCGAGATTGACGTACCGACTTCTGGAAGCTCTCTAGGTACTGGTGAGCCGCTTTCTTCTGTTCCCTTTGGCCATCTCGCATAGTGGCCATTGCCGTCAGGACAGGCGCATGGGCGGCCATAGTCACCATTTTTGAGGATGGAGGGGCAGGCGACGGAAAGGAAAATATGCGGTTTAGACGTGCAGGGAAGTCATGTAACAGCTGCGACTGTGCTGTTTAGTTCTGACCAGGTTCCGTATAGTATTAAGTCGAAGAAAGAAGGCAGCGCCGAGTACTAAAATTGGGAGAAGAGGGTGCCTGTTACTGTATCAGGAGCAAGACCGTATCATAAGAAGGCAGTGGCCCACCACCACCAAATAAATCACTAGCGCGCAAACCAGCAGCCTTGTCGTAGAAGCCGCACCCAACCCTCCCCTCCTAGACACCAACGCACCCTAAAATTGCAACCACGACCTCGAGCGCAAATACTAAAGCACCTCTACCAGCTTCAGCATTCCCGAATTATCACCAACTCACGCGACTTCAACATGAATCGAGGCGGCGGAGGTGGTGGGCGCAAGGTCCTTCTCCCACCCATCAACTTTATCTTCAAGCTCCTGCAGCAGCACTCTACTGTCCAGATCTGGCTATACGAGCAGTTGGCGATCCGAATCGAGGGCAAGATTAGGGTCAGTGGTCTAGAATGTAAAATAGTGGTCTTTTGCTAACGAGAGCGCCTAGGGGTTTGACGAATTTATGAACCTGGTCATTGACGATGCTGTGGAGGTCAAGCAAGCAACGAAGACGACTGAGGAGAGCAGGAGACAATTGGGTATGGAATCAAGGCTTATGCTGCAAAATAGTTAGAACGCTAACTTATACTCTAGGCCAAATACTGTTGAAGGGGGACAATGTTTCGTTAATTCAGAGTCTGAATGGATAGAGGATATACAAAAGGCGTTTTGAATTCATTTGGTTTTCTACAATGGCCAAAAGCATCATGGGATTTGAGCCGGTTGTCTGGAGGAGTTTGATATGTCATTCGGTTCAGCTATGAGAATTACTGGCTTCATGCAGCGCCTTGCACGAGTCTTCCATCTCCCACCAACAACCCGTGCAGAAGATGGTCGTGCTCTCCAATAGGCACAGGCGGATCAGTCTCGGCCTGCATAAGTTGCTCATGAAGAGCTAGACCATACAACAATACATCTGCTCCTGGACTCTCTGGTGGTTCCTTTGTCTGTGACCCTCGACCTTGCATGTATCTATGCAGGAAATAGTCATAGAACCCCTTTCCGTGACCAAGACGTCTCACATATCCACTTTCCGGGTCCGTATCAAAGGCCACTCCTGGCATCAGGATCATGTCTAGCTGCCGGGTCTCTTTCTTCGTTGAGTTCCCAAGTATATGCTCTCGTTCTCGGATATTTTCTGCGTCAATGGTAGGTATTCCCCAGCCGTCTCGCGTCAGGGAATCATAATCCGAAAGCGAACGAAGGTCTACCATCTCCATCACTGAGCGTGGGGTGTTAGGCGATGGAGTCTGAGACTTGTGAAGGTAGGGTACGAAGACTTGTTTTCCGGATTCAAGAGCATGGCGAACAATGGCATCTGTCTGAATCTCTCCAGTGGGCATTGACAAGTAGACCCCAATGTGTTTTGCATTTTGATATACTTTAAAGCTTGTGATCCTTTCGAAAACCGCTGTGCCTAGGACATGTTTAATGATATAATAAAATCAATGGGGTAAGAACTTACTCTGGACATTAATAGATTCCTGGCTGATTGTGGAGAGTTTCTGCTTCATGGCAGAACGCAATTCCTTCTTTGCTAACTTTATTGCAGCTGAAGATGCCATATTTCCTGCGCTCTTCAGGTTCCGCATACTCTCCTGGTGCTCTCCCCCTTCACCACCCATATCAGACTAGATTTCAAAATTATTGTCACGAGATGTTAGTGGGGTCGTGATTTTCAAGTGTAACTCGTACTCGTACTCGTACTAGTGGCGCAGCCCCTGTCCCGTTTACGACCCTCTAAAAGCTTGGCGCATACAGTAATAATCCAACTTCGATTTGTACTTCACCCTTCGTACCTCCCTAACGACAATTTACTTCACTCGCTCGCTCACCTCCATCATCACCACTACAACCAACAATGGCCTCACTCTCTTTACCGTCACTACTCTTCGCGGGCGCATGCCTTGTTTCCTCTGCTACCGCAGCAATCGATAGTCAGCTGGTTGGGACGTGGTCGACGAAGTCGGGAAAGGTCATAACGGGTCCGGTACGTGCCTATTCTTGGAACAGGACAAGGCGAGGGCGAGAATGCTCTCGCGACAACGAAGCATGACGCTGATTGCAGACTTTTGGATATAGGGCTTCTATAATCCCGTAAACGACAGTTTTATCGAGCCCAGTCACACTGGCATTTCATACTCCTTCACGGCCGATGGATTCTATGAGGAGGCGTATTACAGGGCCGTTTCAAACCGTACGTCGAACACGAGCAACAATTTGCTGGCAAGGGAAAACAAATACTAATGATGCTTCTGTAGCTGCGGACCCATCATGCGTCCAAGGAATCATGCAATTTCAACACGGCACCGTGACAATGAATACTGACCTCTCACTATCCTTTGAACCAATTAAGGTGGACGGACGACAACTTTCATCTGACCCTTGCACGTCAAAGAACGGACAATATGCTCGCTACAACCAGACTGAGACGATGGCGGTAAGCATCTCCTGGGTAATTTACGATATCAGGATTGCTGATTTGGACGATGTAGAAATGGCAAGTCTACATAGACCCCTACACGAAAATGACACGCCTCGACCTCTACGCATTCGACGGCAAGAAGATGAATCCCATGTTCTTAGCCTACAGCCCTCCCGTCATGCTTCCTACACAAACTATGAACCCCACGCCGACGGCAAGCGCCAGTACCACTGGAAGCTCGAAGAAGAGAGACTTGGGGGGCTCAGACAACGAGCAGATGCCTATGCCAATGAACAAGGACTCGCATATCCACGCCACTCCAGCGCCCTTGCCTCTTATGCATCGAGTAGACCTTAACGTGGTCTGGTGGACGGGAGTAGCGATGATTGTTTTTGGCGGGACTGCGTACTTCTTATAGATAGCGAGCATGGGGTAATATGGTAGAGAATCTGTATATTGGAGGAAGACAAATAACTTAAATGTCAAGGCGTATAACCGGAGACGGCGGCGTTGGGGTTCAAGGACGTAATTTTGATTACTTCCGTAATGAGTACAATCCAAGAGGCTGGATTTCATGTAGACGAATAGGCGTTAATCGGAAGCTCAATTGTCTCAGTAAATCCTCGGGGTATTATAAGCACGTCTGTCTATGCAAAACATTGGTCCCATTTTCCACCTTGCCGTGCAAAGCTCAAACTATCTACGAACGCACTCAATTTACATCTCCCCAGATTATCCCCGCCGCAGGCTTCCAATGGCAAGACCTGATCATTCACAATGACGCGGACGAACTCCTCCTTAGCCCCCACACAACTCATCTTCTCAAAGTATGCCCGAGCAGCAAACGGCACCGACCAAGCTGCCGAATACCCCTTTGTGTGCTCCGTATCCTGCAGCGTCGTGTTCGACAACGGCATAGTAGCATTATACAGGCCCAGCGCAGCGAAGATAGCAGTCATATCGTTATCATGACTGAAATCTGCATACAGACTTGTCGTGCCACCGATGGGAAAGGTTTTCGGCGACGAATCCAGCGTGGAGTTAGTGCTGGTGTGGTCAGAGACAGGAGTGGCTGTCAGCCGAGCAATAAGCTCGTTGGTAAAGCCTACGCCTTGTGTGGGACCAAGAGGGTTGCCCCAGCCGTAGCCGTAGTACTTTCCTAGGGTTTGGTAGTAATCGTATGAATGCCATTCTGAGAGGGTAAAGAGGGAGCAGAAGGGTGAGATGTGACCCAGGGGGTTGGCTACGGTGTTGAAGGGGCAGAGATCCATGAGGTAGATTGTATCTGTATTGGTGAGGTTTACACCTGGGAGGTTCCTGTTTAGCCTTGCGGTAATGGAAGGGGTGAAGATGCCGAGCCATGTCTGTTGGGCGCTGTCCCCAATGTTGGAATCAAAACCATCTTCGAAGGAAGTGCAGAGGCCATGATCGAGGGTGTTGTTTGAACCTGCAACTTCACTAATGACGACAATTTTGTAAGGATACCCATCGTTCGACTCGGAAAGATCATCAATACGGGCATCGTGAAAGCCCTGGGTCCAGTTTTGGGCTGATTCTATTACTCTGTCCTGCCCTGAAGAACGGATGAAGGGTGTGGTGTTTTGAGCCAAAGATTTGTATCTGCAGTAGTACTTCTCGCCAGAGTTGATCATCTGCTGTTGGCCAAAGACAGATAGCTGGTCAGCTCCCAAAGTGTAAGTGTAGTCTTTGATGAAAGTATAACCTTTGCCATACGACTTTGCATGGGCGTGAATATTCGCTATTGTCTCACTGTATTTGGTGGATTTCGAACTTGTTGGATCTCGGGCACCATGGCGAGAAAGGATCTGTGCGAACGTAACTTGGCACTGGTCTGGTACTTCCGTAGCAATCTCTGATTCCACAGCAAAATAAGGAGAGTACTGGCCCCAATAGTGTGACAACTCAGGCTGGCATTGATAGCCCTCTGAGACAGAATCACATGATTGTGTTGGGTGACTCCAACCCCTATGTTCGAAATTAGCTTTTATATTCTACCCCGAGCCACCACCACCTACACACCAGGAAAGACATACGCAACAGCACGACGTAGGAACAGCAGGATAGCAATAACCCCCAGACTCATAATGACCAGTCTTCCGCGATTTCGGCGATTCTGGCTCTGAAACTTCCTCGGATGGCCCTCTAGAATTCTCAGAGTTTCCTCGTTGACGTGTAGTGTAGATCGAGTCTCGCGATAGTTCTCAGCATGCTCGGTAGATAGAATAGCCTCATACTTATAGGCCATGAGGCCTTGCTGGTGGCGCCCGGTCGGGTCTGTTTCCACCATTGCCGACTTCATCCTTGGTTCTTTGCTGCTCTTGACTCTTGGAATCATTCTAGTCGGTGCTCATAATTCAGGGGGGAGAGAGATTATGGGTGGGCAAATACCTTGCTTCATTGGCTCAAGAAGAAGAAAATGGAGGTGTCAATCCGGACATTGCTCGAGAAAGGCAGGCGATACGATCGATCGGTTACTATAGGGTTTTTGATGAATTGTTATCGAGTGCCTTGCCCACGTGTACGAAGACACTTGTTTGTGCTACCAATTTAGGTACCACACGTGACTTCAACTTGCATATATGAAGGTATTGCCGCTTTAGAAGGACGAGGTGGCATAAGTCTATCTGCTTACAATTGTATTCCATTACCTCGGTGTTATATATTCTCTCACTACCTTTTCCAGAATATCTCACGTAATGTGAAATATTTGAAGCATAAACCAGCGTCATCTCAGAATGCTCCAGATAGCTTGTACTGATATGGCAACAAATTTTCGATAGATTTGACTACAGTCTACGAAGATGTATATATAGACCGTAAATCTCAGAAACAGGCTATGCAATTTACTTAATGATACAGTCTAGAGCTCACCCCGTCAAGGCAATATCTACAAACGCTTGATAATTGCACCAGCATACTCGTGTGTCTTCGACTTTCCACCTAGATCTCCGGTCAACGTCTTTCCTTCTGCCAGGGTATCGAAGATAGCAGTCTCTATCCTTTGTGCGTGGTCGAACAAACCCATATGTCTCAACATCATTATGGAGCTAAGAAGAAGAGCGGTAGGGTTGGCAAGAGCCTTGCCGGCAATATCTGGTGCGGATCCGTGGACGGCTTCAAAGATGGAGCATTCATCTCCAATGTTTCCAGATGGTGTAAGACCAAGACCACCAATCAAACCAGCGCACATATCGGACAGAATATCACCATAAAGATTGGGCATGACCAGAACTTTATCGTTGTAAGGTGTGGGGTCTGTGACAATTTTCAAACAGGTGTTATCAAGGAGCTCGGCGTCGAATTCGATGTTTGGGTAGTCTTTAGCAACTCTGTTTGCGGTACCCAAGAAAAGACCATCGCTCATCTTCATGATGGTAGCTTTGTGAACCACACGGACCTTTAGTCTTTCAACATCCTGGGCATACTGGAATGCGAATCGAAGAACTCGCTCGGAAGCCTCTCGGGTGATGAGCTTTATGCTTTGCACAACGCCATCTACGACAATGTGCTCGATACCTGAGTATTCTCCCTCGGTGTTCTCTCGAATCAGGACGGTGTCCACGTTATCGTATGGGGTTTTGTAGCCGGCAATCGAACGGCAGGGTCGGACATTTGCGAATAAGTTGAATGTTCGTCGCAGGGTTAGGTTCAGGGAGACATGGCCCTTTCCAATTGGTGTCTAACATCATCAGCTACGGTTTTCTGCGGCCAGAGCAGAGCAGTGCAGATTCTTACAGCGAGGGGTCCTTTGAGGGCTACTTTGGTTCTCTTGATGCTCTCAACCGTTTCCGCTGGGATGCTCGTCTTCCCGTCCTTCAATTGCGGTGTAACATCGACTGCTTCCCATTTTATTGGGGCCTTCCAATTCCATTAGTAAATATCTTACAATGACTGACCCGTCTTCCATACCTTGGCCGCCGCGAAGATGTCCTTGACTGATTGCGAAATTTCAGGTCCGATACCGTCACCCTCAATCAAACTGACTGTGTAGAGTCCCTTATAGAATGTCAGCCCTTGCTATCCTTGCCAAACATGGTCTCCGACCCAATTGACTCCATTGCAGCACTGCAGATAGTTGTATTGGGCCTGGAGGGGTGTTATCGGGGCCTTACGTCTGAGTCCTTTTGTCCGTGAAACTCGGCGACCTTCCCCTTTTTCGCAGTGGCATATTGGCGACGGGACTAATTGAAACAGAAGTCAGTGAGTGTAACCTGCCAATGTGCTTGTGCGAGTTGTATATGGTTCAGCCTTACCTGCACTGCGGTTGAAGCCCAGGCGCGGGTCGAAGCTTGTAGGCATTGCCGCCGCGCTGGAGCAGCAAATGAACGAACGGCCAGCATTTTGATATAGTGATGTAGATACCCCGACTTTTGTGAAGAGTCGCAGGATAATTAGGAAGAGCGTTGGAGAGGAAGAGTTCGAGGACGTGATGAGGACGAAGAAGGATTTGCGATAGCTAAACGCGGCAAACAACGGGTTGCTTTTTCCTGGCGCCCCCGCGGTAGTTGTAGAAAGCGGCACCAGTTTATATCGAGTCGGGCGGAGTGCGACATTTCAAGTAGAGCATAACGAATGCCGCTTTTAAAAGTCAAAGTCCGAGGCCGCATTGTTCGATTCGGGTGTCACGGAAGGTACAGTACAGTACAGCTACGAGCATGTAGCGATAGCAAACTCGCGGTGTGAATGTAACACTTCAACCGCAGTCCAGACAACAGCATATGAGACACTTGATTCATTCTCCCAAAACCCGCGAGACTTCAACAACATGAAAATGCCAGGCCGGCGTAATGGAACTGCGGTGGACTAATGGTGATATTTTCGTAAACTGAATAAACTCTTCACCAAGCCTTCGAATCATCCAGAAACACTTCCGGGATGGCGGATTACGAGAGACGTGTGCTGGATCACTACCAGCTCTCCACCGCATATCCTCTAGAATGGCCCCCCGAGAAGGACCTGAGCGATGATTCAGATGAAGAGGACACGAAACCGCAACGCAATGGCATGTTGCGGAGGTCCAAATCGAGATATTCAGCCTTGGAACGGGTCACCAGTGATCGCAAGAGTCTAGTTCCTGGCTCGCAAAAAACGGGGAATGGCCCGGAGAATCTAGTGCAGAGAGATGAGCCTGATCCTCTGGGAACCACGGAAAGCGTTGTGAGAATATTGCGGCAGCTGGGTCTGCCGGTTCAGGATGATACACGGCTCCGTAGGTATATCTTTTCAAGCAATGCGCCCAGCTAACAGACGCAGGCAACAGATTCCTTCTCTCCTCTACAACTTTTTCCCCAGCGCTATTTCTATCCCAAGTCCATTCGACGGCATCTACCGACTCCCTCATCCGTGGTCTTGACACCCTCTCCAGATCTATTGACCAGAAATCCGCATCGTTGAAGGTCCTTGTCGAATCCAACTTCGAGCGCTTCGTTCGCGCTAAAGCCACCATTGACAATGTCTATACCGAAATGAAGTATCGAGGGGATGTTCCCACAACACGGCTTGGCCCACACTCGCGCCATGCCAGCAGGAATAGTTTCAGAACTAGCAGTGGAAATCAAGCTTCAATGGCACTTGGGCCCGACGCCAAAAAGAAGAATGCTTTGACGAAAGAGAGCGAGTATGGGGTTTTGGGCATCAAAACGCCGCTTCTCGATGTATCGGCCAAGGCAGAAGAAGTCTGGGGTCCAGCTTTGGGAGGGCGGGAGAAAGAAGAGAGTCTGAAATCCATGTCTACAACGGTTAGTCGATACAAAGAGCTTTATGAGGTCAACGGAGCCATCACCGACTGTATCAGAAGGAAAGACTACGAAAGTTTAGTGGAGGAGTATGCAAAAGCCAAACGATTTGCAGACGATGCCAAAAGACTCTCGGATCAGTTAGCTTCTACACCCCCTACGGATTCACAGATACACCAACTTCTGCTAGCTGCTCGGGTATGGCATGATGTTGAAGATCAAATTGAAGACTTCAAAAAAGATGTTTGGCGTAGGCTGATCGCTATGCAAAGCATTTCAAGGTCTGGCGATGCTTTTGGTGGCCAGCAGGACCAGCATATGGAACTCATTGGTATTTTGCTCGAATTGGGGGTGGTGGATAATCCTATATGGGTCTGGTTACTCAGCCGATACGACTACTTGAAGAGCAAAATTACTACATTTTCGGATCGTTCAAGGGTCGAAATTGAAATTCTCCGAAGGAGATTAGCCAAAGGAGACAGACCTACAGCCCAAGTAGTAGCATCACACCTGAGATCTCTTGCTCGCCAGACTGCTGAGGACAAACCAACCTCTTTAGATTCTGCAGAGATCATTGAACTTTGGGAGAAAATGAATACCTTCTTGACTGGAATGTTATCTGCTCAAGGGATTCTAGGCGAGGTCATGGAATTTTGGCAAACAGTACAAAGTTTTGTAGATGGTCAAGCCCAAAAAACATTGCCTATTGGATTAAATGGCGAGTCACGACAACACCATAGGCTTTCTGACCAAGGCACTCTCGACTTACAGAAAGGAACCGTAGAATTGGTCGATATGATAAGGGAGAGTATATTTGCGTTCTTCGCTGATCCACCTCTGGAAGATATTTCCTCCTTGTTCTCTCCATTACCACCAACTCCAAGGACCCCCAAATCATCTGGTGCTTCGGGGCTGACACCAACATCAATGCGAGACCCGAGGTTCAATTTTGACAACCTACCACCGCCATCACCGAAACGAGGCGAGGCGTGGGAAAAGTTTGCTTTCTGGCCACCGTGGTCAAATTCTCTGAGCGGAGCTAATTATCTCTCGAAACTTCTCGTCTTGGTGGGGACTGGTGCCAGTGAGATGGCATCCATCTCCGCTATCAGAAACGGTGACACGGCGGCATTAGAGCGACTGAAAGCCTTGGTAGGCGGTGCCCGCGAAAGGTGTGTGACCGCCATATGTGCAGCTTGGAACAAGGATGCCGAAAATATCAAGGTCTTGGAGGACTGGAGACGATCTTCGGAGAGGCGTAACCTGACAAGAATGCCTGCAAACTTCGGTGCATTTGAGAGTGCAGTTCTCTCGGGGATGCAGAAGATTCTATACATTTCCGAGGCAAAAGTTGGCTCTGCAGGTGTTGTCTTTCCTCCTCCAGCAAAGCTGTTGCAGATGGTTAGGAGCCAATTTGTGACTACGTTATACAAGGCATTGAGTGGAATGGTGGAAAATGCGGAGAAATCTGTGGCAAAAGCAGAAGATGACTGGACGACGGACACCGATGGTCTCGCAAGTCCTGTTGCAACTGTGATCGCTACTAGCATTGGGGCAGGGACTGTCAATTCTAGTGACAGGGTAAATTGTATTTTCCTCCACAAAGTAGATTTTACTAACTCTTACAGAATGTTCGCATGCTCCTAACTTTGAGCAACCTTCAATTTCTCCGTGTTGACATTGTTCCAAACCTCACAACCCAATTTGAGAACGCATTCTCGGTCAAGTTGACCGAGGAAGCCAAGACAATCCGAGATGTCCTTGGCCAAATCGATGCCCGTCTCTTCCAATCCTACACCCGGCCGGCCGTCGAAAACGTGCGCAGTATCATCCGTCGAGGCATTTCTGCTCCAGAGTGGGCTCCAGGACCTAACGAGAAACCGAAGGATGTCAGACCTTATATCTACGAAGTACTCCTCAGTCTTGTCCTTATCCATACCCAGGTCTCCACCACAGCCTCCTCCCTGACGGCTCAAGTACTTTCGTACCTTCTCGAGCAAGCATCCCGCGAACTTCTTGAGTCGTTCAAGCAACGTCAACGCTATCCCCTACCGTCACTCATGCAAGCAACTTTGGATGTGGAATTTGTGGCACAGACTCTTAGCCAATACACGACAGACCGCGCAAGTGAAACACAAAGTCAAGTCTATCAGGAGCTAGATAAAGGGACAGACAACGATGCAAGACAGAAACTACAAAATGAGCTGCCGGAAATGAGAGCCGTGCTCAAGAGGCTTAGAGAGGGAAGCAGAAGCGAATTTGCTTGTTTCAAGAAGGCTAGAAGATCAGAAAGGCCGTCCATACCACCACCACCCACAGTGTGAGTTTGGACAGGGTGAAGTGGACCTTTGATGATACCATGCTAGATATGTAAATGTTGATTTCACACTAGCGAACACTAGCAGAAACTGCAATATACAAGTTCTCTGCCCACCGCTATCCCTTTTTCTTCACTTTTCTTGTGAGCATCGTTCGAAGGAATTCTAAACCCAGCGCCACATTTCATGATACTTCTCCTGATTTCCATCATCTCCCAGCCATTCACTTTTCAAAAAACGCCCCCAATATTTCGTTTGTCTCATCGGGCTTCTCCAGCTGAATCCAATGGCCTGCATCAAGATTCTTCACTTCCAGATGAGGTGCGTTCGGCTTCATCTGCTTTGGGAAATCAGCGCTTGCAGTGATGACATTATTCCCCGTGAGCAACAGGGTGGGCTGCTGAAGCTTGTAGTTTTCCTGTGGGATTTCTGCTTCCAGCATCAGTGATCGAAAGAGTATATTAGCGCGGGGGGGGAATATACCTTTTTCGTCGCCAGCATTGATGTCGTGCAACTGTGCTCTGTACCAGTTGATCGCTGGTGCAAATCCACCTCTAGAAGGAGCGAACTCTTTCCTGAAATCCGCCTGGTCCTGTTCGGGGCATTAGCTAGTCTTTTGAGTACACGTGCTCCTAGGAGAATGCGGACAACTTACCTCTGCAGTAAGATATGCAGGCTTCGGCGCCATCATACCAGCTTCGAACCAAGTCCTTGCCCCACCGGGTGCACCCATATACTTCTTCACCAGCTCCTCGTCCCGCGTATGGAATAGACTCTCTGCAGAGTCGATCTATCCTCTTGTCAGCTCAAACTCCCTAATCTTCCGTTGCTTGGAAAGGAGGGGGGCTTACATTCTTGTCCATGATTTCAGCGGCATCCTTCTCGTCAAAGAACAAGAAATAGCCAAATACAGAGAAGCCCATATGCTGCTGCACCATCCCATTAATAAACTCCACGTTCTTTCTCGTGAGCCCCTGACCCGGAGGCGAATATCCAACGTCCACAAAAACATATTTGCTAAACAACGCCGGATAAAAGTTCGCCATGCGAGACAGCAGAAACGATCCCCTATTTCTATCTCAACATGAATCCCTCTGATCCCCGTAAACAGGATTCTACTCACCAGTCATGGGCAACCCCAACGACCTTCCCGACCTTCTCGTGGTCAAGGATCTCCTTCACATCATCACTCATCCCCTTCCCCGTATACGCCTGTTCGTCAAGCGGCTTGGAGCTCTTCCCATAGCCCAGAAGCTCGGGCGCGATAACGCCGTAGCCTCTCTGCGAGAAATACTTGATCTGGTGGCGCCAGTGGAAAACAGAGGATGGGAAGCCGTGCAGGAAGAGGATGGTTTGGCTGTTGGGGCTGGAGGCGCGCACGTGCATGTAGTTGTATGTGAAACCTCGGGAGGTCTTGAGCTGAGATTGGGGGTAGGAATCCATGGTTGGTGTTGTTGATTGTTTGTTCTTGGTGGTATTGAAATGTATGTAGTGATGGGAATGAAGAAATACTTAAATTGAGAGAAGGTCCTTCTTGATAATATATATTCCCGACAAGGCTTATTTTAGCCAGAAACTTATATTTCATGACTCGATAATGTAGAGAAAAACACTTACATCAAACAGGGATTCAGATCCTATGGAGTTACGGTACGTGCTGTCTGATTTGGCAGTTTTGAGATATGAGATAGGATCGGCCTCCGCAAATCATCATACTGACTAAAGCATTGGTGGGAGCCGGAGCTACAACTGAGACCTCGTAACTTTGTCCGCTCTAAACTGTGTAGCGTTGTCAACTATCGGATCCCGCAAAAATGAGAATCAGTAGATATTCGGTTCTGTCAAGCTTGATCCTCTTAGGCGTCTGCCCAATGCATCGATCGAACTTGAAAATATCCACATCACTGTTTCATAAAGTACGATAACTCTAATTCAAGCGCCATTTCAACTTGTTTTCTGATAGATTATATCCAGGGAGGTGTATTTTGAGGCCGTCGAAAATCCCACTCCAACAATCCGAGTAAACGCCTATAAACCTTTATACAGAAGTATCAACTGTACTAGTCCCAGGCTTACGTCCATATACGATGACACTTTTCGTTGGCTTGTCAGCAAGTATTCATTGTAATAATAGGACTAGAGGGAGATAACAGTGCCCCGTCATGTCGCAAAATACTAGTGGAATAGATGTGTAAAGGGAAATCACTTACAAGTCATAATAAGTGTGGTCTAGCTGACCGTTAGTATAGACACACAGGTCGTAGAGATGTTGGGATAAAGCTTACACCGCACATTTTGTGTATCCTTCCTCACTTGTATCAGAAACATCTCGATCTGCTCGCGAGACCAACCATACGCCTTGTTAAACATCCGCAAACTCATCGCACTCACCCCTTGTACCATGTTGTGCATTTCAAACGCACCAATAAGCTTCAAGCGCTTTTCTTTCGGCCAAGCTGAAGTTGGCATCTTGATGCGCTTCTCAACCACGTCCACAAACCCTGCTGCTGTCATGTACTCGGCATACCGAGTACAAGCATCAAGGGGTACTCCCAAGCTTTGGGGGGTTAGCAAAAGGGCATTATACAGATATCTCTTAATTTAATTGTGAAGCTCATAAACAAAACTCACATTGTAGATGCTTGTAGCGCTTGTCTGCTGAATTCGAATAGGCCGCTATCAGGCGGCGCCGAACCATCATCACAACGAACCTTCGGGTACACGCATTGCAACTCGGTGTAGCCCCCTGGTTTGGTTTGTCTGAAGCCATTAAGTAAGCTGGACACATCCTAGCGATGGGAAGGGGAATTGTACTCATAGCATTGGCTCACCAACTTTGGCCAGTCCCGAATTGAGAGGAGCAAATCCCTTGCATGAATTAAATCAAAAGTGTTATTCCCAAAAACCCACGACTGTTCGACGTCGTCGATCTCGAAGCGACAGTTTGCTGGCACCCATTGTGGCTGAACAGGGGCAATATCTAATCCTAATACCTGTTCGTTTCGTGAAAGAAGCTCAGCATTGGGTGCCTTGAAGGGTAGCCAGCAAGACGGTAAATACCTCGGCAGAAGGAAACGCATCAGCCACCTGCAGTAAATTGTCAGCTCGGTATTCCCATGAAGTCCTGCTACGTTCTCACATTGATCGCCCATAGTCCGGTGCCGGTCCCCAGATCCAAAATTCGCTGGGGTTGGGGGTTGATAGGAGCAAGAAACAGCTTCTTGTCGAGCAGCATTATATATTTCGCATGGGACATGTCGATTCGATCCAGCTCTTCTTCGTCGATTGGGAGGCCATATTCTACAGACCATTGTCAGAATGCTCAATCGTATGCGCGCCAGCCTGCTGTCGCAGCTTATTCTTGTTGCATCGCACCTTCGTTTCCGTATGCAGCGTAGGTCCTCCCATGTTCCTCGACGCCCCTTGTAACGGCGGAAGAAAGCGTTTCAGTAAGCGATCCAGGCCTGCACAGTATAAGATCAGGAAAAGCATGCTAGAGATGTAGGGATTGGAGGGTCGTGAGCGCAGTATATTGCCCTGCCTTGGAAACCAAGGTACCCTGAGGATTGGATTGGGCTGAATTGATCGTGCTTACGCTGAACCCGCGTACGATGAACCCGCATAAGCTGAATCGCCTTCAAAGTCCTGTCAAGGGTATTAGCACCTACTGCTGCACAGTATGCGTATGCAAATCGGGGAAAGATGCGCATTTAGATAAGGAGGGGGGGCCAGGGGGGTGCCAAACATTCTGAAATTCCGCTTCAATTGCATCGTCTTCGTGAACCGTTGCAGGTGGAGGCGGAGGTGGAGGCGGAGGCGGAGGCGGAGGCGGAGGCGTAGCTCCTGGTAAATCGTCCATACCAGAGTCACAGTACCAACCTATGCGCTTGTTCGGTAGCAGGCCACGAGGAGTGGCTCGGGTGCGACGTAAGGTATGATGGGAGGGGGGAGGTAAGGAAGGGTTGGGCCGTCGTGTCCCAATGAAGGTGATAGTGCAGGGGCGGGAACTGGACGAAGAATCTCTACCTGGCCTGCGCGGGTACCATAAGTAGGTAGATAGAAGTATATCTGGGTAAGGTAGGTAGGTACTATAAGTAGGAAGAAGTAGAAATATGGCAGAAATGGGGGCGAGGTACTTGTAAAGACCTTCTTCCTACCTACCTACAATATACCTATATTCGAGGGCCTAGCGGGGTACATGTGCGGTTTTTAGTCCCATAGTTAACGGCTTAGGGCAAGTTCGGGCGATTTATCACGGAAAGTTAACAAGAAGAAGCCAGAAAGATGCAGGTGCAGATGCTGGTGCTGGTGTAGATGCAGATACCTACCTACTGTAGGTAGTCCTAACAGATAGCGATGGTCGGCTGGTTGCGGAGAACGGACACTTCGGGTGGGCTGCGAGTACTACTGGAGTAGAAAGGAGTATCAGATCAGAGGGAAAACAAGTACGGGGTGAGGATAATGGCTGTATATGTTCTTTTTTATTTTAATATGGTCTCTACAAGCATAGATAGATGGATGGTATGTATAGTACAGTAAGCGCATGTTACGAGTATCCATCCCGCTTCTCTTCTCTTCCCCTCCCTTGTCCCCTCCCCTCCCCTCGCCTCACCCCATCGTCCCACCATATGTTGCTTTTGACTGTTGGAACTACTGCGGATATAACATACACAGCAGGTGTGTATGTCGGACGCTTGTTGGTTGTGGAGAACTTCACTTTACTACTGGCTCACAAATCTGCAATATTCTATGCTAACCCGCATCCGGACAAACCCACATAGGAAACTAACTTGTAAAAATTGTTGGTTCCAGCAAGCCGGGTGCTTGGCCGTCTACAGTTAGTTATCTTTAACAAACATCCGACTAGCCTTACAGTATTACGCAGTACATATCCTCTCCTGAAACACAGACTTGAGTGAAATCTGATTCTTAATACACTTACTTTCCCTCTCCCTGAGAATTCACTCCCTCTCCCTCTCCTCCCCCCCTCCCCCAAAGAGTACTTTAATACTCGCTTTTTGCCTCCTATCCTATCTCACTTCAAAGATATGGCTACTTCAAATTCGGACCTTGTCCGAAAGGCCGAGGCCATTCTGGCAAGTGCCAAATCCTTCAAGGGTGACCGAGCCGAAAGATACGAATTGATGAAGCAAGTAGATCTCTTTTATCAGGACTTGGAAGATCCAATGGACGCTATGCTAAAGCAATTCTCGTCTGTAAGTGACAATACATAGAGACAGGCCCCAGATTCAATCTTCATTCCCCATTCCCTTATTATGGCCTAGCATCTTTGCTGACCTTCAATACAACAGACAAGCGTATCAACTTCGCTGGCTGTGATGGTTGCTAGTGGTGCCTTTGAAAAGATGCCGAAGCAGGGCAGCATCACAGCGAAGGAGCTCGGCGCACTTGTCAAGATCGAGCCGAATGTCATAGGTCTGTGGTCTCGATGTCTTTCACTCTGGCTCTCGGGACTGATTTGGCGGAATAGCACGCCTTATGCGAATGCTCACAGGTACTGGCATCATTGAACTCACTGGAGATGACACCTACGCTCATACCCCTAAGTCTCTCGTCTACCTACAAGGTGCAGCTGTTGATTTCTGGAATCTATGGTACGTATACAAGCATTCGCCCCAAGCATATATCACGTGTTAACAAACATCCAGCACAAATTTCACCCAGTGCTTCCTCCGCTTTCCCGAGTACTTCAAGACCAAAACCCCAGAGGACCTGATTGATCTCCGGAAGACTCCATATTCTTTCGCATATGGCGCTGAAGGTCTGACGTTCTATGAGGTCCTCGCATCGAAACCCGAGACTCTAAACATGTTCAATAAAGCTATGATGCAACAGGAAGCTTCGTTGCCAACTCTAGGGATGTTTCCATTCGCGTCCCTCAAGAATGAGGTAGAGGCCGAACCACAGAGGGCCTTCGTTGTTGATATTGGTGGTGGAAGAGGCCAATCTCTTCTCCTGATCCAGCAAGAAACCTCCAATGGATTTGGAACGAGCTCGAAGATGATCTTGCAAGACAAGCCCCATGTCTTAGATACAATACCGCCAGAGCTGGTTCCCGGAATTGAAAAGGTGCCATATGACTTTTACACTGAGCAACCCATCAAGAGTAAGTTGTATCCTTGTTTTCAAGTTTCAGAATCGAGACTAATAGTGTCTAGATGCCCATATCTATTATATACGCCGAATCATGCACAACTATCAAGACAATGTTTGCAAGACAATTCTGGAGAATATCGCCAAAGCTATGGGTCCCACTTCTCGTCTCTTGATTGCGGAGATCATTGTTCCCGCTCGCACTACAGTGGGTGAGGACATGAGCACGTATTGGATGGATATGGTAATGCTGGGCATTGGTGGGAAGGAAAGACGTGCAAACGAATTTAGCGATCTTTTACAGTCTGTGGGTTTGGAATTGGTCAAGATCTGGCCAGCGAAGGTTGGTAATCAGGCGGTTGTGGAAGCGAGATTAAAAGGGGCTTGATGTTGACAATCCGGTGTATTGGGTAATACTCGCCTTGTTTTTAAGTCTGATAGTGGAGACTGTTTAGCGTGGAAAGTATGAATCCTACATATGTAACTAACCCTTTACCCTGGTGTAAATCCGTAGAATAGCAAGAAATATAATAGCTAAAGCATTCTTAAAGTGAGAGCCTTATATTTTATCGGATGTAAGCTCTCTAAGTGGTGCGGGTATAGAATTATGGGTTAAAACTGCCTCCACTATTAGACTTAAAGAGGGTATTTTATAGTATATCTGCAGAATTTCATCCTGGTATGAAAACCTTAGAGTGTCTGGTTTTAAATAACTATTTATAGTATCTCCAAAGAATATCAAATGATCATTTTCAACGACGGCGATGGATTAGGTATATAGCGAAAGCTGTATTGGGGGAATAGTTCCGTTAGTACATATATGCCTTATTATCTTTCTGCTGTCTCTGCGTTGAAAAGGGCTTCATAGTGGATGACATTGTAGCATATGAATAAGATCCTGCAAGTAGGAGATAGAAATGACGGCAATTGCAGTGCCTTCTAGAATGCAAGCTACTTGAAACAAATTCTGATCCTAGCAGCTATTTCAAAGGGCGTTCCTGTTGGGGCGTTTTAGTAATGCGTAGTTTCAAGCAGTCCGCTTTCGGGATGGAGAACAGCGAAAACAGCGCAGGTTCAGGAGTCAAATTTGAAGCAAGGATATTGTAGACGCTACAATGGTACTTTGCAGGCACTAATTTATATTCTGGCTTTTCTTCCAAATAGCCGTAGTGAATTTGTTTTAATGGACCGGATAAGTTCTCCTCGTAGGTTGTAATTCGGGATGACTTGCCAATAGCATTAGCTCGCCCTTAGATGGTACGGACATTGTGACGATTACGAGAGGATTCTCGTTAAAGTTTCTCCTTCTCATGCGAAAGACCTAGAGGTGCAGACCAGTGGTAAGCCCATAGTGTGGTCTGGTCGGGACTTGATTAGAAGTGAAGTTCTGAGCAGAGGCAAATGTAACATGTACCAACAAATCTCCTCGAGGATGATTTATTCCTAGGGCGACTTTCCTCCATAGCGAGTGAGTGGTATGTACTCGAAATAACAGGCGTCACCCTCCGTCGTAATCTTTGGTGTCTTAATAGTTACAGATGCATTGTTTACGAGGGAACAAATTCTAGTGCATTGTTTATCTTACATACATGATCTTTCCAGACCCTCTTCCAAGGTACCTCCACACATCAAGAAAAGACACAATCATAACCTGGGGATTTAACACAAACACCAACTTTAAGGGATGTCATACTAATACTCTCCCACTGTCCACCACCGGCTCCACATTTTGAATCTGAAACAATCTGGTTCGCAGCATTGGTAAGAGATCCCTTTTGAGGGGGCGGGGTCCTATTAGAGTCGTTAGCATTTGAGCATACAAACCTCTTCATAGAGACTTACAGAGCATTGCCTTGTCCTGGATCATAATTGATATAAATTTCACACTGTTTGTTATCGCTGACTACAACAGGACACCACTTCCAGTCCTGACCTCTCACGTAACAAGTGGGGTCGCTGACAGTGACAAAATCCGAGCCTGTACCGATTTTGGCAATTGCGTTCTGGCAGTCTGAAACACTAGGGCTTCCAAAAGGACACGAGGGTGCTGTGGCTGAAGCTGAACTCGTGGTGGCAATCTTGGTACTAGAGGTTTTCGTCGTTTGAGTGGCTGTACATGTTATTTCAGGCACGTAATTATAGGATGGCAGAACGATGTAACAGCCTGCACCGATCGTTAGGCAAGTGTCGCCACCACCGGGAGAAAGCCCTTCGCAGAAGGTACCCGGACCCCAGGATGTTCCGGAGACGAGTGAGCCTGTCGCTGTGGAAGACTTCGTTGAGGTGAAAAGCGTCGTTGGGGGTCTGGTGGTGCTGAATATAGAGGACCCGGTGCTCAGCTGAGATGAGCTTCGAACTGTTCCAGAAGAGCTTACTACCTGAGAGCCGGAGGTACTTGATCCTGTCGAGCTTATGGTCGGGGTTATAGACATGGAGCTGAAGCCACTGCCAAACTGAGATAGGATATCTGCGTTCACGGAAGAAGCAGCCGCCGCAGCCGCAGCAGTATCGAAAGGGGTCGCAGGGACCCAACTCTGGTCAATGAAGTCTGGATCTAGCACATAGTGTATACTGGGTAGCGCAGAGCTAGCCGAACTGCTCGCCGATGAGCTCTTGGAAGAGCTTTGGGTAGACGAGGCCGTTTGAGAAGGTTTGGTCTGGGATGGAAGAGACAGACTAGCATCCGGGTCTGGAGTAGGGATCAAATCTGTCCCGATGAGGATGGCTGGTAGCAGAGGTGGGAAGTATAATCCGGGAACAGTGCCAACACCGAAGACAAGAGTTACGCCAAGGCCCCCACTGCAGAAGACAAGGCAGGGGAAAAAGAGGAGTGCAAGTACTTCAGCGCCACTTGAGTCTCTGGTCGTGTAAACTTGATTTGTTGTGACCCCAGCAATGGTGCTGAATGAAGAAGTCGATACAGCTGAAAAGCTAGTGACTGTAGGGAATCCGGGTGGAACGATAATTGCACCTCCCGAGGATGAAGGTGAATGGACGGTGCTTTGTTGGGATTTTGTGGAGGAGGGACCGGTGGTACCGCTTCTTGTCGTTATAGTGTTGGACTGGCTTCCCGATGATGATGATTTTGCCAAGTTTGAGGAGAAGCTAGATGGTCCAGACGATTGGCTGGAGGTGGCAGATTTTGTAACCCCTGAGCTCGACCCAGAGGTAGTGCTGCTACCATCACCTTGGGATGATCCAGTGCTAGCAGTGGTACTCCCAGTCTGAGATGCAGAAGACGCACTCTGTACGGTAGAGGATCCCGAATTGTTCAGCAGTATAGTTGAGGCTTTAGACCTGGAGCTTGATTTGGACGATGATGGTTGAGGTGGGGCTGATGAGTTTGTTGATGAGCCCCCTGAGCAGTCACTTGTGATGACAGGAGGAAGTGGTGGTTTGGTTGGAGCCAGAACATTGACTGAAGATCCCAGTTGTACCCACACTATTCAAAGGAGTAAGTAACTTGCTCGTTTTACTAACAAAACGTACACTCACCTTGTCCAAGTTCGCCAACGGATGTTGATGTAATTGCTCCTTTGCTGTTACTTGTTTGGATCACTGTACCTGCACACCCAACCCCGGCATAATCAGTGAGAAAAGAAGCGATATATGTCGCAGTTGTAGTTACAGTTGCTGCTGTTGCCTTCACTGTGGTTTTGGATGGGGTCATGCCAGAAGATCCGAATGAAACGCATGACTTTGTTTCGGTGGCCTGTGTACCTTCATAAACACACAGATTGTACGCTTGCTGACTCAAGATTGATGATTGTATAGAGTTACTAGCCGGCACGGCGCCATATGATATTGAGAAAAGGGTAGAAAGGGCAGCTATCATTGCTCTACGGCGGAGAGAACCCATCATCATTTAAATTTCCCAAGAGAATGGCTTCTAAAGAGATGTACTGAAGGATAAGGTGAAGAGACAGATATTTAGATGGAATTCTCTCAGCTCTGTAGGTCTTGAGCTCATTATAACACATCATCTCCGGTAGGCTTGGAACAATGGGTTGACGAGACCCGGGTCCGCATAGGAGCCAACAATCCTTCAACCATAACTTAAATCAGACATCAAAGAAAAAGCAAGTAAGCAAGTCATGTTTGAATCTTGAATAAGCTTATTTCAGGCGCTCCTAGGCAGAACTCTAAAGAACTCGTCGCAAACATTGGTCATGATTCACAAGCCACTGCAGCTGAGGGTTCCATAAACCAGGAGGACGAGGCGCAGGTACATTAAGGCTATCCGTTGCTGACGCCCCCACACCCGAGTAATTTGAAAACGGATGATATAATCGCGGGTTCTCCGGAGATACAGCCCAATGCGGGTATTGAGGACATGTCAGCTATGGTTAATAATCAAGGCGGCTTACTGTCATCACCATAAAGGTTTCATGTTTGCTTTTATCATTGTTCCTTCCTACAATACGAACTCAGCTGGGTGGATTGTCCTTTATATAGGTGCGGTTCGGCAATGATCCTGATGGAAGGATGTCCTTCGGAAGTGAGGTATTTGCAATGCTGGGTTATTCTTGTAGATAGTCTTATTTCATTTCCAAGTACTGCACCGTATACATATCTCATAATCCAATCTACATTACTTTCTATCCATTCTCTTTAAACTATTTATCCATCTGTCTTTCCTATCATTACATGTTCCCATCTAACAAGATGAGACTCTCAACATTTCTCGTGTTCCCAGCACTCTTTTGGGCCTCAAATGGCCAAAATATTAATCAACTATTTCATACGGTCCCAATCCCAGGAGCAGGAAGTTGCAGTGGTGCTCAGAGCCTAGCTTTGAATAGCTGGCTTACCGATACTTTGACTCTTGTCAATGCGGCCATGGATGATTTAAAAACTTTCGACATGGGCAATGTCGACGCCACTCCACGTCTTACACGAAACCTCATAGCTTGGTTCAAAGTCCGTGTTACGAAGGGTAGAAGAGTGAATGAAGGAGACACTGGGAAAATCACTACCATCTCCAGTAAGTAATGTTCCTGGCAAAGTGTACTGAAGTTTTATTTTTGGGATGAGGTCTTGAAATTGAGGGCTAACTTTGTTTTACAGACACATTCGCTGCTCTTGCCGACTTCCTTGCTGAGCAAAACCCAAACCTTGTTGGAGAAAGTATGCCATGGCTTTTCTGCGGTGGCGGTTGGCAAGTAGAGACCGACCTGTTATATGTAAGCACCATCAGCTCCTATTAGCATACTGATACTTTTGAACAACACTTCCAAAGTTCACTTGGCTCCAGCCGTTTTCTTGGAAGTGCAAGCGAAGCACTTACATGCTTACTACAAAGAACGAACACTAGGAAGTATAATGCTGACTCTTGAGTTCTCTAGGAAGAGGACACCGGTAACCCCATACTAGATGACAGCGTCAACCCACCCGTCCAGGCAAACATGCGAACATTCCCCATCCCCCCAGGCGCCGATGACTCAATAACGAGCCTACTTTCAAAGATGCAGCAAGGATGGCCTGCCAACCCTGCATACTATGCCTACTGGTCATCCGACATCCGCGACTATATGATCGTCCCAGCAGCGAAGAGGTACAATGGAAACCCTCGGGACTTCTGCACCCCTCCCACAGGAGAAATCTTCTTCGCGTTCACTATTGATGACATGCTAACGGATAGCGTCACTATCTGCCCTGATTCCTTCAATACTCTTTCCGAGCCGTTCGAGACGATTCAACAGTCTATGGCAGCCCCTGCCGCCGCGAACGTTGGTACTTACCTTAACGACGTGTCGCCGAGAGGATTGACGCTTTTGCATGAGTTTATTCACTTGACGCTTGGGACGGATAAGAAGAAAACTGGTGACAGTGGAAGTAAGAAACATCATCTCGAGACTCGTGTTATGTAGAGATGCTAACGTTGTGGCAGCTAAACCAACAGAGTGCCTGACACTGGCTGGAGCTAAGGCCGTGATAAACCCCGACTCCTACGCGTTCTTTGCTTGGTCGTTATTCTTAGAGGCGCATGGGCCTAATAATCTGCAGTGGCACACTGGGCGGAGTCAAGATTAAGCGTTGGTTTGTAAAGCAGGATTGATGGAAATATTTGGTGTTTTGTACGGTATTCTTCTTTGGCATAAAGCATTCGTCAAGTTCAGTCGGGGTTGTACTAGAGTCCTTGGACCGAAATTCAAGCTACCCTTTTTGATGAGGAAGTTTTAACAGTATTCTATCCTTACAGTCAATCTGCCGTTTTGGTTACATGAGCTCCAATGGCATTCTATTCCCATAAAGACAAATCGCTCTCCTCCGTCCCAAAGAAATGCGTCGGAAAATGTTCAAACGCACAGTGTCTCTCTATAAACTTAACCATCCGCCTCTCTCTGAGCCCTCTTAAAAGGTGTTCCCAAACACCTTCCCACTTCCCATCCAACATCACCCCCGCGCTCTTCTTGAAGTCTTTCTCCCTTTCTTCATCATTCCAGAAATCAATGAACCGCATAACTACCTCCCCTCCTTCTTCTTCTTGGATGAACCCCCGAACTCCCCTGCCATTCATCGCTTTGGGTTCAGTCGGGCCGGGGCTCAAGAAGTAGACTAGACTTCGGAGGTCTTCAATCTCGAGACGGACCGCTGGTGAAAGGACGGGGCTGAAGTGGGCATCCATCACCCCAGTGAAGGCTGTGACGCGGTCCCACCAGAAGCCGGTGAAGTTAACATGCACGGTGCTTGGTGGCAATGTGCTGATTGCGGCCAGTCGTTGAAACTGGGTGGCCGCTGCTGGTGAGGCTTCGAAAGCCGAGAGGGACTCGGCAGACGTCCAGCCTGTGCTTTACTTTAATGATCTGGGGTCTGGGTATAGAATTGGTGGGAGATTTAATGTACCTGTAATGAACCAGACGGTTTCGGGGGATTCAATCACTCTTCCCCATAGCCCATGGAAGAATCCGGGTTGCTGTTGTCTTCTCGTGGGTCTCATTATTGAGAGCCATTTCTTGCCATCGGTTGTCTTTGGTTTCTCAATAGTTATAGAGAGAGGGATTGTTAAGGTCGTCCATGATGCGAGAATGTATTTTCGCTCGGTGGTATTTGGTTCTACCATGCTGGAGAGATGGAAAGGAGTATTTGATATTTTTATAATTTTAGCAGCAAAAGGCGAAGTCGCCATGCGGGTATTCATAGTGAAGCTAACTGCTGACTATAGGAATAAGCGAGACTATTTTTAGAAAGAGAGTCTCTCTTAGGTATTAAAAGTTAAGATCGCAAAATCACTCTCTTTAATATATCTACTTTTAGATAATTAATTCTTTTATAATACTTTTATAAAACTATCTTAAATTAATTATATAATTATTAAGATATACAATCCGCTCTAGGATCTGCTCTAGGATTTTTTCTAACCTTTCTAGTTATATGATCTAGCTTATATGATTTAGTATAGCTTAGTTAGCAAAGAGGCATTACCTTTTTATATTTATAATATTACCTAAATACTAAGTATTAATTAACTAGTATTAAGTCTATATTATATAATAGAGAAGTAATTATATTTTATATATTAATACTTATAATACTAATACTAATTAGTAGTTATTCTTATAAGAGATACTATAGAATAATAAGGTTTAAAAAAGAAGTAAAGATATAATATAATAACTAAATTAAATTAATAAGCATTAAGTTTTTATACTAGAGAATAGTAATAATAGCTTATAGATTTCTAATAACTAATAGATTAATAAGAAGAGAAATAGATAATATTATTTAATTTTTCTAGTAACTAATTAATTAATAAGAAGATATTAATACTACTAGTTACTAGTAATTTAAAAACTATAGTAATTAATAGATTAATAAACAGCTATATTTATTATATTATAAGAAATAAGTTTTAAAAGTAAAGCATAAGCTATGCCTATGCTTACTAAGCCTTAACCGGAGAGCGCTTACTT